GCACTACCGCTCGTCCCGGTGCTACTACCACTGCTTCCCGCCCCAGCACCACTGCCTCCCGCCCCGGCTCGAGCGGCAGTACCCGCCCTGGTTCCTCTGGAAAGATCTCCGGCTCCCGCTAAACCGGCATTGAGGATTCAGGACAACATGGTGGGTTGACTGACCCTGTCTAATTGGATACAAACGGTTCCAACTCTTTGGATATTTCTTCCGGCGTTTCTCTGTTTCTTGTGAGTTGAAATACAGGTTGGGATAATGTTACAGTTATTGGGGAATTAGGCCTTGGAACGGCCTGGAGTTTTACTAGGATAGATAGATTTGGATACGGTATGCACAGGGACAAACAGCATAGCAAACTCTCACCCTCCATCGTCTCTGGCAGACAGTGGGCGGCCGGGACTGCTGGACAAATATATTGTTTGTTATATAGAGCCACCGAGTCACCGCAAAATGCAATCCAATGTTACACTCTCTCTACACCAAGTCAGAACATCACACATGGTCAAACGCCTGAGCTTGATACGGCGATTACACCTATTCAGACAAAATAACAAATAACAATGAGCTTCATGGTGATGGGTTGCCTACTGAGTTTGATGGGACAGAGCTTACCTACGGAGCTGAATAGTGTTGGCTTGCCCGCTGAACTGACAAGTGAGACGGAACCAACGAAACTGCGGGTGGAACAACGAAACTGCGGGTCCGGACCTGTCAGAAAGAAAGGGATTTTACTAGCAAGGAGTTCATCCTTCAGTTGGCGGTAGCCATGGTCTGTCGGCCGCGGCCATGGTCTGGTGGCGGTGGCCATGATATGTTGACCATGTGGCAGAAGGAATCCTGCAGAAAGGTCTATAAAAGAAAGCAGGAACAGAGAGAAGGACAAGCAATACAAGGACACAGTTGCGATCCCCATAATATGGACCCTCATAGAGTGCATCGAACTTCTGACAGTACCCCAGCAGTTTTGCGGCACGAGTCGGACACATCACCAGTTACATTTTCTAGACCCTCAAGTGCCCTAATATGAAACGCGGTGTCTGGTGTGGTGAAAATGCGAAGGTAAATCTTCCCGTAGAGACTTCACGGTTGTATTGGGACTTAACTGAGGGTCATGAAGGGGTGAGGGTTGCAGAGACGGAAGATCTGTCCACGTTGAAAAGTATGACCCCTTAGTAGAAGAGGCAATAAAACAAACTTGGTAAAATTAAGTGTATGCAACGTGTGACGATGCCCTGTCCAGAACCTCTGAAAGGGATACCGGTTGAAGGCGAACTTCTAGATAATGGAACGGTGCAGCTAAACAGTGCACAACAAGATGTCTCAATGTAAACACAAGATACCGTGAATACAAGATGTGATTGCATACTGCGGAACTGTCTATCTACACCAGCCAGTTCCTCCGTATATATAGACCCTGTGCCAAGCCTGGCACCGTCCTGGATCGATAGACTCGAGTATCGATCCCATCGATACTGTCCATTTTGGGATTGACTCTTCTGGATCGATCCTCGATCCCAATGATCCTGTTCTGATTGGTCCTTGACCCTGCACTAATGATTGGTCCGTGGTGCGCCTGCGCCCCACTGAGTGTCAAGCCGTGACACTACTTAGATATTCTCCAACATGAAGGAAGTTGGATACTAATGCACAGTGAAAGCTACAGGTATCACATACAAGCCATCGAATGGAGCAAGCAATGTAGAATCATGTTTCGTTCCTAATGACTAGCTAGTTAACCCCTACCGGAAAGCAAACTCAGATCCCAGCCACAGTCCATCTTGACCTTCCACACGAGCGGGAATCTGTCGGTTGTGGAACCTGGAATCGACGTGCCAGAAGCATAACCTCGACGACCGAGTTGCTGGGCTCCCCGTACAGCACAGTGAACATGACCATAGTGAGTATGTAGGAGATTACTTTGTCTTGACCGGCGGCCTCTCCGCGCCAACGTTGGGCTTTTTGGACTCAATGCTGCCATAAGGCTTCTTGGGCTCAGACACTTTGAGAATATGTTGATGCATGGGTTGGTATATAAGACAGGTGAGTTTCTTTGCGGGTGTCAGCAAGACCGGTGGCTGGTACTGGGATAATGGATCAGTGTTGACGTACAGGTTTGAAACCTAGGTGACTGGTTGATAATAGTTGTAAACTTTCTATGTGTGGGTAATGTTGACTGAGTCAGTTCGGGAGGTCTAAGAGGGTGGACAAGGGTGTATTATAGCCTCCCCTGAGCACCTTGATGACCTTCCTGTTAATGTGAACGGAAAATGCTGAGCTATGGTGCGAGCTTAATACATGTTGGCTTTAGACTGAGCATCGATTTGTTTTATGATGGCCCCATAATCCGCGAACACCCGCACTGTGATTTTCAGCCTGAGTCGGTCGGTGGCTATCGATACCTCCTCGAGAAAGCCGAAAAGATGACGATATTCTGGCTATATGTGATGGGATAAGATCGTGATACTAACAAGGAAGTCCTGCGCCAATTCTTCTTCTGGTGAGTGATAGTGAATGATACAACTGTCACAAAATTGGCGAGGTCAGCCACGCTGGCAATATAAACAAGTCATCGAGCAAGCGGCCTCGATATATATTTGCAATTGAAACTGGGGATCCCATTGCACGCCTGATGACCCCGCGTGGCATTGCGTAAGGTATCTACCTACCTGCCTAGGCATCCAAGGCAGTCCCTCTGCAAGGTAGACATGGAGCAGGCACACCCCGCCTTGAGCCGGTGCCTCGTGTAGGTAGTTCGGAGAAGAGCTTTCTGCACCCGTGACAATTCACGTGCACCAATTACACCCTGTCGGGGAGGTACCACGTCCATGCACCGCCTCAGTTCCGAGCTGAACCCAACCGCCCAACTAAAACACGACTGCTCAACTACCTAAGGTCGCATCGCTTTTTTGCCCATTGACCTGACCACCCAGATGCTTTCTTATCCATCACCATCGAGTAGCTATTTCATCAAGTCAGACTTCATCCATCTCCATGGCAGAGATTGCAGGGCTTGTTGTCGGCACGCTTGCCCTAGTTGGTGTCTTCAACGATTGCCTGGAGATGATGTCCAACATATCCGCGCTTCGCTCCATGAAAAATGATGGAAAACTCCTCAACACCAAGCTCGATCTTGAAAAGACATTGTTGCTATAATGGGCTAACAGGGTTCGAGTGCTCCGGCCAGATTGTGACCCACGACTGAACAGGACCGAGACCAAGGAGACTGTTGGAAAGGTTCTCGAAGCAATGAGCTGCTTGTTCGAGACTTCTGAGGGGTTGAACTCACGATATGGCCTACGTGAAAAGCGGCCAGATTCAGGTTACCAGGCCCTTCCTCCAGCAAACGAGATAGGCGAGAGAAAACAACTAGCCTTTAGGCAAGCCTTCAACACGCTACGGACCGGACCAAAGAAAACTCGTAGCGACAAAGGCAGTAATGAAGCAGGAAAAGGTATCTCGGCATTATCAAAGTTGGTATGGGTGGCTGCTGACAAGGACAAATTCGGGAATTTGATCGATGACATCTCCTATTTCATTGCCAAGTTCAACGAACTCCTACCACCGACGCTCATTTTGCTTTCCAGCATGGCTCTTGAGGATATAAGCAGTAGCGGCATGACCACAGCGGCTATTGAGCGTGTGGCCCATCTCAAGTTACCCCACAGGGCAGTTCTTGAGGGCGAGTTGGTGGCTGCTGCGAAGGTTACAATGGTGACTGGAGACATCGCTTGGTCGAGTTGTTTCTCAAGCTGAGCGTGGACAAGGACAAACTCATGGATGAGACGCGAACAAATCAAAATCGGTGGTATGATATTCCGCTGCGCGAGGCGCTTGTGGATGCTCATGCAGATGAAGAGTTGAAGCAGTGGCAGTGGGACATATTAAGCCGGTTGTTCGGGTCGAAGATGGGTTCTGACAACCCTGATCCCCCAGGAATTCTTCCGACCTCAGAGCTGGAGTAGGATGTGAAGGACCTGATAAGCTAGGTACCTGTCTTCAGTAAACAGCAATCACATTTGCCAGGAGTGTCGGTGTCCAGCAACACCAGTGAGGAATTACGAGTGGCTAAAGGGCCCATTCACGAGAACCAGGACTTGAGTGAACTCGGTTGGGAGAGGTTGAGAGACCGCAAAGATGTGACGGCTGACAAAGACATAATGGATGGCTAGCCATATAAACGGTGGACGCTGAGGTAATGAGCTAGAATATACTTGGTCTCATTTCAACTTATGGTTCTGCAGTTTGTCAGTTTTGAGGTCTTGCCAAAGAGACCTTTACTATTCACGTACACCTAATCGAGCGATCTCGTATTGCGACTGAGTTGAATCCTTCGATGCAACCCAAGCGAATCACAGCATCTTTACCTACCTGAGCTGAGCTTCAATGACGTCGTTGTCGAGGCAAGTCCGATCAAACCAATAATGTGCGTAGTGTTGGCGATAGTTTTGAAGACCGCCCCGAGGCAAGCAAAAAGAGAAAGATTCTATGATTGGACCGTGGTCTTCTGTTCAGCGGCACGGGTAGCAGATGCCGTGTGAGTGTGTGAAGTTCACGCTATTCGCAGGCCAGGGCGGGCAGGGGGCCGCGCGGCCTTTTCTCTCAAGGTGCGCAACACGAAGATTTTTGGCTTATAGTGAGTTCAGAAGGGGGATAGTATACCACAAAACCGTGCATGAAGGCCTGAGTCATCACAATGCGACCTGAATTTCCTGGAGAATGCAGAATGAAGTGGGATCATGAGGAGCCAAGCAAGAAAGTGGCCTCTGTTTTGATGCCAAGAACTGCGCCCCTTGTTCCAATTTCCAGCTCCACACACAAGGACCACACAGATCTGGAACCCCAGAATCGCTGCCTGCTTGGACGAGTGGATTCCAAGAGGTTGGAAATATTCTCTTCAAAACAACGCTGTCGCCTCGAACTTTCAGTTCTCTGAATTTTTCTTCGACGATCACTCGTTTTCTGTCACTCGCTTGCATATCATTCGCTTTAAACACTTCCCCATGAAGCAAGGGGCTTTGTCACTGGCCGTCCTGTCGGGCGCTGTCAGCACCGCGTGGGCAGCTCTGAATGTGGATTTTGGATCTACAGGTACGTCGCCGCCCCTGTATCGGCAAGCCCAAAGCTCCACAACACCAACTTACGACTCGCCGTACTAGATTCGATCAAAGCTGCAGCCAAAGATGTGGCTTTCGACGCCCTGTCGTACTACAAGGGAAACGAGTCAGGCGAGATTCCCGGGCTGCTTGGAGATGAACCATTTCTGGGTGGGAAATACTACTGGTGGTCCGGCTCAGTTCAGTGGTCAACCTTGATCGACTACTGGTATTATACCGGGGATGATTCGTACAACAGCGTCGTTTCCCAGGGTCTGCTCCACCAGCGCGGACCTAACAATGACTTCATGCCTCCCAATGCCACTGCCTCCCTCTCCAATGACGATCAAGGCTTTTGGGGCATTGCGGCCATGCAGGCGGCCGAGTTGGACTTTCCAGCTTCTTCAATCGATTGGGCCAACTTGTCTCGCAACGTTTGGACTACCCAAGTCCGGCGCTTTCAGCAGGAAGAAAAGGATGAAACCTGCGATGGTGGTCTGCGCTGGCAAATCCTGCCAACCAATGTTGGATTTGACTACAAGAACACCATCAGCAATGCCGCGTTCATCAACCTCGGAGCCCGCCTGGGTCGCTGGACTGGCAATGCCACTTATGTTGAGTGGGCTGATCGCGCGTGGACCTGGTTGACCGACATTGGGTTCTTGACGGAAGACTTCAGCGCCTACGATGGCGCCCATGTCGGGGCCAACTGCACTGATATCAACAAGGCGGAGTTCTCTTACAGTGCTGGTCTTCTTCTTCAAAGTGCCGCGTTCCTTTATAACCAGGTATGGAAACTATTTCCTGGTGTGTCCGGCATGTACTTACTGACACTTTTGTTTCGATAGACCACGGGCGATGACCAGAAGCGCTGGCGCGATCGAGTCACCGGTCTTACCAAGACGATCCTCGACAAGTTCTTTGAGGAGGGCTATCATTACGAAATCGCTTGCGAAGGTCGTGATGACGCTTGCACCCCCGACATGCTCTTCTTCAAGGGCATGGTCACTCGCAACCTTGCATCAACGGTTCAGCTCGCTCCCTTCACCAAAGACGCCATCTCCAAGGTTCTCAAGACCAACGCCGAGGCCGCAGTCAAGACTTGCACCGGTGGTGACAACAACCGCCAGTGCAGCTTCAGCTGGGCCAAGGGCAAGTTCGACAACGAGACTGACATTCCTAGCCAGTTGAACACGCTGTCTGCTTTGACTGTGCTGCTGCAGGATGAGGTCTCCCAGAAGGGCATTGCCACCAATGCCACTTCCAACCCCGACGGCGGCTCTGATGGAGGAAACGGTTCTGGCTCTAACGGCAATGGCAACGGTAACGGCAACGGACAGGGACAGAACGGCAATGGCAATGGAAATGGTGATGGTGGTTCCGCCGGTACTACGACTCGTGTGACCGTCGGTGTGCTGGTTGCTGGCTTGTTTGCTGCCCTGTTGTAAGCTGATGCGGCTCAGCCGATGTGTTGGACTCGGAAAATCTAAAGCCTTGAAAAGAATTGAAGCCTGCACCAGGCACTTTGGATAATGTTGTCAGGTTGTTTCGCGCTGATCGTTAATGGCTCCAATGATGTTGACCAAAAACATGTCCTGTCCAAGGTGCGCTGTACCCCGCAAAGAAGCTGCAGAATTAAAATTTGACCTGCTTGATGACCGTTCACTATCAACAGCAGGAAGAAATGCCACCCAGGTCGTTTCATTGTATGTTTTGTTCCACCAAATCATTGCTGTCGTCAACTGAACACGCCAGCCAAGAATCCAAGACCGCCTCTCAGCTTGGCCGCGGCTACTCCCGACGACATGCCTTGGCACAACACATCTGGGGATGTGCCAAAAGGTGGGAGTTGAAGCACATTTAAGCACCCGATGGCCCGATCAATTCCCCGGATTTTTGAAAGTCAATTGCCGATGACGTTGACAGAATTTTCACCCCAATCGCCGCAATGCGACGCTGTCCCCGGCTGGCGCTGTTAAACAGTGGCGGAAATCTACCGATCTTTTCAACGCTCAGGGACGGCTTACACATGAGTTGCCTAAAATGGTCACCAGTCGCCCACGATTTGCGGGGGAGTGGGTCACCCTCCAGTTCACAAAACAAGATGTTCGCAGACGGACACCTCCTATCGGCCCTACCGGCAATGCTTCTCAGGGACTTTTCTCAACGGCTAGCTCACCGCAACCTTGAACCAGCTGGCCGACAGGGTCCTCGCCCCGCCGGCTATCAACCGGTGTCGGTCCCTGGCGTTGAACGAATGATCACTTCGGGTTTTTGACCCGGTGTCCAAATGACGAGCGCCTCGGTTGCCACCTACCTCGCTGATATCAGAGATTAAATATACGACATCAGCGCGGGTTGTCCCTCAAACCCCGCAGCGGTTCGACATTCCGGTTCAACCTTGTCTTACCGGTCCCTCATTGTTATCTCTGCAACCCTTCCTCCCTTCTTCGGTCGCCCTTCTTTTCTGTCGCAAATCTGGACGGCAAGACATCGCGGCCCGGGACGACAGCTGCCTCTGTTTGGCAGCAACGCAAAATGGCCGACGAAAGGAAACCCGCGGGTCCGCCATTAAGATCCCAATCACCGCGCCCAATAATGGATAGCAAATCACCACCCTCACCACCCCCTTCCGACAAGGTCTCCTCGCCATCACCACCCCATACCATGACCCCCGAACGGCGCACCATCGTGGAGAAATCCCTCAAGCGCAAACTCGACACCCGCTGCTCCCTGTTCGTCCTGATCTACATCATGAACTACCTCGACAGGAACAACATTGCTGCCGCCCGCCTCCGCGGCCTCCAAGACGATCTGTCACTCGACGACCAGCAGTACGCTACTTGCCTCAGTATTCTCTACGTGGGGTATATCCTCATGCAGATACCCTCCAACATCGTCATCAATCTCATTTCTCGACCATCACTCTACATCGCCGTTGTGATGCTCGTCTGGGGCTTGATCTCGACATTGACAGGTATAGTCACTAACTTCTCTGGCATGGTCGGGACGAGATTCCTGCTGGGATTTGTGGAAGCGGCGTTTTTGCCGGGGGCGTTATTGATTTTGAGTAAATGGTACACGAGAAAGGAATTGACGACGAGGAACGCCATTCTTTTCTGCGGCAATCTCATCAGTAACGCTTTCTCGGCATTGATTGCCGCCGGGGTGCTATCCAACATGCAAGGAGTCCTAGGGCACGCAGCATGGAGGTGGCTGTTCTGGATCGAAGGCGGGTTGACCATGGCTGTTGCCATCAGCGCGGCGTTTATCCTTCCTGATCTTCCGACAAACACTAGGGGTTTTACGGAGGAGGAGCTGTATGTTGCGCAGCTGAGAATGACAGAAGACGTTGGCGAAGAGGACAAGGATGCAGAGGGGCAGAAAATCTTTGATGGATTTTTTATGATGGTGAGGGATTGGAAGGTTTACGTCATGATGCTGGCTTTTACGGCCTATACGGTCGGGTTGAGCTTTAATGCGTTTTTCCCGAGCTTGACACAGACATTGGGGTTCAGCTATGTGCCGACGCTGTTGATGAGCAGTCCGCCTTGGGCGTTTGCTTGTGCGGTTACGTTAGTGGTTTGTTGGCATTCGGATCGGACGCAAGAGAAGGTGAGTTTTTGATGATTTAATATCGCCCGGTTTTTCAGGGACGGCTTACTGACGTGAGATAGTTCTGGCATATCACGCTACCCATGGTTGGTGGCTTTGTGGGCTTCCTCATTTGCATGGTCACGCTCAACACGGCAGCTCGATATGTCGCTTTGTTTCTCCAAGCATCTTCCTACGCCGGGTTCGTCGTGTTTTACTCGTGGATCTCGTCTTCTTTCCCACGACCACCTGCCAAACGCGCTGTGGCTCTCGCTGCTATCAACGCCTTCAGCCAGCTGGGCAATGTGGCTGGGATGTATGTCTGGGACTTGAAGGAGGATGGTTACAGGAAGAGCTATGGTATTGTCACGTCTATGTTTGGTGCTGCGATCTTCGGGTGTTGGGTGTTTAGAACTATCTTGGCGAGGTTGAACAGGCAGTTGGAGAGGGAGGAGGCGACGGCTGTTGCGGAGGGGAGAGTACCAGCTGGTGAGAAGGGTGAGGGTGTGGTGACTGGCAGTGAGACGGAAGATGGAGGTGTTGTTGGACCGAGGGTGGTGAGACCGTTTAGGTATTTACTGTGATTTTGGATGTGATACGATGGTTGTTTGGATACCGTTCGATCGCTTCTCGGATGTGGATTGATGATGATCGGGGCGAGCTTGGGAATATTGGATGTCGATGTCTTGGCAGTTGAAGTCATGGAGTGGGATATCAAATGGGCTATGGCGCAAGGCCTGATCTTTCGAGTCTTGCTGCATTCGAATTCGGGAATTTGTTTGCCATCATGGAAGGCTGATCGTCTTTTTGCTTGCCGTTTGCTGTGCAGGAGGCCTTTCTGCCTTCTGTTCTGGGATTATTCTTCTTTCGAGAATCGGCAACAAAATGCCGTGCGGTATGCCTGACATTTGGATGGAGGATTTATGAGCGTCATTATTCATATACAAAAGCTTCGAGAATGACGTTCTGAAGCCTTGGCAAGGTTACATTGCTGGGCAGATTTCAGGCTTTGTTCTGGTGTTGGTTCTTTGGGTTTCGCAGTGCACCAAGACAATAGTGGCACACAATGATTGGCTATAAGGTACGGATCTTCTTCCCAAGGTGACACTTCGAATGACAACACAGCCAAACCGGGCCACGGCAGTGCAAGGGGCGCAAAGGTGGATTTTGTATTGGCCAGCGATCACACCCCTGCTCAGCCTCCTTCACTTTGCCCCGAAGACCTGCGTGATGGACAGGGGTTCGACACAGCACATTTGCGGTGGTGTTGGAGCTAAAAAGGACCCTGCCGCCCCATCTCGCCCGCCTTTTGGAGTCCTCGAGCTACCACTATTTACTATTTCGACATCTTTCATCTTGTATACTGTACCATATTGGATTATTTACCAGCGGCCTAGCACAATCATCTCATCAACATCTAACGCACATCTGACACCATGTCACTCCTCGAAAGGCGGGAAGGCCTCGCAGTCACTGCGGGCCTGACTGGCATCACCTTGACACCGCTGGTCGGGGTGATGGTGTTGAGCTTCCGCCGTGTTATCCGTCACTCGCAAGCTATTAAAATCGCCAACTTGTTATTCCGGATCGCGCTGCCAGTATACATCATGTATGTCCAGCCGCCTCTGTCATCCGTCGTCTGATTAGGTACTAACAGCAATCTGTTAATGCAGCGGCGTGATTCTCTACACATCCTACGCGGCCGTCATTGCAGCTGGAACAGCAACTTACCGTACCGAGCTTCTACTCGGGCTCATGTCGAGTCTCTTCTTGGCTTCTGGCGTTATTCTTCTCACAAGCTCGATATACCTCACCGCACTTGCCGCGCTCTACATCGCGATGGGTAGAACAAAATGGTGGTCGTGGCTGAGACTTGATACACTACTGGGCGCCGGTCTCTTGTTTATTCTTCTCATTGCCTATTGGGGCATGAATCTTTCAGACGTTGTCGAGGGCAGCTCGAGCACCTACCGGACATGGAGGATGCGGTGGCTGCTGGTTGTGATCGACTTGACGCTGTCGGTGATGTCTCTCGGCGTTGTTGGGATTGCGTTGTATGCGCTGCCGAAGTTGAAGAGGTGGAATCAGATCCCGCTTGGCAAGGTCAGTGCATTTTCACCCAAGTACGCTTTCATGCTGAGACTAACCCTATCATCAGATGCCGGTGTTGTTGGTAATTGCTGCTTTCCTCTGGGCTTTCACCGTGGTATACGGCTTAGCCACCACCATCAAGAGCATTACCGATGAGTGGGAAGAAGACGAATGGGTTGCTAACCGTGTGATCTTCCCGCTGTTCGGTCCTTGGGTCACCAGTGCTGTTGTTTGCCTGCTGTACTTGATCCTTCACAGCCCGGTCTGGTCTGATCCGGCTGCCATCCCGGCTGATGGGAGACACGGCCCTACACAGCCATCCTATGGGCCTCAGCAGGGGAATCCTCAGATGGGCTACCAGCAGCAGCCGTACCAGCCCGGCTATGCGCCGCCGCATAACCCATCTGGTTACCCACAACAGCCTCAGCAATATCAGCAACCGCAGTATCCTGCGCAAGGGTATCAGCATACGCAGTCACCTGCTTCGTCGTTGCCAGTGTATGCTCATGAGGCTGATGGGAATCAGAACCCGCATGTCACCAATGTCAAATAGAGGCCAGGTTGGGTTACTTGGCTTTGTAAAGTACATGTTGTGTCGAAGGATGGAAGTCGGCTTTTGGATTTGGAAGGGATTTAGCGTTGGGTTTTGTTGGATACCCCCTCTTGTTGACATTGTCTATGTTGATGCAGTCCTGCGGTTTGGATAACTTTGTGTCTCAGCATAAATAATTGGAAATATCATCTTGTGCAAAATCCTGTCCCTTTGCCCACTGTGAACCAACTGTTGTCCTTAATCCTTGCGGGCATTCATCCTGTCAAGAAGTTCCATGGATGCGAATCCCTCGTGATCCACGTTTCAGCAACGGTCACACAACATGAATCTGGATTTCTCCTCTTTCCAAAACCCCTTTTGGTTGGCCTTCAACGCGCCGTTGGCTCCTGTGGCTGTCGTCGGTCCGAGAAATGCGCACCAGCAAACCCAAGTTGCGTCATTGGACGTGGTGACGTCACCACAAAGCCCAGGCTTCCCATCCAGCCATCGTCGTATAATGCGGGGTTTGGTCCTCCCCTTCCCTTCTTCTTCTTGGCCTGCGCAAAAATACATCAACGATCAACGGCCGACCGAACCAAAAAAGACCATTCTATTGACATTACATTGACCGCCACACAGAAAATATGATCTCCAACGCACTCTTCTCGACCCTCCTCGCCCAGCTGTGCTGGTTCGCGACGTTTGCGCTCGCCGCGCCGGTTGACACGGTCCATGTCGAGGGTGGTAACGCGTGGCAGTATGGAACTGGTGGTGGGATTATTGGTCTGATTGTGTTGATTCTGGATATCATTGTCTTCAGTAGGTCTTCTTGCGTTGCGAGTTGTTGGGTGGGAGTATGCTAACCACTCGGCAACAGTTGAGGTCTTCCAGTCTAGCAGATCCCCCTCGTCCAAGCTTCTCTGGTCGCTGGTTGTGTTCCTCTTCCCTGTTGTTGGCATGATTATTTACTACGTCTTCTCGAACCGCTCGGCTCACAACAGCAGGAATGGATATGAGACTTTGACGCAGGGTTAAGGGAGGATGATGTCGGGCGTGAGGATGAGAGAGAGAGGGAGAGGGTGGAAGGAAGTGGGAGTAGTAATGAGAGGATAATGATACCGGGAGACCTGCACAAACGAGATTGGGAGGAGACGACAACACGCATGGATGGACTTTACAGGCAGCTTTTGCGCATGGAGTTGGGTTGTAGCTGGATCATGGCTTACATAATTATATGAATGCGAACGATTCATACTCTTTACATGGGCCCCCTTCTTCTTTTGTTCTGGACCGAAACACAGCTTGCGGGATGGGGGTTTGCCTTGCAGTTTTGCTACTTCGAACTTGGCTGACGCATCAGTTCGGTGCCCATCTTTTGACCACAGGCTTCAACCCATCATCGAAACCTCCTTCAAAAACAGCACGATAGCCACCATCCAGATTCACCGCATCATACCCGTCCTGCTTCAATATCCTGTAGCCCAGATAGCCCCGGTATCCAACCTGGCAATAACTGATGATGGGCTTGTCCTTGGGCACCTCGTCCAACCTCTTCCTCAAATCACCCAAGGGAATGTTGACAGCCCCATCAATATGCCCACTCGCAAACTCCTTGGGCGACCGGACATCCAACAAAAAGTAATCCTCCAAGCTCTTCCTCCTCCCCTTTGACGTCTCAAAAGCAAAGTCGGCAGCGTGGACAATCTCCACATCCCCCCTCAGCACATTTCCAGCCACGAACCCAGCCATATTCACCGCGTCCTTTGCGCTCCCAAAAGGAGGCGCATACGCCAGCTCGAGATGCTCCAGATCTTCCACCGTCATCCCCGCCGTCAGCGCTACGGCCAAAACATCAGTCTGCTTGTCCACGCCTGCGTTCTCCGGCCCGGTGACCTGGCCCCCAAGCAGCTTTCCGTTTTTGAGATCAAAGTGGATCTTGACCGTAAGCCGGCACGAGCCGGGATAGTAACCGGCGTGGTTGACCGGGTGGACGGTGACCCAGTCGTGGTTGCTACCACTAATCTCGTCAAGCTGGTGGGCGCTTAGCCCTGTCATGCCGACTGCTTTTCCAAAGACCTTGCAGACCCATGTGCCGATGTTGCCCCGGTATTTCGTCTCCTTCCCGCAGATGTGATCGGCTGCTAGACGACCCTGTCGGTTTGCCGGTCCGGCGAGGGCGAGCATTTTGTTCTTGTCTGGGTGGTCGAGGCCGAGGAGGAGGAGGTTGGGGGTTTCGACCATGTCGCCTACCGCGTAGATGTTTGGGTCCGAGGTCTGCATGTGCTCGTTTACTGTGAGGCCTGTTTTGCCGGTTTTGAGACCGGCGGCTTGGGGGATGGAGAGGCGGGCGCGGACGCCGGCTGCCATGATGACGAGCTCGGCGGGGATTTGTTGGCCAGAGGGGGCGAGCTCGACCTCTTGGGGGAGGATTTTGGTGACTGTGGCGTTGGTGATCAGGTTTACGCCGTGGGCGTTGAGTTCTTTTTCTAGGGGGTAGACCATGTCTGCGTCTGCGGGGGGGAAGATGTGGGATAGGCGTTCGATGACGGTCACTTCTAGGCCTAGGAGACGGAGGTTTTCGGCGGCTTCGAGGCCGATGAAGGCGCCACCTATTACGGCGACGGTTTTCACGCTGTGGGTTTTGATGTGTTCTTTGATGGAGTCTAGATCGCCCAAGGTGGTGAGGTGGAATACCTGGTTTCCATCCCCGCCTTCGATGCCTTTTGGTGTGATCGGCTCTGCTCCGAGGGCTAGGACGAGTTTATCATAGGGCATAATGTCCTTCTGTCCACTGATTCGATCATTAACAAGGACTGTTTTGTTTTGTCGGTCGATGGAGACAAGTTCGGTGTTGATTTTGACGTCGACGTTGAACCACGAGGTGATTTTCTCAGGAGTTTGAACGTGGAGTGCGTCGTCTGTGGGGATGACGCCGGAGAGGGCGTAGGGGATGCCGCAGTTGGCGTAGGAGATGTAAGGCCCGCGTTCGAGGACGGTGATGGGGGTGTGTTCGGAGAGGCCTGGTGATTGTTAGCCGCTTTGTGGTGGAATGTTGGTATGGATGGAAATTACTTACGGCGGAGGCGCGTTGCGCAGGACATGCCGCCTGCTACGCCGCCGGCGATGATGATTCTTTTCGGGGTGGTAGACATCGTGGCTGTTGGTATGGAGTCTGGCGAGTGAAGCTGGGGTTCGGAGCAGCTTGTGGCTGGATGGTCGGCCTGGAATCGCGATGAAATCTCAGGTTGGGTGTCGGTTTCAATCCAGTGTGCTTTGACACATGTCGTTCGACTTTTCTGTGGTGATGTCGTCACTGTATCGTGGAGTCTGCATGTGCGGTGTGAAGGTCAGAGCACGCACCGCCCAGAAAGTGGTGTCATCCCATCTTTCAGACTGCTGGGTAACTGAGCGTGGAAAGATGAGGCGAGGGCAGCTGGTTGAAATCACCGTTTTTCAAGTGACCACCGGAATTCCGAATTGTCTGTCGGACATCATGAAGAGGTGAATAAGAATGTGGAGATGATGATGATGGGCGCAGGAAGATTCAACGGCTGAAGGTGGAAAAGAAAACGATGAGGAACACGGGGAAAGAAATCGAAAAAGGCCAAAAAGTCAAGCCCAACAGAATGCCCGTCCTCGCTTCGAACGAGGCACCTCCAACGCCCACTATCCTTCCGCCGCGGATGAAGTGCCAGAAGGGTCCATGGGAAACAGTGCAGTGTGCTACACAATTACACCATGAGCAGTTCTGCCTGTAGAATGGAAGGTACTCAAAACCGCTACAAGTATTGACAGCAGAGCACGCTGCAGGCCCTTTTGTCTCCAGCAGAGAATGTGGAGGTTCGAGTAATTTGACACTGAGCAGTTTCCCAAACATATCCATGTGGTCTCTACTTGTTTCAAGTGAATCATTGACTTGGAAGTCGACCTTATGTCCGATGTTGTCCACATGCCTCCGTTACGATATGATGGCAATAGCAAAACTCCTGAAGGGTTCTATAAGCTCTTTACACACCCTGAGTTCAATTTGCTCGAGAACGGCCCCGAGTCACTGCTTGTTTTCTGCCAAGTTTTGGTCATTGCAGGACTAACGCATGATTGTTGCGAGTTTTGAATGTACAGGCCACCACCAACCTCGCTTCTCTGTTCCAATCACTTCAACGCGAAATTGGACTTGGCTCAATAATCTTTGGGACTATGCAACGCTCAATGTGTAAGCTGCAGTACACACCATACCTGAGTAATCTAGTCTCGTCCTGGCCAGCTAGGCCGCCGAGTTTCACTTTTGTACCTTGCCAAGATGTGGAGGTCAGTTGCTTTGATCTGACTCTGAGGACATGGCAATTTGTATATGAGTAAGGCTTGGACACCCTCTGCAGTTTTACAATGAGGTTCCAGAAGAGTTGAAGACTTTGCCTACCAAGTCAACCTACGATCAAAAGATGGACTGCATCGGATTTGTGATGTACCAAAACACCTCTCCAGTCGACAATCCGCCGCCTTATCAGGCATGGCCAACCTACAACAGTCAACCCGACATGATTCCTATGCAACCAATACAAAATCACGGCACGAATCTAAGCCCAATGGGTACATTTCCCACAGCTCCCCCGAATAGTTACATGCCAACTCACATTCCACAGTCCAGCGCGGCCAAAACCCCCATTGTTGCGCCACCACCGATGCCACAATCATCAAAGCAACCATACTTCCACAACTCCCACAACTACCCCGGCCCCATCACTCGAAATAACATGCTCTACAAGGATCGCAGCTCCTGGATAATGGTATATCTGAAACGGGTAAACTGCCCCTACTGCCATGTGGTGGCCCCCGTGAAAAGAGTCATCAAATATGATTGGAGGTGTGTCTGCATTCTCCCTGACAAGCGCCATCTACACATACTAACATCAAACGTGCCCGCTGGCTCAGTCCCAAGATGTGGGGAAGCTGGATCCTCGGCTGCCTCTTAACATTGTGCTGCATGATCTTCTGTCGACCGACAAAAACGACATCAAGGACTTCCACTGTGAGCAGTGCGGGACCAAGGTAGCGACGTTGCTTGTGGGGAGTAAGAAGGTCAGAGTGTATGAACCAGACGGAAGGGAGTGGGAGTATCAGATTCCAAAGAATGACGACATGAAGACAAGCAAGCAACAACAGGAAAAAGAATGGGCAGCAACACAGATACTTCTGGCAACTCACATGGCCAATGTACAAGGCCAGCGATTGGGAATCTGGCGGCGTTAAGTCCGGCTTGATGGACTTGACGGAATAAAGCAACCTTGACGTGCTGGAGCCTTTTCAAATATTGACGTGTACGTGATGAAGGCTCCTAAATCGAGGCAGCACGGAGTTGCGCTGTTGACGCGAAGCATAAGGCGGACCACACTAATGTAACCCTCTGACAACTGGTTCACATTGCCTGATACACCAATGCTTTCCCCGCATGCTTGAGGGGTATCGTCCCAGCTACCTCGGGGTATTTCGCTTGCGTGTGCTGCTGAACTAGGGGTTTGCCGCTCGCGCGCGCATCGAACTGTGGCGAGTTTGAGCTTTCGAATGGTTTCGAAACGGAGAGAGAGGATGGAGGCTGGGATGGAGTACACCCAAGGGAGAAAAAGTAGATGGTGAACTGAACAGTAAATACAAGTTCCCGATTGTGTGGGGAGCGATAAACTAAGGGAGGGCTGCAGATATATGAATGATTCTTCTCCTAAAATTAGCGGCGAATCCTTCACCAAGCCACTATTCGCTTTTCAACTACATCATCAGCCACATAGGTGTCGGTCTCGCATTCGGACTCTGAACATAGCCACGATGGTGAGAGGACGCTGTAAGTAAGCGCTGATTTTCCACTGAGGGCACTCAGCTATATAATACCCGATTTCAACCATTTTTCGTTCCAGGTGAAACACTTGGCTTATAATTGAAGCCCACACCAAATCTCACGACAATGGATTCCAATGTCCCTGTCCCCGTTGACCATCAATTGGCGCCACCACAATACAACGAACTCATTAGCAACCCCCTCGAAAAAATAACTCTGGACGTTGGTGGCCATAAATTTACTGCAACAATCAATAGTCTCACCACCAAGAGTTTTCTTTTCAAGCTGCTTCTGCAAGGTGATTGGAAGTCTTCTTTGCAGGAAGATCAAAGCATCTTCATCGACTCGGATCCAGAAGCATTCCGGCACATTCTCCAGTACCTGCGGCGCGGTGTGTTCCCATTGATCTATGACCAGAAAAAGGGGCACAACTACAAGCTCTACGCTGATATCCTAGCCGAGGCAAAACATTTCGGCATCCCCAAGTTAGAATGCTGGCTCAACGATCAGCTGTACTTGCGCTGCATCACCAGCTCAACAGTGTGGAGTTCCGCATACAAGAATGATAGGATTCCAACTGGGTTTCAAACGACATCAATTTGGGGTAGCGATGTCACCTCCACACAGCTCGTGCAACAGGACGTCAACACCGTCAAGACACCTATCTGTCCTCATCTTGCTGAGGATCGAAGCCCGTGCCCGAAGCGGTCTTGCTACCTTTCCTTGGGAACAATGCAGGATAATGTCGAGAAATATCGTTGGGCCGAAGTCGGTAGGTCGATCAGGTTCATTCAAGGATGGTGTAGTGACTCAGGGTAAGTTGTTAATCTATAGCCAGACCTCATTTCAAGGGCTTGACCGCTAACGCTATATCAGCAAGGAGTTTATGGAACACTGGGGGCGAGTTTCTCGGGTAGCACCTCCCCCAAAGCCGGAGTCTCAGCGTACAGTCCAGACTAAGCAGTGATGCGAGTAGCAACAACAGACGTAGCATTTTGTTCGATGACAAGGGAAATTGTGCCGGCAGTGACTGTGTTCACAGGGTTGGTACATTGGAAGGGTCTTTACATTTGAACTGGCAACTGCTGTATTTTGTTAAGCAAGCCCGGTATTGATAACCTGAGAGTCTTTCGTTAGTTTATTTTCTTTAAATGTTGGATATCTATGACTTATAAAACCAAAGCAAGGCCCGTTGTGGGGGCTGTTTGAAGAAGGCATCATTTTCCCCATTACATCATAGCCCTCTTGCTCAAAGAGCCCTACAGAGATAAGATAAACTGCCATTTAGCCTTTCTGCATCCGTGGGTTGCGTGTTGGTTGGTTGGTTGTGAAGCGGGGGAAAGAGATTCCGCTTGGTCGACGTCTCATTGGCTCAGGTGGCCCACCTCCAGGCAGTCGCCCCTATAAAAGGGACATCTGCTTTTCCCAGCAACAAGAGATAACGGTCAACCATTTTAATCTTGACATCCCCACCAATTTTGTTCATCATGTTCGAACGTCTCCCTGAGGAGCTTCTTAGGAAAGTTGCTAGAGGGTTTCGTATTCAAGATTTCAGGAATCTCTCTCTCGTCTCCAAGACCTTCCACGCCATATGGACACCCAGGTTCTGGAGAACACTGTGTGTCGACACTGCTGGCTCAACAGGCCGACCGTCTTCTGTCAACATCAAACGGATCGAAGAGTGCGCCCATGCGCTTCAGAATGCTTCTTCTTCCATACAGAATGTCTCCGCCGTTGTGTTTCGACGGGACACTCGATGGAAGCTGTGGGACTATGAGAAGGAGGAAGACTGGCCCAACGTCGCCTGCCTGCACCGGCAACCGCCCCCAGAGGATCTTAACTACTGGAGAGCCTTGCAACGAGCAGCGCCAGTCGCCGGATGGTCATTCGATCAGTGGTTCTACAGGAATCAGAAATGCATCGAGGCAAGTATAGAACGAATGGGTGAGCAGCTGGATTCCGACCCCATGGACGATATTGCCCTCGCTATACAATCTGTCATTGGACGCATACCCGCTGGCCAACTTCAATCCTTCACCTGGGACTTGGCAACATGCATTCCTCAGGCTGCTTTTGATAGTCTCTTCCAAGCGCAACCGCAACTCGAGTCTATCACATTGACGGCTGATGCCTGTTGCAAGGTTGCCGGTGAAAGCTTGCACCTTCCCTTCCGCCAACTCAAACGGGTCATCTTGAACTCATTACCACGATCTCATGTTGTACCAGTGCGAAGAATGCTGGGAACAAATAGAGGGCACCTGCGTGACCTTCAAATCGAGGAGTTGGTGCATGGGTGCTCTTTAGAAGAGCTCTTATATGGCGGAGAAGACTGCGAAGATCCAAGAGATAGGGAGTCGACAGACGAACGCAACGGCGAACTGGTGGCGGATCCAACGGTGTCTTTCCCGTCACTAGTGACGCTGTCGTTGCGGAATATCGACTTGACCGAGAGTATGGACCGGGCATTCAACATCAGTGGCCTCACATCACTTACACTACGCCAATGCTCAAGGTCGAGCGAATTCTTTAAAGGAATCATGGCAAGGAACAGCCCGCTTCAGCTCAAGGCTTTAGAGTTCCTGGCTGACTATGCGGACCGTGACGAGGATGAAGTCACGAACACACTCAACCACTTCCTCCTTTCATTCAAGGGCCTCGAAAAGCTTTACATCGGGTTGATAAAAACCATCTACTATCCGGACAGCCGGGATAATTTTCATCCCCTATGGTCTACCGTTGGTTATCATGGCTCTACGTTAAAGAATCTGGTGATTCACCCGCGAGGCCCAATCACGAGGACAGATCGGGCTTGCACGATGGGGGGCATCCAGAGAAATGTTGATTGGATTCATGATGTCGTTGGAAAGCTCGAGATTCCACAAGTGACCATTAGCAACTGGATGAAGGATCCCGCCACTCATCCCCTGTCGCCGCTGTCAAAGCTCGAATGCCTCGGCGTATCTTCGGACCCGTTTGCGAAAGCTACAACGCAGGATGGGGGATCCGAGCAATTTCTTGTATGCATCCTCAATGCCATCGCAGGACCGCACCTCCTAAGCATCGCTAACTGGTCGTCGACCGTGCAGATAACCCTCCTCAGGCCTTTCACCTCATCATCCCGCCGCCTCAAGCTCTTACATCTCCGGAAGACAGGTTCCAATAGAGAGGATCCATTTGGTTCGAAGGTTTTCATGTCGAGTGTCAGCCGACGGGTCAGCGGAGACAAGACCATTCCTGTCCCCCCTTCAAGAATGATGGCATACCTTGACCCCGACTTTGCTCGGTTTCTCAATTGGGTCTTCGGGCGAGAGGGAATCCCCTCCCTCGAGGCCGTCGCGTTTGGGGATTTTGCCAACGGCCACATGAGCGGTAAATACCTTCATAACATGTTTGCATGCCGCAGCAGTGATGTACGTCAGGGATATCGATTGTTTGACTGTCGCTACAAGGTCCGTGAGCACGAATGGCGGGTCGTGGCGGATAAGTACGCTGACTTTTTGGAATCGTGCCCCGTCGGGCCGCGGGTGGAGAGTTGGGGGCATGGGTCGAGGTATCATTTCTAATCGAGATCGCTTCTGTTTTGAGGAGGCAAGGAATTCGGGCTCTGGTAGATGTAAGTAGAATCTTTATCAACAGGTACGATCATCCTTCCCAAATGGTGATATGGAACTGTAAAGACAGCTGCTCTTGAAGTGAACGACTAGACAAAAGAAGGTATCTATCAGATTCAGCATGGCGATTTGGTAATAGGTAGGTAAGTGGTAATGAATATGGGAGTATGAAAGAGTGGAGGAGAAAAGAAAAAAGAAGAAAAAATCAAGCCCAGACAGAGCTACCCAACCCTGTCTCGAACGGGGTAGCTCTCGACTGCCCAGTAGCCTTAACCCGTGGATGAAGTGCGAAAAGGGTCCCTGGGACACAGTCGAGCACCTTAACTAACTAGGCCATGGGCAATTTTATTGAAAAGAAGGTCTCCAATGCAGTGTATAAACCCCACCATGGCCCCTTTCTCTGTTATTGGGTCGCAAGAGGCCGTCTGCTCCCTCCTTCCCGGCGGTGATATAACATTGCCGGGCCCGGAGAGCACGCATTCGATGTGGGCAATTCAGACTTTTTCTTCCTTTTCCTCATGCGACTTGCTCCTGGACACGCGCCCCATAGACACCCACAAAGAAGCCATCCGAAGTAATTAGTTCTTCTCCGCCATTCTACAGCACCAATCTAGCCGGTTTTGGGGAGGATAGTACAGGACGGTATTATGACCTATAAGTTTTGACCGCCCCTGTGCATCGTCACCTCAACTACTGTTGCCCGGGAGCTACATACGCGAAAGCTCCTGGGTAGTTGAGCCCTGAGATTCAGTACCACCATGCGAAGTCCTGTTCAAGTGGTGGAATCTCATGACAGGTTCAAGTCTCCGCCAATACCGAGGAGGCTTCTTATTATATCTGGACCTCCCTCCTCTCCTTCCAATCTTAACCTTCCCCGTACTCTCTGACCTCAGTCAACCAACTACCCCCATCCTTGACATTATAACAGTTCGTTTTGAAAGTATGCTAACATCTCGCAATCACAACACCGCTAATACTCGTTATTTACAGGCTCATCTCTTCGGGGAGCAACCGTGCTACTGAACGAAACCAAACGGCCCCTTCACTCCCGTATTCCAATTCGGGTGCATGTGGAATTGGGAATTGAGGATACAGAAAAGCGTGCTGGTAAGCGGTTTCGGGGCGAAAATTGGGATTGGGCCGCGACCGGATTTGGATAACACCGCGCTTTGAAGCGCCCGACGAGAGCGCAGAAACGGATTACGACGAGCCCGGCGGTCATAGCACCGCCAGCAACCCCCTCCAGCAGCGCCCACAGGTGTTGTACTCTGCGGTTGTTGGGACGATTAAAGTTCAACCGCGGACCGAAGCCCTGCAATTGCTGCGACGATCAGCCAACTGCCTGACGTCGAAGAAGATGCTGTTCGTCTGGTGTATTGCGTTGATGATCCTCCGGCTACGCCTCACCCCAAGAGTTGGAAGGGCAGAGGTGTTTGTGTTATCCGACAGCCAACAGGCACTCTCGATGTTGGATAGATGTCCGTTCAGGGCACCAGGGTTTACGCTGACGACGATGCCGTTATACATTCATTTGGCTGAACTCACCAGTAAGCTTCAGGAATTGGGTGGCCTCCTGACAATTCGTGGGTCCTTGGGCACAATCACAACTTTACTGTGCATCAGCTGGCAGAGGAAGTAGTCCATATGGCATTTTCTTGATAGTATGTGGGAGTTACCAACACATCGGCATCGAGAAGGAAATTCCCCTATATAACCCATTATGCTGGGCAGATCTCTTGGCGCACTTCAACAGTTTCGGGACAAGCATCCGACAGTGGATGTCAACATCAGCACCTCAGCATACAGACAAGCCCATAACAAGTGTTTGAGGCTGAAGAAGTTTCCTCGTCCCTGGGATTGGGCTCTGCATCACCAAATTATGGAGCTGAAGGAGGATTTGTTTCACATTATTTGAGAACCTAGCTGGGGGACTCAGATGGGCGGTTGTGCGGAAACATGTCTTGGTGTGCTCATGAATCGTTGGAAAGTGTCGCGAAGTGTTTGAATGTGTTGGAGGGTGCTGGAGGATGTTGAAGCCATGGACTGTGGTTGCAAGTGGGGAAATGGTTGACAGTGTGTCGGAGAATGACGGAGAAATGTTGAAACATTTAGGTCACTGCAAGAAGGAATAAGGATGCTCTAGGGGACTGCATGTTAAGGAGGACCAAGTGAGCTGTCTGTGTCAAAGAACCTCAACAAGGTTAGGTAGATGTATACTGAGTAAGTGGTATTCACCGGTTACTATCTCCAGATTTTTCGTCTCTTCTTCAACTACCAGTCTCTTAAAACAACCCCTCTACCCACCCGGCAGACACCTTTCTTCTACTCTCCCCCTTTCACAACCACGCGGACACTCGCCCCTCACAAACTGCCACCCAAACAACACTTTACTCTGCTCCCTCCCCACCCCACCAAGCACCACCTCCGGGTCCTTATCCCTCATTCCAACGCCACTCCCAATAACCTCTTCACTCCCGATGTCCAACTGCCCCCATCCCAGTTCAATCAACTCTTTGATCGGAACCCCGTAAACGTACTCCCTAAACCCTGCCCATCTCACCGCGGCAGCGCACATGAGGCAGCTTTCGGCGTTGGTGTAGAGTGTCAGGTCCTTGAATGCGGCTAGGGATTCGGCAGGTGTCATGTTATACGCAGAAGAGACAAAAAGAGAGGAGCAATTATTAATGGCGGCGATTTCGCCGTGCAAAGTTGGGTTTCCTATCCGGGAGTTACCGTTAGAGCCGGTGCAGATAAGTGTTCCTTGGGGGTTGGCAGAGGTGTGGTTCACGATGACGGTACCAAAGGCGGCGAAGGGGCAGGGGTGGGAGAGGGCGAGGGTGTTGGCTTGGTGGATCCAGTATTCGCGGGTGGAAAGGGGGATGGTGTCATCGTTGTAAGGGTTTGGGAGGGTGGGTGGTGATGCTGGGATGGAGGGGGTGCATGCTGTGATTGTTGGGAGGAGGAGGGACAATGAGGCTAGTAGCGATTGGCTTTTCATGTTTGGTTGGGTTGTGTGTGGGAGAGAAAGAAAGGTTAAGGCTGTGATTGTGAATTGTGTGATGTTCCTGGATAGTTGGTGGTTGGAATGCTGACATCATTGTTTCGAATTGGCCAGGACTTTTGGGTGCCACACCGTCTGTCTCATTCCGTCAACTACACGCACGATGAACGAGCTTTATGATCACGAAAAGAGTGTCATCTCTGTATTTTATTAAATATGTAGCCAAATTTGATACCGGAAGATTGTTAATAAGGGTATACAGACGTTGCCGCCGCTCAATTCTCCCCCTTTCTAATGTTTTGTGTTTCCATTCACGTGCCTCTGTGCAACGCGGCTGGCTGGCCGGCTGGCGGGGTGCCATGTGCACTTTCCAGCTCCCTTGGAGCAATCTCAGGACCGGGAGCTTCCGCCCTGCCCTCTATATCCCATCGGTCACTGCTCAACTCGGCTGGCGCTTGCGTCTGTCCAAGTTCGTAAGTCGTCATTTGTGACTCCTTCATACCGTGGTGCAACTGTTGTTCGGGCTGGCCGGAGTAATAGTATTTCTCTCCAGGCCCAGAAACGACGGGTCCGGGCGGAGGTGTCCCTGCCTCAGTGACAGGTAATTCTGCTGTTGAGTCGGTACCGCTGCGGGCCAATCCACGACGCTTCGTCCTCCAAAGCAAAAAGGCGCCAACCACGATGGCAATTGCCACCGCAACAGCACCGACCGCAATGCCGGCTATCGCTCCACTCGAGATGCCACCGCTGGAAGGCTCCTCGGGCGCTGATGTGTTGGTCGGTCCTGGGTCCGAGGAAATAGCTGACGAGGGAAGGTCTGAGGGCTTCCATGCGAGCTGGATCATGGGTGCATAAATATACGCCTGGGACCAGTTCTTGTTGGGGAGAGTCATCGGAGCTAGATTGATCTGGCTTCCGCTCTCGCATTGATATGTCGAAATGGTGGTGGCTCGAGCATTCGAGATGCAGGTTTGGCCGTTCTCGTTGTGGCACGCATAGCCCTCTGGGCAGCAGCCCACAAAGGTCTCTTCTGGCTCCATCCGGTACTGTACGCGCCAACCCTGAGAGGTGGCGCTGGCGGTGCATGCCGACACATAGCCCGCCGGGCAGTGAAGGCCGGGCGAGTAAAATCCCCAGCCGTAGAAGGCCGAGTTGGTTCTCGGAGCGTCTGTTGTCGTCGGCGGCCAGCAGTCGGCGTTATCCTGGACGTCTTCCGGCCCGCACCTCTGGCCCAACCAGCCCACGTTGAACACGGTGTGATGGGCCGGTGTCCAGCATGCTTCCGGAGCTGTGAAGGTCGTGGTCAGATGACCGAGGATCTTTCGGGCTTCGTCGGTAAAGATTGACATCCTGTCTTGCTGCGAACTCGGACTTGTTGGTTCGGGGGATGAAGTGTTGTTTTGTCGTCGTCGAGTTGAAGACAAAAGAAACTGGGAACGCAATACCGGTCGTCTTTGGGAGCCACTCCGCTTTTCATGGCGCGAGATTCAGCGGCCGGGAAGTCTAGCGAAGCGGCCAAGCCCGTAGGTCGTCAGGGTGGTCAAGTCTACGCTGGTCGAGACAGGGACCACATATCCAAGCTGTTGTTTATCGATTGGTTGGCGAGTCTGCACCCTTGCTAGTGTTTATCAGTCCATCCCGCTGATTCGATCATTGAACCCGAGACCGCCACAGGGTGACCCGTCCGTGCATTTTAAGGTCGGCGGGCACGTGGGCTCGACGGGTACCCGGGATCGAGGCCCGGCGATGGCATAGTGCGCCTTCCAGCAGTAAGGATCCTGGTATGATCAACGAGGCGAAGATAGCAGCTTTTTTTCCACCTCCAGTGCAGGCCAGAGCCTCAGAGGCCTAGACCCTAGGTTTAGGGCGGCGCTGCAACGAAATGATGTCTCATAAGTTTTAAGATCGCCTGGGTTCCGGTAGTCAGTTGGCGCGGTAAATAAAAAAATGCAACCCTGAGATCCCCAAACTTGTTCCCCAGACACATGGCCCCCACGGCCGGCGCCGCGCCGGCTTCCCTTCTGGCCCACAAACACGCAATCCAGCCATCAAGAAACTCTTGTACAATCTGCGCAACATTGACAAAGCCTCTGCGATTGAAAAGGCTCCCAAGGGTAACGACAGCGAGGCCCCTTTCATCACCGCTTTTCCAAGATCAAGAAAGCCATACTCTGCAGGGCTTGGTGCTTCCACATCTTCTTATTTTAGAAGCCTCCATCGAAAAAAAAAGCTTGACTCGAGCCTGCTCGCTAAAGACATCGCTTAAAGTGAGCGATGTGACCAGCATTGGTGGAGGGGTCAAACCAGGATCGCCGATTGAAGAAGTTCACCGCTCGAGGTCCATAGCGAAAACTTGAGCAAATTCTGCATAGCTTGTGCAAGGATGCAGATATGCCGGAACCGGAAGTGCCATCGTCAACGGCGAGAACGCGGACGGGTTGTTCGTCGGTTGCTCAGGAAGTAAAGTAAACAAATCCGGGAAGGAGATGTATCTACTGCTCAGGGGTCACTCCTGTGTCGACGAAACCCTAACCCAGGCAACACCAGCCAACAGCACCAACACAACACCAATTGCATCGTCCCAACAGCCAACCGCATCCACGCAAAACCCTGTGACACAGGGTTGATCCTTCCCAACCAACAGCCCTGAAAGATTCCGCCACTGTCACTTAACCAGCAACTCCCCCCCCGGTGGCGCTGTCGAATTGTTTACACACTCTTTCACTCATTGCCGTCAAGAAAATTACCACCAAAATGACACGCTCAATCCTCCCAACCTTCCCGCTCATCATCCTCGGCGTGATCGAGCCACTGATGCTGTACGTCCCCCATTCTACCCACCCCTCTAATTGCCCAAATCACTCACAATTCCCCAGCCTCGAAGCTTACCGTGTCGGCATCATCAACCCTGGCGCCCAGCACTACTTCACCCGTCAACTCCCGCCCGACTTGCTCTACACCACCAAGACTACTCAGCCTCCCGAGTTCTCTCCCCAGGCCGAAACGGTCACCCTCCAGCTGGTCAACGTCTTCCTCCTCCTCGCGGGCTTGGCTGTCGTGTGCTGCTTCAGCAAGGATAAATGGACCGTCAAGGGCTACTGCGTCGTGGTCGGGCTGGCGGATTATGGCCATATCTGGTCCATCTACAAGGGTTTGGGCGCCGAGGCGTTTTGGGAGTTTGGCAAATGGAACGACTTGGTTTGGGGCGGGGTGTTGGCGTCCGCGTTGTTGAATTTGGTGAGGTGGGGGGTTGTGTTTGATGCTTTCGGGAGGTTGAAAGATGGGAAGAAGGTGAAGACGAAGTGATTGAGAGCTGGGGGCGGTGGAATCATTTGACGCTATGGTCTGGTCGTCAGAGGTAGCTTAAAGTCAAGAAACCAAGCAATGAGTTGTCCTCGGACTTCACAAATTGTCTGGTGCTCAGCCATTGATTTGCGATATCTCGGATCCCATTGTTACCTCAATGTCACCAGGCAGTCGGCTCGGTGATGCTCGGACAAAGGCCGACAGGGGTATCGGAGGTACGTACCTCCGACCATTCCGTAATCAACAACTTTATCTTGACTTCATGTCAGCCTCAACTCCCATGTTTTTTGCCTTTTTGCCTTGCATCGTTCATCATACCATTCATACTAGTTAGTACATCCAGAATGGCAACGCAGACACAAACCGTTATCGTTGCACCCCAATCTGCACACACCAACCCCTCCAACAACAACCTCATCACACTTTCCAGCCCTAAAGGACCACCTGAGAATGATAGCCACCCCGACGTTTCCATGTCCAAGCGGGACATCACCCTCCTCCTAACACCCCTCTGCCTTTCTGTTCTCTTGTCTTCTCTCGACCTGACGATCCTCACCCCCTCCATTCCCTCCATCGTGGCCGACTTTGCCTCCCCACAAGGCTACATCTGGATCGGCTCTTCCTTCATCCTCGCCCACACAGCCAGCACACCCATCTGGGGCGCAGTGTCCGACATCTTTGGCCGCAAACCCATCATGCTTTTATCACAGGCCATCTTCTTCTTCGCAAGCTTGCTATGCGCCCTAGCAGAGAACTTGCACTCCCTAATCATCGGAAGAGCATGGCAAGGGGTAGGCGCGAGTGGGATGGGGATGATGGTCAATGTGATAATTTGTGACTCGTTCAGCTTGAGAGATAGGGGGTTGTATCTCGCGGTAACAAGCGGGGTGTGGGCGTTGGGGAGTGCGATTGGGCCGGTGATAGGTGGTGTGATGAGCACCAGGTTGAGTTGGAGGTGGTGTTTTTGGATAAACCGTCAGTTTTGTCACTTGGGCTTTCTTCCTCCACAGAATCACACTAACAAATCCATAGTTCCCATCGGTTTTCTAGTTTTCTTCACCATCCTCATCTTCCTTCCACTCCCATCACCGCCCAAGACCCAGATCCTGACCGGGCTCAAAGCTCTGGACTGGTCTGGCTCGCTCCTCATTATCGGTAGTGCCCTGATGATCCTCCTGGCCCTCGACTTCGGCAATGTAGTACTAGCCTGGTCTTCCCCCACAGTCATCAACCTCCTCGTCTTTGGCGTCCTGACCCTGTTCCTCTTCTTCTTCAACGAGTGGAAGTTAGCCCCCAACCCAATATTCCCCGCAAGGTTATTCCCCAATCTCTCCACCATCGCTGCCTACGGCGTCTTCGCCTTCGACTCGTTCGTTTTCATTGGACTGGCGTATTATCTCCCTCTCTATTCCCAATCCGTGCTTGGAGCCAATGCGCTCACGTCGGGAGTCCACCTTGTCCCATTGATCGTCTCGTGTTCTTTATCGGCGGCGTTTGCGGGGGTGGCTATCCAAAAGACGGGGAGGTATCTCCCTGTTATGTATGCCGCGCAGGTCTTCCTCATGCTTGGAGTGGGGTTGTTCGTCAGCCTTGACTTTGCGGAGCCAGATAATCTCGGGAAGTTGTTCGGGTACGAGATTCTGGCTGGAGTAGGAGTGGGTATGAACATCGAGGGGCCGATTCTGGCTGCGCAGGCGGCGGCGAGCGAGCTTGATACTGCGGCGGTGATTGCGGCGATGGGGTTTGCGAGGTCGATGGCGACTGCGGTGTCGATTGTCGTTGGGGGAGTGATCTTTCAGAATGGAATGGACGGGCGGAACCGTGGTCTGGTTGAGAAATTGGGAGGTGATATCGCTAATTGGTTTGGAGGGGGAGAAGCGGCCGGGAGTATCGAGAGGATTGGATTGCTTGGTGAGCAGCAACAGCAGTTTGTGAGGGGCGCATATTTTGAGTCACTGAGGTTGGTTTGGATCATGGTATGTGGTTTTTTATCTGTTTGTTGGTGTTTGGGAATTGATCAGCTGACAAATGAACAGTATGTCGCGTTTGCTGGCCTTGCCACTGTCCTCACTTTGTTGGTTAGAGGGCAAAGGTTGAGCAAAGAGCACAAAGACGTCGTTTTGGGTGTGGAAAGAGGTCGGACTACGCAGGGGCAGCTACCGGTACAACTGGGACCTGTGCCTGAAGTTAGATCGGGAGAGGGGAGTGCGGCGGAAATCAGGCTGCGGAGGGCTGCAGACATATGATGAGGCTCTGGAGGTGGTACGCTCTTCACAATACCTCAGAGGCCCCGGGCTTTGAATTGGGTAGAAGCCGCAGCCGCCTGAGAGAGCATGGGAGCAAATCATCAGCCAATCGGAGTGGTTTTTGCATTGGTGGGTCGATTTGACCGGCCTGCTGGGCTCTGTCAAGTCGTCATCCGTCCAACAATTGCCAGCTGAGCTTTCTGATGTACCACGTCAGATCATTTTGCAGCATCATCATTCTCTTTTGCAGTGAATGTCACAGATCTGTAATATTGTTACAGTTGGATATTTGACAGTCATGACTCGAGGCTCGGCCTCGGGATTACCCTCCATTTCTGGCACGGTCACTCTGTGGGTAAGATTCGTGATTGTATAAAGCTAGCTTCACCTTTTTGACGCTCCGTGTCCTTCCTGTCCCATCCATTTAATTACCTACCATACCTTCATCAACAAATATTCGACTCTCTTAATGAAATGTGTTCAAGGTCCATCATTCCAATAACTTGCGTATATACTACATCATGCCTCACTAATGTGGAAGGAGGTAGGTGAGCTCCTTCCCTCCATGGAGGTCCCACTTCGGCAAGCGGGCGTGTTCTCTTGTTCTGTTGAATAGGGAAATGGCCCTCACAACTTCATTGAATTCCTCTGGTTAGGCACGCATCATTAACGAACACCCACTTTTCTTCTCCAACAGCCTCCCTGGATAGAGGGTAGCTAGCGGCAGATGACTAAGTCCGCTGATGCATGATTTGTTTCGAGCTGTTTTAGGATCAACTTCCATCACTCAAACTTTCAACCTTTTGACCTTTTGACTTTCCAGAAAGTCCATTCAATCCTGTTCGTCTGAGTCACATCTCAGCTAAACACGAGGTTACATTGCCTCACCGCGGTTGCTATCCCTTGTTTACCGTGCAGGACTGCCTCAGAATGACTGGATCCTTCGTTGAAAGAGGTTCATTAGTACCGGATGTTTTTGCTAATGTATTTTCATTTATCCAGATGGACAAGATATGCTTTCGTTAAAGAAATACCGGACGCCGATAAAAAGGACATTGGACGACCTTCAAACCGACGAAGCCCAAGTCGGAATCAGACAGGCCAAATCAGATGATCTTAGTAAAAAATACCCTTTTCTACTCCGGGATGGCAAAGAGGACGAAGGACCGATATTTTATCCGATGCCTCCAAGCCCAAACTTCCTGCAGCTATTTTCGAATCACTACCCGAAGCTGTTAGCCCGAATCGAAGACCAGCAAATGAATCGGGAGGCTGCACTGGCATATGCTGCCTATATTGAAGCATTGCTACGGAAAGAAGGAGACATTGTTCGGTTGATTTATGGCATGGATGGTTTAGCTACATTGTAGTTCGACTGGGAACCCGTCCCAGGCTCCTTTGCTATATGTCTAGATGCAAGGATAGACGACGGACATTTTGTTGGAAAATCACAGGGGTTCTTTATCGATGAGGTCCCATCAATCCACTGGGCCGAGCTTATGGGAATCACTGAAGTAGTGCATCAGACCGTTCTTCGCCGCCGTAAGGCTATACCGTCCCGGGGTGAGCTGTACATACTTACTGACAGCGCTCAAGTTCTCGAGTATTTGCAACGATATCCACACGAAGTCCCGGTTAACAAGCTGGCAATGGCGCCGGTGTACGATTATTTGGTGAAGCTATCAGAAGAGCTGGATAAGATGGGATGGGTGTTTACGATTGCTTGGGTGCCTGGGCACCGTCACCAAATCAGATGTCACATCAAAAGTGATAGAAAGGCAAGAAAAACCAGAAGGGAAGGTTATAAAACCATTAAGAAGCTACTCGACTGGCCTAACACAATCCCAACACCACTGGCTATGTCGGATGCTACCTATTTTGCGCCGATGACGCATAGTTCGATATGGCCTTCCTGCATGCCAGGAGCATGGAGGCTATCCGCAATTTACCACCGCTTTTACATATATGGATCTTTTTAAGCTATCAGAGACGTATAATATCCTGTACTAGTTTTACATTAATGCGGTTGAGGGTGGGGTAGAGACGCCCAAGGAAATTCGAATTAGGGGGGAAGAGCTACTAAGAATCAGATGAGAGGTGCTTTAGAGTCGGGGCTGGAAACTAAAGCCTGAGGGAGCTGGAAGTATAAAGATTCCATAGGAAGGTGGAAGCAAATTATGTTAGGGGCAGCTAAGAGTTTTAACGGGATCCCAAACGTCTACCTAGGATAGGTATGTCTTAGTAGTTAGGGAAATTGAAGATCGGCCACCTTCCCGAATGGACCGGATAAACTTTTGTTAAGTATCCGTCTATTACTATCTTTAACTTTTGTCTTTAACTGATTTAATAACCAATAGTACTAGCATTAAACCCAATCCCGTCTTGGGAGTAGAAATAACTCTGGACTTTCTTTAAAGGATTAATATTTTATATTTATAAATCACGGAAGATACTAACCTAATCATCAATAATGGCCAACCCCTCCTATTATAACTTAATAACCTCACTGCCCGATAAATAACCACTTGCTAAGCTTCCATCATAGTTTTCAAAGGTAAAATGCTAAATAATCTTTTAAACTCTTCCAAGAGGTGACCGGAAATTTTCCGGAAGGGAAAGTATAATGCATTTGCAATATGCCTATCTAAACTTCGAGGACACCGGGGATTATTTTTTATAAAGGCACTATCTTGAGAGTAGATGGAGGTGATGTCAATGGGTGACCCTGGGCACCAGTAGGTTCTTGTTTTGCGGTTAACTATTCCGTCGGTCGAGGTCAACTCTACATAGGGATTCAGAAATTGTGGTAATATCCTACGTTTTCGGAAGAGGGATCCTAACTACACACCTTATCACTAAGGTAGTTGATCTTAATACCGGTCTATAGGTACCTAGTGTCTCTCTCGAGGAGTTGGGCTAAAGAGGATTCGAGCTGATAATTTCCTGGATACCAGGATATAATTACCAGATTATTATTGCACTCCCCTCCACTGCTGTTAGCAACCAACTCGCTCTTTACACTATTTAGATATCAGCCTTAGCATTATAGTACTTGAAGGCTTCTCACTTTACGCCCCGCTACCTTCTTGAAACACAAATAGACTTGGGGAACTGTCTATATAATCTTAGAGACGGTACCTAAGGGTGTATGATGTAAGTACATATGCTCCTGCAAAGCCTTTTGTATGCTCAGAATAGACATCTCTTGATGATTTAAATCGAGCATTTCACGTACCAAATAGCTATTTACAGTATTGATAGGTAATCTGTGCTAGATGGAAGCGATTTGTCTCTCAGGGAACTGGACAAGTAGATGCGGGTATTGTTAGAGGAGGTCCTGTTTTTGAAATAAGGAAGTGCAGACCTACGCTAGAGGAACTCTCGATAACAGCAGCCCTGACTATGTTGTCGACAATGGAATTGAGCGCGCCTTCTAGTTTTGCGTGGACAAAATTTTATAACCACAAACACTCCCTCTTTCAAACAGCTGTTTTTCTTTGCAACGCAGTCAACCAAAATAAACCAAGAGATCGAAGAAAATGGGTAAGCAACTAATTCATTTTCGATACAGACTCCTCGCTAGTAAGCGTTCGACTACGCTACCAGCAAGCGTTAATTACAACGACGGTACTCGCTCAGATGACATCAGCTACGCTTCGAGGCGCTCAGGACTGCTTGTTTTATTCGCTCGGCGACAAGCCGTAACCTATCCGAGCTTTTGCATATGTTAGTATTTGTTGCTAACATTCTATTTTTGAAAGCTACTCCTTACATACAAATACCGGCGGACCTTAAACCCCCATGGAAATGTAAAATCGAAGATGTCGAGAGATGAGGCTGGTCCTGCCATTCTTGAAGATATGGACAGCTATTTCCTGTCCAAGCGCTTTAAGAGAAGCAATAAGGGTGATGTCCGCTTGTTATGGTGTCTGGAAATGTGCCGAGCACATCATCCTAATAGCCATGTGCTAGGCGGAACAACCGTTGGATAGCCAATAAACTGCTGACCGAAAGCTCCTTGTCCCAGGTACGGTTCTCCACTGGCACTCTGATGGATTAGACAGTGACGACGTGACATTAGGCTTGGATGGTCTGCCTTGAACTCTTGCACGGCCCTGGTACCGCTTGCTTCCAAGACAGGCCATATCGAATTGATCTTGAGGGTCTTCAGCGTAGCAGAGGTCGGAGAGGAAATTGTGTTCTCGCCATCTCAGCTTCATCCAGGCCCTTCCTGATAGCCAGCACTTCCAGTCGCTGAAACTCTACTCAGCTTCGCTTGAAGCACTCAGACTTGTCCGTTTGCGAGCGAACAAATTTGTTCCGAAGCAAGCCTCCTCTTGCCTGCAACCAAAGACTTTCGAAACCCGGTTCTGGATATTGAACAATGCAAACGCCATTAGCGCAGTAAGCAGCATATTAAACTGCACTGTTGATCGCATAAACTATGTTGATGAGGATATCTCCGACCCTGGTAAGCGCGTCGATCTGAGAGGGGTCGGCAAATGTGCTATCGAGACCAATCTGTCGGTTACATCCTCACCAATAATAGTTAGACCTGGTCCCAATGCCTAGGGTACCGCCGTGTGATTGTGCTAGGCGGAGAGATCTTCGGTAGGCACTATTTTCACTCTGGTCGCCGTCGGTGAATGGCTGACTTAACTTATGCATTCTGCTTCCACTGCTGCGCCTGTAGATCTTCTACAGGCCTCTCGGGTTGTGTAGCACTAGAGACCATTTAGGCTGACAGAGAAATACTGACGCCTGAAAATCCCGTGTCTATCAATGCCGGGCGAGGTTAGACAGTGTCACTTTTCTTGCTGAGCACCGCCGGACGCTGTCTTTGAATGGTGTAAGCGATGATCATGACCATATTGCAAAGAGCGTCAAAAACACCGAAGAAGGCCAGGCAGCAGCACACTGTTGAGCTTTCAGTCAGCATAAATACTGGCCAAGTCCACACCCTTCCATTCTCACCCAGCACCCCTCATCACTTTCACCGACGGTGCCATCTGCATACCTACCTCTTCGCATTCTACCCACCCATCATTCACCATGAAACCCTCCACCGCCTTCGCCCTCGCCGCCCTCTGCATCAAGAGTTGCGTGGCCGACTTCTGGATCTACGAGGCTGGCGGATTTGGCGACATTGTCCCTGTCACGTACTTCCGTTTCTACCACGACCCTCCCAAGTGCGGTACAACCGGCAATAACAACGGACAAAACTATCTCCCATACGATGATGTCAGCAAGAGAAAGGTAAATGTCTCGTCTCTGTGGCCGACTGTGAAGATGTATTGACTGACGATAACTTCAGGGCATTGCCTGTGACGGGAACGGTTGCGAGGGTGGAAACCCCAACGAGATCACCCGTTTTGAGATGAATGTGGACTGGGGACACTACAGTACGTCGCTGCCGTCCAACGATGAGTGCTACTGGGCGATTTCTGACATGACTTGTTTGCAGCTATTTACAAGGACCGTGGCTACAGGATGTACGACAAGAAGAACAACGTTGTGGGGCAGTGTCGTCCTGATAGATCCAAGAGCTATCTTTGTGTTGGCACCGGGCTTCCTGATGGGGCTAGTGTCTTCCACTGCACTACGTCTGTTGACAAGTTCTGACAGGAACGATGAGGTTGGGCAGGACATGTGAGAAGGGTTTTGAAACTGGCGTGATGGCCTGAATGTGAAAGGGAATTTGAACAGTTGTTGTTGTTTTAAGTATTAGTCGACGGGAACCTGTAAGCAAAGAAAATGAGAAACAACAAAAATAGCACTGCCTTGAAATATCGGTTCGTTTTTGATTGACTGCTCAGTTTGAAGAAAAATCTTGAAGACGCAGACAAGCCGTTAGAGTGACAAGTTGACTCGATCAAATAGCCATCGTGGCCAGGGTTGAATTTGTGAGACGCAGCGAGTGATTACGTTGCATCTTCGAGGGTTGGGCTGGTCCCTGCGCTAGGTACCTGAGTGCAAGGACCGAGGAGCAATACAACAATAAGCAACCAGTCAGTGGTGCAATTAGCAGAGGTGTTGGCTTTCACACTGGGGTCCCGGAGCTACTCGTTCTTGGAACATACTGGGGAATGCTCTGCAGAGAACAGTGAAGCCTGGGATCACATGGGGCGACCAACGCAAGGTCCTCTTGGAGGCAGAAATTGCTTGTTTTTTGGGTGACCTTTTCTATAGGATCTGCACTTCTTTCCCTTCAAACCCAAAACCCTCATAATGCAACCGATGCAAGAGTTGTTACATGTTGACATTGTGTAATATGCATCATTCAACATGTGAGGAGCATCGTGACAAACTTGGGGCACAGGAGGCCGACGGTTCAATTCCGAAGTCAAGCACCATTTTGTCACGCCCTTGGGCAACATGTCCCCCACTGATATGCCCTTTATAACCTCTGTAAACTGTGCTCCTTGGTCGGGATATTTTCCAGAAGCAACATGGAGGCCACTGCCTTCCATCTCATCATTTCATGCACATGGCTGTCACGTCGTAGGGGAGGTTTTCAACTCGACGAGGCAACCGCATCAAGGCCGGTTAGCTATGCTTACAAGCATTCTCGTTACATAGTCTACAGAAATCAAAGTTCGGCGTATCTCCCAGGTGCCCGTGTGTATCCGTGAGTAGTCCTTCTTTATCCCCATCTTCGCCACATAATCCTTAAGAGATCCTCCCTTCGACACCGAACTTGCTCCGCAGTCTCTGTCCCTGCTTCAACCGCGGCAATGTAGTACTCATACAGCACTTCGTAGATTTCTGATGGTTTGAAAAGGCTCAGATAAGGGTAGGCATTCTCGAAGTCCTCGACAGCTGCTGTGTCTCTTGCATGCAGGATTGGCCATATATGGAGTTGTGTTTCGATGGTGCGAAGTGCGCGATTGGCTTTGGAGCTGTCGCAGCCTGATCCCGAAGCTCATGCAGCCTCTTTTGACATTGCCTCCGTAGATTCCGCGATTTCTTGTCGCTTCGCGCATGACATGTGATGTGGTGGTTGTGTCCTGGTATCCAGGCGATAATCAATCCGATGTCCCTTTGGTGCAACTCTTGTGATAGTGCTACCAGATAGTCATAAACCGGCGTCAAGATCAATTTCTCGCGAAGCGCGCTGTTAGGCTCCCTCTTTAGAAAACTCAGCACATTGGTGCAATCGCTGAATATGTAGAGTTCACCACGGCTGTGGGAAGTCGATAGTCGTAACCTCAGCACAGTCTGGTGTACCGCTTCCGTGATCGCCATCAGCTCTAACCACTGAATGGACGGTGCCCTTTTCACAAAGAACCCCTGGGCTTCTCCACAGAATTCCCCCCCTTTTGTTCGTTTGTCCAAACAAACTGCAAATGCACCATACACATCATCCTTGTCAGAGTGACACTCAGCTGAGCCATCGACCCCATACACAACTCGCAAAAAATCTCTATTGTCGCGTGGAAGCGACAAAACATGGTCGGCGTATGCCAGCGCTTTGTCTCGGTCCGCGTCGTGGTCCTCAGTTCGCGCCAGGAGTTGCGGCAGCTCGTTCGCAAACCGCACAGGGGTTGATGGGAGCGGGAGAAATGTCGGCATTTCGTCTTCCTTCCCATCCCATAACAGGAATGGGAAGCTCTTCCGCGGATCATCCAAGGGTTTGATCTTTCGGATGGTGGATTGGACGCTGTCGCTCTGGAAATCCTTCCGCGACCTTTTGGAAGGGTTTCGCAGGTTTTCTAGCGACGTGGCAGCCTGGGCTGCTCATAAGACACAGATAAATTAGCATTTAGTCTTGTTCAATACGCTCTCCAACCAGCACAACAAATCATGTATTCAAGAAGACAGATTGAGCCACAGTGCTGAATGAATCATGACTCCGCGATTGTTTTCCAAGCCTTGGTTTCACAAATCGGTGCCTGAACGGACAGAGGTCGATTGCCGGGAGAAAAACACAAAATCAAAGATAATCAATAAATAGTAAACATGAAACTTACCCATGTTGGAATTTGCCTGTTGGGTCCGTGGTGACGTGGATGCAACAGATGACCGTGACGAACTGTGAAGTAGGTGGCGAGTTTGGCGAACATGCAGAAGGCCAGAAAAGATTCCAGGCAGGAAATTAGCTGGATGGGTTCGATAGACGGCACTGGCAACAGATATTGCTCTTTCCAGAAGGCGACCATGCCTCAAACGTGGGTGCCTGTCGGTAACGTGGGACCACCATTGTGGGAAGGCACGACAGAGTTGCTTCCACATGACCAATTATCACTTTTGGATTCCACTGATCACCTAAACCACTCACGTGAGCAGACAATTCAGAACGGGGGATGTAGTATATAAGCCGAATTTCTGGACATCCTTTCAATCTGGTGCTCTTTTCCTTCCATGGCCGCAGCTTCAACAAACAGGGACAAGCCAACAAACAAATCCATAACCTCTCCCTCAAGAGCTTTGTCTGGGTACCTATCTATGAACATGGGCAAGTATCACAACACAATTTAGCTAAGGTATCACCACATATGCTCATTGCGCAGCCAGACCTTTCCAGTACATGCAGGCGATTGGTGGATACAAGGAATACCAAAGAGTTAGAATGCTGAAATTAGATATTGAAACGCTCAGGCAGACCAACAAAGCAATGCAAAACAAGAGCAGGACCAGTGGATGGAGCATGGAATATAAATATATGTTGGCAAGGATAGGTATGCATGACTATTATTGTGAAAGAAGAGATGGTTGACTGTGAACTGGACAGTCAGAATGACTCTGAAACAAGGGGCGCTGGGTTAAGGTAGAAGATAGTTACCAAATGACTCCGAAGTGGAATGGTATGACAGCGAATCAAGTTCTTACTTCTTGATGACAACCTGTAAATGCTTCGATATCGTATGCTCATATGTCTTACATCCGTTGAAGACTTCGCTTTCACTTAGAATGTGTGTATGTTACCGAGAAAGACAGTTGTGTGTCGGATGAGCAAAGTCCAAACTCAAAGATTGCAGTCTTACCAGAGGAGCACAGGTTCGGCGGTGCAGGTCGATAATGATAATAGAACAAACTTTAACAGGTAACCCAAAGTTACCTAAAATGCATCTTAAAGCTGTTACGAAGAAGCTGGGTCTTTGGGTCGCTTGAGTAAGATAAGCCGGAGACGCGAATACAAAGAAACTCAGCTGAAAGGAAGGTCAAAAAGTACCCAATCTAACGAATCCAGCCCACCTTGCAATCTGATCATCCGAGAAATCATCCGGAACCTAACCTTCTTCAAATAGGTATCAAACTTGCAAGCCACGGTAAACACCAGCTTCAGATGTTCATATGTCATGCTTTTCCCCTGGAACTTGGCCAGCTGCCTCGCCGTCATAATAGGGTTCCGAATTTTAGGTCCATTCGAATGATCGTCCTAGACTCAATTTCATCTTGTTTGTAAAAGTTTTACTAAGGATAGCAATGCTGAAAGGGGTAGATCTCCATCTTCTCTCCTATACCATAAGTTGGAAGAGAGGAAGAGATCAATGCTAAAATATATGTACCAAGAAGTGAACATCATCAAGCCCATCCACAGTCACCATCATGCCTGGAGTCGGCATTCAATTGAAACCAACAGTCTATAACCCCAAATCATTTTCCAACGCTGTCACTAACACGCCATTTAGCAGGTGAAGACGGCAGGTCCGGGAATGGTATAGGCTTGAGCTATAGACAGATCCATGTCAGTTTCTATTTCTCAACATTTTTGAACAAAAAAGTAAAAGTGTTACGACTCACCCTTGTAAGCATCATAGGTGACACCGGGGTCGGTGCTCTTGTAGGCGCCGGGGAAGGAGACCAAGTTGGTGGGGTTGGTAGAACCGCCACCAGTAACCTGTAGCTGATGGCAACCGGGGTAGAACTGAGCACCAGGGTAGGCCCAAGCAGCATGGAGGGCAATGATCTCGTGGCGGACAAGGTAGTAGCCGGGACGAATGCAAGAGGGAATGGTGTACTGGTAAGTGGCGGGGCTCTTCATGAGAGGGGTGGCAGCCCAGTTGTTGGAGGTGCCCTCACGGCCACCTTGCTTGATTTTGAACCAGACGGCCCTTTTGAGAGGTTAGCATTTATCCTCACAACATTCGGACAACGTGGCACATACGAAGTACCAGGAGACCAGTTCTGGCAACCGCTATCGGGGCAACGAGCCATATAGGTGATGACGGGGCCCATGTGGGAGTCAGGCCAGAGAGTCCAGTGAAGGGTCACAGTTGAACCAGCAGCGGCAGGGGCGTGAAGAGGAGCGGGAACAGAGCCAGCATTGCACTGGACATCGATGGAGTCGACATTCTCGACGGGACCGTTGCCGGGGATGGAGCGAGAGACTCTCTGGGGCTTGTTGTTGCCCATGTAGGGGTCCATATAAGGCTGATAGAACTGTGACACTGTTAGCATCTCGAAGCATGTCAAGAATGATCAGATGGAACTTACTTGGTAGTATTGGCCGCCAATGGTGGCATTGTCAACATAGCCGTGGGCGGCTACCAAGCCGACTGAGGCGAGAAGAGTAGCGAGAACCTTCATTGTGATAGGGACACTGTCGAGAACTGATCTTGCGAGTGATGGTTGAATGAAGACACAGGATGGTTTCTTTCGTTTTTATAGAACTTCTCCTCGGCCGGATAGGGCCGAGAAGCACATCTTGTTCTTGAACAACACCGGCCAACATGGAATCTCAACAACCTCAGACGGATTCGCGACCCGACAGTGGAAGTGTCCACCGTCTCTTGCAGCCAACCAAATCATGGCAGAACCTGGCTCGGTATCCTTGGCCGATGCTTGTTGACGGTGGTAGTTACTGCAACTGGAAGGGTGACATGGGACGGAGACGGTGGCGGTGAGCCTAGGAAGATGTTCGCCTTGGCAATGACAGCTGCAGAGGGAGTCGATCAGAAGATGTCGATGAGAATCTGGAGTGAAGTGGAATGTGTGGAGCATCGCAACGGTTTCAACGTCTTGGAATGGGCGGCACTAATCGCCATGGAGTTGCTCCCTCCGACGTTACATTTTCCAGCCGGGGGATGTCGAACAAGATCAACCACCAATGAAATATCAGATTGAAGAAGAAAATAGCCCATTGTGGTCATCCCCCCCCGGTTTTGAGATCGCATTGTTTGCTGTGGGTTCGGCATATGACCGGTGTTAAGAATGAATTCCTTGACTCTGGCCCTGTCGATATTGCACAAGCACAAAGCTGCCAGCCGAAAGTGGGGGCCAGTTGGAGATGAAAAATGCAGACAAACATGATTTTATTTTACACTTGGGAAAAAACAACCTGCAAGCATCCTTCCCATGGGGGGCAACTGTTGCCTTACCCCTCACCGCTCCTGGTCCCGTGCACCCGTAGCTCTTCCTCCGACATCCAATTCTCTCCTCTTCTCCCGGCGAGCCGGACCGGTCAACTTCTTCACTGCAAGAATGTCGGCGGAAGAGGAGGTCCCCAGATATGCAGACTGTCTGGCCCAGCCTCTGATCTCGAAATTGGCGTTGTCTCATCCACCAAGTCGCCGTCTACGTAATGTTCCAAAATGAAGCCCGATCGATCGTACCTGGCACCGAGTCAGCATCTCTACGCATCAAGCTAATTCGCAAACAACACTGCCAACTCACCAGTAATCGAAAATCTGTGACCCAAGCACATGTCTGCCAACACCCCACACCAAGTCGTAGCCCTTGTCCCGAAGCCATTGGTGGCCCAACGACTGAATATCGAAATCGTGTACCTCGAAGCTCGAGTGGTGGACGTGGTATTTGGGCCCTGAAGTCATTGGTCAGTCAGTTGTTTTGCCACCAACGAGATCTGGGCATGGTTGTTAACCTTCAAAGAAGAACCAAGTGTGATGATCGACCTGTTCCATCCCTCTGTCCAAATGAAGGAAAGTAGAGACGTCCTTCCCGTTGGGCTCGTGGATGATGTCGCTCGGCTTGAGGTTGAACCGAGTGGTGTAGAACTCGAACGCCTTGGCAAAGTTGGTCACGCAACACCCAACATGGCCCAACTTGTGAACGGCCGCTGGTGCCTTCTTGAACCGTTGTGTCTTGTTGACGGGCCGATGCTTGTTCTCGGGGAAGTTGTACTCCAGCTCGGGCAGGTGCGCTGACTTTTCGACGGGGGTTTGCCCATACACCAGGTGGAAGGGGAAGTCATCGACAGGATCTCTGAAGGTTACGCGCTTGCCGCCACCGGGCGCATCGGAATCGTGGACTGGGGTCGCCTTGGGAAGAGTCTTGGAGGCGAGCTCCAAATCCTCCAGGGACTCGACAACAAATCCAGCACCACCAAACTCATTTTCGGCGCCCTTGGTGGCACAGTATACAAAGGGCTCGGTCCCATAGCCCTTGAAGTATACTGTATCACCTCTGTCGTCGGCTACCGTGAAGCCGAAGTCGGCCAAAAACTCGCGTGCCTTGTCGAGATCGGCATGGGTGTAGTACACATGTGCAATACGCACAAGCTTGATCTTGGGAATCTGCTGCTCGGCCGTCATGTTGGCGATGGACGTCTGGTAAGTCGTTTGAGGTGTGTTTGGTCAGAAAGATCTAATCTGATCTTCTCAGCGGGGCGAAGACATTGAGATATGGTCGACTTTGATTCCACCGACAAGCACGGGGTATTTAGTTCGCCCGGAAGATGCACCGTTCTTCGGGGCAAATCATTGCTTGGCAGTCACAAGGTGGGTCTGCGGCGAGTCAAGCTGACCCCTTTTCACTGCTCAGTGGCATCACAGCACGTCTCTCCAGTGAATTTCCGGCTGTCCTTTTCCAGCAATCACTTTGTCGCTGTGTACGCAGGTTGATCATGGTGTATCACAACTCTTCGCTTCCTGTTTTGGGCCCTTTGTGTCGTTGGCAAAGACACCTCTAAGTGAGGCTCAACTATCCTTGCAAACTGTGCATATTTGCAACCACCCATCCTTTCCTTTTCACGCCTACCAGGTATCTGCATCAGAGAAGCCGCCGCGACCATGTGTCTCGCCTGTCACCCTGTCCAGCCGTCTTCGGTGGCCTGCGAGTTAATAGCTACCCGTCCCCGATGTGCCATCCGCCGTTCTTGGCACGGGCGATTTGCGAAGAAACTGTGGGGTTGTTTACTTCGTTGGCTTTGTCAAAGCTGACATGGCGATGTTGAATGATACTTATCCCTGAACGACCCCGCTGACAACCAGGTATGGGGTTGGACGGCCCCTCACATAAACAATCCAAAGTCATCAAGGTGTTTCGAATTTTTGCTGGGCTGTCTCTGCTTCTCCTCTAAACTTCGATCGCCGCGATACTTACAATGGCCGACGAGATCATCAAGACCGACCTCCTCATTGTTGGAGCAGGCCCTGCGGGTGCTGCTCTGGCGTGCTTCCTCTCATCCTATGGGCGCAAAGGAATCATCATTTCGGCCGCTTCTGGCACGGCGCATACGCCCAGAGCTCATATCACCAACATGGCTGCCCTGGAATGTCTGAGAGACATTGGACTGGACCGGCAATGCATCGATGCAGGCGCTGCGGGGAACCATATGGTGCACACAAGATGGTGCCATTCCATGGCCGGCGATGAATACGCCAGGCTCTATTCTTGGGGCAACGATCCGAAACGCAAGGTTTGTCAAAACACTGACACGGTTTCCGGCCAATTGCTGATGTCTTGTGATACAGGGTGACTATGATGCGGCAAGCCCTTGTGACCACGTCGACCTTCCTCAGACCGAACTCGAACCAATTCTCACGCGAAGAGCAATCCATACTGGCTGGACCTTGCGATTTGACACCTCCTTTGTGTCGTTCACGCGTCCTGAGCCAGACGTTATCATCAGCGAAGTCAAAGACAACCTTTCTGGGAAAACGTACAAGATCCAGTCACGCTTTCTGTTTGGCTGCGACGGCGCCCGCAGCCAAGTCATCCGCGAGCTCAAGATTCCCCTCATCAAGAAACCTGGGCAAGGATTGGCACTCAACGTGCTCCTCAAGGCCGATCTTTCACATCTCGTCAAGAACCGAACCGGAAATCTACACTGGGTCTTCCAGCCGGAGAAGGAACATCCAGCTTGGGGTTGGGCCTGCATTGTCCGAATGGTTCGGCCGTGGGACGAATGGATGTTTATCTTTCTCCCACCCCCCGGTGCCGATGTCAAGGGTGACGACATGATTGCTTCGAACGAAGAGTACATTGCCCGGGTCAAACAGTTCATCGGGGACGAGTCGGTTGATGTCGAGATCAAGGACGTGAGCAAATGGATGATCAATGAGACGGTTGCGGAGTATTATTCAGATGGAAACATCTTTTGCTTGGGCGATGCTGTCCACCGCCATCCACCATTCAACGGTCTGGGGTCCAACACTTGCATCCAGGATGCTTTCAACCTGGCATGGAAGCTTGATTACGTCATGTCTCGCCGCGCAGGTCCCAGCCTCCTCGATACCTACAGCACCGAGCGTCAACCGGTTGGTGTAGATATCATCACCCGGGCCAACCAAGGTCTCCGCGACCATGCATTGTGGATGAAGTCTATCGGCATGTTGGAACCCGATTTGGAGAAGAGGAAAGCTATTCTGGCCGAGTTTGAGGACAAGGGCGAAGTTGGCAGGAAGAGGCGACAAGAGTTCCAAGCGGGCATTGAGAACACGGGCACCGAATTCCATGGGTTGGGCATCGAGATGAACCAACAGTATCGGTCGAATGCCGTGTATCATGGGGATGAGCCAGAAGCTCCGGCTCTGCCTGAGGACGCTGTGCGTGAACGTCTCATCTCCAGCTACCCAGGCATGAGGTTACCCCACGCCTGGTTGAACACACGGAAGCCAGGCAAGCAGTTCTCGACTATTGATCTTGCTGGCCATGGGCGGTTCTGTCTTCTCACCGGGCCTGGTGGCCACAAGTGGAAGGAGGCTGCGGCCAACGCCGCCAAGGCCGTGGGGGTGGACATTGTGAGTTACTCGATTGGCTGGAAGGAGGACTATGAGGATGTCTATTTTGACTGGGCGAAGCGCAGGGAGGTGGAGGAGGACGGGTGTGTGTTGGTTCGCCCAGATAGGTTCGTTGCTTGGCGGTCAAAGTCCATGATTTCGAACCCGCAGGAAAAGCTGGAAAAGGTCTTGCGGAAAGTCTTGTGTCTTTAAGCCGAGCGTGATAAGATAATAAACACAGTTCACACAATATTACACCTGGCGTGTCATTGCATCATCACACGCCTTAGCCCCGCTTGTCTCTCACCTCCATTTGTTTGCGGGTTTGATCAGGCATTTTCTCTCTTCTTTTTCCACACAAAATGGACCCAACGGATGACCTGTTGGTTGAGGAATGGGCATCATGGAGGTGAGATCAACTGGAGAGTGTCCACTCAGATGGTTTGAGCGCATATTCCACTTACGAAGTAAGACAGTGGACGATATTTACAAGACAAGCTGACACAGGTGCATTGCGATGCCTTACACTAAAAGGCCGGGGTTGTTTGCTGCCAACTTGTGTCGGACCAGTTGTGGGATGCCTGTCCAAAGGTTCTGTCATTGTTCTGTCCGCGCAATTCAGCCTGTATCTTTTAACCCAACACGAACCAAAATCTATCCTTCGGCCCAATAGAGAGCTTTTGGATTGACATGACACCTACTTGGTCTCCCACGGGTTCCTAGTTCTCCCACATGGTGGCCGATTATCCCGTGATGTTCCCCAACTTCCCCGGATTCACCCCAGATTTCCCCCACATTCTTGGCTTTTGGTGTGGTTCGAAAATGCGGGGAAATACCCCGAAGGACGCTAGCCGGGTAGGACCGAATGGTGTTGGCCAGTGAGGATTTGGCCGGGGCTCATCCACCTAGCTGATGATATTGCCGGTAGTCTGGTTGGTTCGGTGCGTGCAGGGTGAGACGAGAGGACATGGTTAGACAGGTTGGTCCCATGGTTGGCACACACATGGCAAGTGCGTGTCGCCGCCAGACCAGACATGTGCACCATGCCGAATTCAGGGGTGGCTGAACGTCCCGACGACTGACAGGGGGAGGAGGCAAGAGAGAAAAAGGTTTAAAGAGACCTCGAGGCTCGCCTTTGGTTTGAGATGAAGGGTAGGGCTCTTTGAACCTCTCACTCTTTTTTTTGTTTCGACAGCTTTTTGTTTACCTTACCCCCTTTTTTGACCTCATCTCTCCTCCATTGTCAACACCCCAACACCACCATCAGTTGGGCATCACACCCACTCCAACTCTTTCAACAATGGGCGTCCTCCTCCTCGCCGGCGGCGCCGCCCTCGCCCTCTCCATCCTCTACATCCTCCTCTTCACCGGCAAACGGGACCCACGTCTCCCACCCGGCCCCCCAACCCTCCCCCTAATCGGCAACCTCCATCAGATCCCCACCAAGCGCACCCACCTCCAATTCGCCGAATGGGCCAAACAATACGGCGAGATCTACTCCCTCAAGTTCGGCCCCGGAACCTCCATCGTCATTTCTTCTCCTCGCCTGATCAAACAGCTCGTCGACAAAAAGTCCCAGCTCTACTCCCGCCGCCCGCCCAGCCATGTAGCCGACCTCATCGCCCAGGGTGATCACCTCTTACTCATGCAGTACTCCGACCGCTGGAGGACATGCCGCAAGCTAGTCCACCAGTACTTCATGGAGGGCATGGTAGCGAAGCAGCACGTCAAAGTTGTCAACGCGGAGGCGGTGCAGATGCTGCATGATTTTGTTACGGAGCCGAAAGGGCATATGAAGCATCCAAAGAGGTTCAGCAACAGTATCATCATGAGTTTGATCTACGGGACGAGGACGCCAAGTATCAAGACGGAGCATATGGTTCGGTTGTATAGTCTTATGGAGAACTGGAGCAAGGTTATGGAGGCGGGGAATACACCACCCGTGGACATCTTTCCTTTCCTGAAGCTGGTGCCGGAGGGTTTGCTGGGGAATTGGAGGTCGAGGGCGAAGAATGTGGGCAAGGAGATGACAGAGTTGTATTCGGAGTGGGTGGAGAAGGGGATTCAACGGCATAGGGATCTGGGAGGGCGGGATTGTTTTCTGGACAAGGTTTTGGATCAGGGGTTGGAGAAGCTGGATTTGGACAAGCATGGGTTGTACTTTTTGTGCGGGACGGTGATGGAGGGGGGGTCGGATACGACGAGCTCGTTGATTATTGCTTTTATTCATGCCATGACCAAGTGGCCGGAGGTGCTCAAGAAGGCGCAGGAGCAGATTGATGCTGTGGTTGGGGAGGACAGGACGCCCACTTGGGAGGATTATGAGAAGCTGCCGTACATTGCGGCCTGTGTGAAGGAAGCGCATCGGTGGAGGCCGGTGACGCCGTTGGCGTTCCCTCATTCGTTGGCGGAGGATGATTGGGTTGATGGGATGTACTTGCCCAAGGGAAGTGATATCTTTATCAATGCTTTTGGGATGCATATGGATGAGAAGAGGTTTCCCAACCCCGATGTGTTCAACCCAGATAACTACGAGGGGTACACGGCGTTGGCGTCGGAGTTGGCTGGCGGTGATTACAACAACCGGGATCATTATGGGTATGGCAGTGGGAGGAGGATTTGCCCTGGCATTCACTTGGCCGAGAGGAACTTGTTTTTGGCGGTTGCCAAGTTGGTGTGGGCTTTTAACATTGGGCCTGGGCTGGATGCTTCCGGGAGGGAGATCCCACCAGATGTCAGCCATGAAACTGGATACTGCTCAGGTTTCTTGGTGTGCGCGGAGGACTTTCCAGCTACTATCACACTGAGATCAGAGGCACGAAAGGCGACGATTCTGAGAGAGTATGCTGCTGCCAGGGCAGAGGTGTTTTCTCAGTACGAGCTACCGAAGGAGTAGGTACATAGCCTTGTGTATGAATATTTCCTTTTTCGCTTCCTCAAAGCACTTTTGTCTCCAGTTGTGCAGAAGATCTTCCAGCTGTCGTCGTGTCCCTCGGTAGGTGGTGTCCCCAGCACGGGCCAATTCTGATTGGTCCGACGGTGGAGCTCGGCAATTGATGCAAGCTGTCAACGACGCCAAATTTGAAGAATCATTGGATCAACATCAACCTTTGTTATCCAAGCACCCAAGTCATCAAAATGTCTTTCCGCGTTCAGAAGGCAGCAGCCGCATCATTTCAACGGCTTGTGAGGTTTGTCAACGCTCAGGGGTCCACCAAGTTTGGTGATCTGAAGACCAGACCAACCGGCGTTAGTCTCGCCGGCGCGGAGGTTGAAGTCCTCGAGGGTGATGTTGGCAATGGTTTCCGTGGCACTGGGAAAATAGACAAGATCCAGAAGGTGCGTTGCTCACATGTGGCATGAGAACGTCAGCTGACGTGTTTTTCAGCTTCTGTGTCCTTTGCCCCAAGTGCATGCGATTATGTGCATTGGACTCAACTATCAGAAGCACGCCACTGAAGCCAATGTATGATCCCCACCCATGCTCCATGACGGACTGCCACTGACCAGTATAGCTACGAGTTGCCCCGTATCCTGTTCTCTTCACCAAACCAGCCGATGCTCTTGCTGGGCCTAATGAGGACATACTAGTCCACCCTGACGCTCAAAGCATGCTCGACTACGAGGGTGAGTTGACAGTGGTCGTCGGCAAAGACGCAAAGAATGTTCCCGAGACAGACGCCCTGAAATACGTGCTTGGATACACGGTTGGCAACGACATCTCAGCGCGCTACTTCCAGCTGCCAGAGACATCAGGTGGCCAGTTTTGTTATGCCAAATCCTTCGACAAGTTTTGCCCCATTGGGCCTTGTATCGTGTCCCCTAGCCTGATTCCAGACCCGCAAAAGCTCCAGCTTGTCACCAAGGTCAATGGGCAGGTGAGGCAGCAGACCGAGACGTCGGACATGATTTTTTCGGTGGCCAAGATTATCTCTCACCTCAGCCGTGGAAGGACACTGCGGAGGGGAACGGTTATTCAAACCGGGACCCCGAGTGGAGTCGGTCTGTTCATGGAGCCCAAGGGGTTCTTGAAGAATGGGGACGTGGTTGAGGTGTCAATTGATGGATTGGGGTCGATTAGCAACAAGATGGTGTTTGAGTGAGGCAGAAAAAATACCCAGATTCTTCATAATACCTACCCCGCAATCCATTAGCCAAGTGAACCCAGTGACCTGGGGACGCTAACATGGCTAACTCGCTTAGCGGGCGTTCGAGGCCACGCTACCCCGCGCTAGTGGCGATCAGCGGCAGTCGCAATTCGTCCGTCTCTGGCAAAACTCCCCGAAAACAACCATGCGGCCCTCGGGCAGATTTCATAAACCCACTGCCCGGGCACCTGTTCAGCAGGTGAGATATGCCGTCTTCACTTCGCGACCAACATTACCCCCGAACCATGGCGGAACCTCAGGCACACGCAAATCCACAGCAAGAGACAGGACCATCGCTGTCCGACGCGTCTGCGGCCAAACTCGCGTGCTACGCTTGCAAGAGGAGAAAGGTGAAATGGTATGTATGTGTGGATCTGTCGTCTCCAACCTCGACCTCTTGACTGACCGCATGACGTAATGGCAGTGACCGTCAACTACCTGTCTGCTCGCTCTGCCAAAAGCTCAGTGGACAATGTGAATATCCAACTCACGCCGAGAAGCCCGGTCCAAAGACTGGTGGTAAGCCGTTTTGTCAGTGATATGCCTCATTATATACCTTCTTTCATGCAGTGAATGATATCTGACGGCATTGTATTCATCAAATCTGTAAAGGCGAAAGTTCAAATACTTACATATGTTCATTCAGGCCCTCTTCAAGGCAACAAGCGTCGAAGACTTGATCAAGCGTCTGTGTCCAGCAGTGTCAGTCATGACCCATCCCTGAATGCCACTGGACATCGGCATACCACATCATTCGAGCTTGCTCGGCGCAGTTCCATTGCAGTATCATCTCCGACTTACAGCACAAGTCACGATGATTCCCGTACTCGAGCAGACGATGACCTCCATTCCCGGCGAGAGGTGACCTCGCCTCTCTCAACTGGTGAATCGTCAGTAAGAATTCAGCCAACAAGTGCCCCCATCTTCTCTCGGATCATGTACCCGTCTCATGAAGCACAGACACGCCCACAATCTCCTTCCACAGTGGACGCTTCACCTGGCCATCAAGACAATGCCATTCCCATCACCATCCAGACTGTTTGTGATGCTCTTCGGATATCAAGAGCAACATACGATGTGTTGATGGAGTCCTACTTCACCAACATGACATCATTCACCCTGTTCCGGCCAGGAAGTATTGAAGCCAAGTTCGCCATGATGCAGTTTCACTCGGACGCCGAAGCGCTGATAGCTGCCATGTTCTCCTTCTCCACCAGACATTGCCAAGATCGTGAGGACTGCCCAAGTCCGACCTACTTTGCAAAGATTGCCTACTCGAAGCTGGACGAATCAGTCGATAGTTATGGCGACAATCCCCCGCCATTCTGGCTTCTACAAGCAGGTGTTCTTGTCACCTTTTACCAACTCACCATGAGCGTCCGCTCTCGGTCGTGGAAGAAGCTTGGTGACTGCATCAGATATTCGTACGACTTGCACCTGCACATGGTTGATGCAAACCATGACCCAGTCAAAGACAAGAACCCGGTCAACATCCAACGCTGGTCGTTGATGGAAGAACGGAGAAGAGCTTGGTGGGCTGTCTGGGAAATGGACGTCTTTGCCAGCACTATTCGACGACTGCCGACGGCCATAGACCCTGAGATGAACCTCACCATGCTCCCAGTGCCAGACAGTTGTTGGTTCAATGACGTATACCAGGAAAGCTGCTTTCTTGCTCAGGACTGCAGTCTCAGGTGGAAGCAACTTGCCCAGTCAGGCAACCAGAGCGCCAAGGCCTGGTTCATAGTGATGAACTCTTTGATGCGCAACACACAGCGCATCGTGTATCCAGTGGGATCGGCTCTGCAGTCGATGAACGAAAACCACATGGAAACCAACCAAGACGAACTCAACATCATGGCCAACACCCTCTACTGCACCGTCACTTCTTTTCCGACCAGTCTCGTCTACCAGGGGGAGACTCTTGACTTTCGACCAAAAGCTTCGGCTCAAAGCAGTCCCGATGGCATCAACCCAAGACAGGAACATGCCGACAAGTATTCCCTCCACCTGATGACGCAGCTCTGTCGGTTCATGATCTATCATCACAAGATCTGTGCTCGAACACCGTGGCTGGCCCACCAAAAGGGTTCCAATGATGGCGGGCAGGGAGAAGGAAACAACGACCCACGAGATGCTCAGCAAGCCAACTCTGAGTGGTCCAACTACATCAACGCCTCGGATGAGATCGTCACCGTGGTCCGCAACAGCTCCCGGGACCACTACAAATTCGTCAACCCTTTCCTCGTCAACACTCTCTGGTTTGGAGCCGCGGCACAATGTGCCTGCAAAGTCTTTGGACCCGCATCGTTCAACAAACGGCTCACGATCTCCAACCTTGACCTTTTGAAACTTACCATTGACCGTTACATTTCCTTCTGGGGGGGCATGGAGAACCTCAAGGGGAAATTGGCTCGGATTGAGACAGCCCTGCAGAGTCTGATGGCTGGGCATGGGAGACCGAACGAGCATCCGCAGGATAGGCGCCAACAACAACAACCACTGTCACACATCCAGGGGAGCAATGGTGCCAGTATTAATGACCTGGCTACGGTGGCCATGCAAAGACTTCCTGGTGTTACTGGTGATGCTGCCGTGTCATCATCGCCACTCCTCGTCAACATACCCGGTATTGGTCCCCCACAACCACCACCAAACCCATGGTCAACATTTGGACCGACGGACGTCTGCGGTGACTTTATCCATCCGGGGAATTTCACAACAGGGTTGACTCCAGGCGGCCCCAACTTTTACGGTCACGGGGACCCGATGGACTTTTCACCGTTTGGGCTGGAGGAGCTGCTGATGGCGAGCATGATGATGGATACGTAGAACTGAACGGCATACTGCCTAACTTCGCTGCGAGCTTCTAGGGATAGCACTTAATCTTGGGTGTGTTTGTTGTAAAAAGTTAATTCGTTCTTGTCAACCGTCATAACTTGTCACTCTCTTCCGTAAACGCAGAAAGGTCTTGTACTGAATCCCCACCACCAACAACTACCCAGCACCCTGCGGTTAGGACTCCTATTACCGCCTATTCCCAATCAAATTTGTTCAAGAGAATTATGAGACTAGGGACGATTCTTCAATATCTCAGGGGTAGCCAATGAGTAGTTGGTCTAAATCTGGGGAGAAAATGCAGCAGTGCACGCCACATTTGCTTTGAGTTTGACTTGATTTATGAATGGTTGGTAGTGTAAAACAAAAGGAGCCCTTAAACTATGTGGTACAAATTTAATCCCAGATATTTACGAAGCTCCATTGCTTCACGGGAAAGCTTTTTGGAGGCTTGAAAAAGTTGTTCAAACGCCTATCAAATGAGTACATCATCTTCCATACTGGGGAATTCCTTGCTGGATGTCAACTATCCTTTGGTAGCAGCTTTATTTGTAAATCGATATAGGTACGGAATTAAATACCATCTTGTCACCATGAACATCCATCTCTTACACGTCTTCCAAATTCTCAATCATCATACATTCATCCCCTCAAAATATCTCTCCACGCCCTCCACATCATCAACCTCCAAAACGGCACCAATATACCCATCAGGCCTTACAACCACCGTACAGCCAACCTGTCGGTCAATCTCAAGCCTCTCATATGCTCTGCCATGACCATCATGCACGCTCTCCACATCAGCAAACACCCTCCAAAAATCATACCCGCTCTCGTCGCTCCAAGGGCGGTACACTTCTGGCAGTGCCGAAAGATCCACCAGATCCCGCTCAGCACAATGTACAACCACAACCTCCACCAATGGCTCTTGTTCCGACTGAGGCATCACGACATGCTTCAGAGACTTGCTCTCGCCCAAATACTTGCCCACGTCATGTAACCTCTTGGACGCAGTAGAGTCCGAGATGTCGCCAGCGAAAATTATGACTCTGAACTGCCCCGTGGCACTTAATCTCTGGTGCATCCAAGTTGGCACCCCATCAGCTTGATATACCACTCTGAAGTCGGGAAGCCTCTTTCCCGGCACCAGGTCTGCCTTGAGGAGGCTGGGTCCCAGCTGCTCGATACCCTTGGGCAACTGCACAGCACAAGAAGGTGGGTAACGAATCGACAACCCAGTCGTGAACTTCAAGGCCTGAAGTATTTCAGTATCAAACTGTGCAGACGGAGCTGCAAACAGTTTCAGGAAGCCCTTGTCGAACGCAATGAGGTCCAGTGCCACTGGACGTCGCTCAGACTCATACGTCCTGAGAAGGTCCTGCCGTGCGCCAGAAGAACGGACTTTTCCTTCGAGAGTAAGTCTAAGCTTCCAACCAAGGTTGTACGCGTCTTGAATCGACGTGTTCATGCCCTGACCCGCCTTGGGCGAGTGCGTGTGAACAGCATCACCAACCAAGAAAGCCCGCTCATTAAGCCGAGAGAAGTGATTGCCCACCCGCTGACGCACCCGGTATGCTGACCACCACGAGACAGAACCAACTTCCATTGTATAAGGAGCAATGATCTTGCGAGCGGCATCCATGACACGGTCGAAAGTCAGGTCCTTGGGGTCAGGGAGGGCTGTGCCGCTCTCCACAGGGATGTACATCCTAACCTCCTTGTTGCTGCGAGGTACCAGGAGGATGGTGCCAGATGCGGCGCGTAGATAGCAGACCCTTCGAATATCTGGGAAGTTGGACTTGGGGATTATATCCACCACGCCAAAGACCGAGTCTGTGAGATCTCCTTCCAAAGAGACGTCGAGCTGCTTGCGGAGCCAGCTGCGGGCACCATCACAGCCGACGATGTACTTGGCCGAGATCTTATCCGAGGGAGCATCATGTTCATTTGGTTGATGTCCATTCTGCCCGTTGATATGGTGCCCATTTGTGGCATGGCAGTTAGTCCCCTGTCGACAATGTTAGCCAACGATACTTCTCACAGATCACGGCGGTCTTACGTTAGTAGTGTCCCCATTAGTAGTATTTATGTTGGTAGTAACCTTTTCTAGGGAGACAGACACGGGAAATGTATCTGCTTCATGGACACAAGATGTGTCAACGTCAACAGAGATTGGAGCCGTGCTGTACCGAATCTCAATATTATCATGAGAGAGAATATTGTGAAGCATGTGGTGCTCAACTCGTGCTGCAACATAGATTAGCCTGTGAGTTGGGGGTAAAATCCAAACTGGGAATATTCTTACACTGCTGGAGCATCGTCTCCCGAGGCTTGCCAAGTTCAGCGACCTTGTCCGGAATGACTTGTTCTCTGACAATGCCTTCACCTCCATCTTTGCGTGTGCCCCAACAGGCAATTTCCTCGAGCCTCCATGATTCGGCCGTGACTTGAGGTCCAATACCGTAAGAGTCAAAGATCTCGTTGGTCGTACTCTTGAGACCCTCTGCTTGCCCACGAGGTGTTGGGCCTGGCTTCTTGTCGACAATAAGCACCTTGATGTTGGCGCCACGGAACCAGTTTGCCAATGCCAAGCTACAAGACGGTGTTAGTGATAAGCCATAGTCTAGACGATATGGAGAGGCAGTGTACCTACCCTGCAGGCCCAGCGCCGACGATGAACAGATCGACTTTGGTGGAGGCGGGAGGAGACATGTTGTGCAGTATCGGATAATCAGAACACGGGCTTGCTGTCGATGCGTGATGTTTATCATGGACGCACTGCGGTGTTCCGGGGACCTGGAGGGTGGGTATAGACCGATATCATTGGTCACTTCGGGCGGTAGCTGCGATGAGGCCCGCGGAGTCCCCGGTTGCCAATTAGTTTCTGGCGGGCCGCAGATCAAGCGGGCCGTCTTTAGGTGATTGTCATTCCAGGCGGTGACGTGGTTTGAGCAGGATGGCAGGGCAGGTTCAAAGAACTACTGTTTACTACGTGGGGTTCCTGTCATCCAAAGCCATGGCATGTAATTACCCCTCCGCCCATGTCTCACCTTCCCCACCACCAAGTCACCTCATTCCGTCATGACTGCGCCTACCCATGAATCCTCCACGGTTGCTTGCCGTCGTCGGCAAGAGTTCAAGCGCGCTTGCCTTGGCTCCAGTCTTTCAGAATCTAGGTCATTCAGCTCTGCCGGAAAACATGCCTTTGACCTCTCATTCGCCGAACTCAACTGATGCAAATCTATTTCCCGGTCCTCAGCTAGGAACTTCCAATGCCGCTGGCTCCTTCCGGTATCTGGCCGGCCCGGAGGCCAGCTGGATAGCTGGATGATGTATCATGACATACCCTGGGAAAGGGTCGCTAAACTACACAATGCACATCGCCATGGTTGAATCTCTCTCATTGTCCGAATCAGCATCGAGAACTTGATCAAGGAGAAAACAGCATCCTTTGTCAGCAGCGAACAACCACCAATCGGACAGTTGTCGTCATTGACTTGCTATCAACCCGCTCTCTCACAAATCCGGCGAACTCGCCTCACCGCAATATTTGCACATCTAAAATGAAACAATTGCATCATCCACCCCCCAGTGGCTCGGTGGACCATGTAAGCATTCGGACGAGGCAGCCAGGGACCCTTCCTGCCGTGACCTCGTACCTGCGTGCATGAGGAAGATCGTTTCCATTACTCGGCCAGAGCGACACTTTACGCGTGGTCGATCATAGGGGTCCACTGGCATCCTGGCGCGAGTGGCAGGCACCCTCCTGAAGCTGGGAGACGACACCAGAAGGGTGGACTTTTATATACGGCCAAGGTGGTCACACAACTGCCCGCTACTGCCTTGAACCCCTACACCATCTTCTCCTTAATAGCCTGTAAGCTCAACAGAAGCAACCACCACAGCAATGGCCACTTCAGTCACATCCACCAAGACCCGTCCCCTGGATAAACACACTCTAAGACACTCGCACGACCTTCCACTTCCCAAAGGCCCCGACGTTCTCGATATTCGCTCCTCTCAGGAATCACTGCTACATAACTTGGACTCCAAGATTCTTGAAGGCCTCAGCCAACCACAAGGGTCCAAGTCCTTTCCTTCCCTGCTTTTGTGGGGAGAGAAGGGTCAAGTCTTGTACGACGATGTTCTGGAAGCTCCGGAGTATTACCCATACCGAGTAGAAGATGAACTTTTGCAGCAACGGGTCGACGACATTGCCAGAAAAGTGGCTTCCACAGGTACCGACATGCTCATCGAGCTGGGAGCAGGCAACATGACCAAGACAGCTCAATTTCTATCAGCTATCGACAATTACATCAGCTCTCCACTCGTTTACTACGCCCTCGACGTAGACCAGGCCTTGTTGGAACGGTCTATTGTTGCCTTGAAAAGGCGTGTCACGTTTCGACATATCGAAGTCCGCGCTCTCTTCGGGACTTATGACGACGGAGCAAACTGGCTCGCCAGTCCCGAGATTGCCGCCTATCGGAGGACACTCATGTTTCTCGGAAGCAGCATCGGGAATGACGAGCAGGATGCTGCTGTCAGGTTCCTGAGCTCATTTACCCAAGCTCCTGAGACAGGTGTTCCCCAGAATGTGGCGGGCTTTCTACTGGCGGTTGATGGATGCCAAGATGCGGCGAAAATTGAGGCTGCTTACGATGTGCCAGGCGGGTATTCCCGCCGGTGGGTGAAACAAGCGCTGGAGTATGCACGGGAGCTATTGGGTGAGGGCATCGATAGGGCTGAGGTTGACTGTATTTTTGATGACAACAATTGGAAGTTTGAGGGAAGATGGTTACCTGAGCGTCAACGATACCAGACATATCTCACCACGACGTGCTCTCTCACGGCAACAATTAGGGGACAAACCATCACCTTGGAGGAAGGGGAGAGATTACCAATCATCAGCAGTGGCAAGTGGACAAGGGAGACGGTGGACGGGGTATCTCTGAAGGCCGGTCTCAGCATCGAGAAGTCTTGGAAGAATCCTGAGTTTGATTACAGTGAGTACTCGTTTTCATCAAGTTCAGCCAACATCCGTGCTAAATGCGGAAACAGACATTTATTGGCTGCAGCCAAGCCTCAAGAGGGTGGACAGTGGCATTGTCATTATTGATGAGCTCGAAGCGGAGGGACATGATCAGGTGCATCACCGCAACGAGTGAAGGGAAACGAAGGATCTCTGCACAGCCGGCTGTGTTATCTTGCACAATTTGATAGACCATAATGTGCCAATTGCATGACGTCTCCAACATTGATCCTTCATGTGCCCGCCCACTACTGCAGCAAGCCACACATGCTGGTCAACAAACTTGCACCTTCAAGGCGTGCCACTATCTCAGACCACTTTTCCTGCCACTGAGATCACGAAAGGCTTGAATCCGAGATGATACCGATGAACCCCATCCGCACCTATAGCATCAACGCCATAAGCACTCAATTTCCACGTCTTCTTCAAAATCCCCCAACCTCGTACTTTTCTTTTTGCCTTTCCAATCAATCTCTCACGATCAATCCACGTTGAGGTGGGCAGACCGAGAACTTCAGCTCTCTGCACTCTGCAGATCATCACCCACTTGGGATGGTTGCATACATGTACACCCTTCCTAGCTCCGCCCCGGCGCGCCGGCGCGGGCGCGGCCACCGTCGATCATATAGGACAGGGATAGCTCGGGGAGCTCATGATGTAACCGTACTTGTATTTTAGGGTGCAATGCAGCCTCCACAATCAGTGTACAGGTACGTCGCCGCGGCCGGGTGAGGGATACGGGATGGGACGGAGGGTTCTCCGGTGGGGTACCAAGTTCGGCGGCTATCATTACCAGCCATCCGTTGCGCTGAAGTGACTCCGCGGAAACGCAGGCGCGTCTATCAAACAGACCGGTGGCTCGGTCTTGCTGTCAGATCATTCTTTGAGTCTCACCCATTCGCTCTCATTGCTGTCTCATCAACTACCTATCCTTGGCTGCTACCTTTGCGGGGTTGTGTGGATCACTGTTCTGAATGACGACCAAATGTTTCACCGTTCTGAATGACGACCAAATGTTTCACCTTGACCGCCTTCCAAGACCCCCCCTTCCTATACCGTCCCTGGAAATGCTGTGCGATGTCTTCCAGATCTTTGAAACCCATTCCTGCGGTGGTCGAATAACGCACTCTCCCCCGTCCGACCTCCCACAGCAGCAAAGTTGGACCCTTGAACCATGGTGCATTAGCAGCTTCAATAAGCAATGTGAGCTCTCAGATCAAGCAAAATTGATGTGTCAAGAAAACAGGACTACCTTCAGGTCAAAGGGAGATTCGACCAGATCCCATTCATACCAACGCAGCTAATCCTGACATTACCATTATCCCCAACCCAAACCCTCTTTTCCATGTCCAAACTCCTCAGTAAACCACCAGATCCAACTTGTCTTACACTACATCAACTTTACAGAAATGATCCATCACGCGTTATCGCCCTCACTATCCGACTCCGAGACAGCACCATAGCCTTGATGACTTCGACTCCGTTCTGGTCTCTTGGGCTTGGACGCACCCGGCGACTGATGAAGCTGCCCCTCCCTCATCACAAAGCTAGTGATCAGCCCCATGACACCAAACACCACGCAGAATACTAAGATATCGGTTAGTACAAAAGTTCAAGTGAGTCAACGTCTCAAAAGCAAAAACACTTACACCAAATATTAACAAAGCTCCTCTCATAGGCCTTGAGCACAATATCCGCAATCTTCTCTGGCAACCCATCAATGGCGTCAAAGTTGGAGAGCACATCTCTGATGATCTGCTCCTTGTCTGGCAGGTCAGGCAACTTGTCTCTCAGGGTGCTTTCCACAAAAGAGGCAATGAGAAGGGAAGCAGTGCTGACACCCAGCAGGCTCCCGATGTTCATGCTGAGGTAGAAACCGGAAGTAGCCACCGCTACCTGGCTTGACTCGAGCCCTGATGTGAGCGCAATGAACGCTGCCGACAGGGAGACACCAAAGCCAACACCAATGGGGAACCCATAGAGAGTCTCCCCCCAGTGCGTCACCCCCCGCCATCTCAAAAAGATGGCCAGAAAGCTGAGGTTAGACAGGATAGCAGCAATGTTGGTGATGAGACGGTACAGCCCGGTCCGTTTAATGACATAGCCGCTGATGAGACTTCCAGCAACGGTGCCCAATGTCACGACAAGCAGTCGGAGGGAGGACGTGGTGTTGGTGTCGCTCATTGTCACGCGGAAGTAGAGCGGGATGGATGTGTAAAGCGCTACTTGAGCAGCTGTAAAAACGAACTGGATCGCGTAGGCTGATACAACATTCCGCTTCCGCAGCAGCCTCAGAGGGAAGATTGGTTCTCTTGCCCAGAAAGCTTCCACCAAGAGAAAGACTACCAAGAATCCCAACCAAGTCGACATTGGCACCATGGCCATGGCGTTGTGGACCAGGTTTTCAGGGCCCTTTTCGATTTGGTCAAGAAATAGTAGCAAAGACACATTGGCGATGGCCAAACTGGTTGATCCTGAGAGATCAATCCGTTTGAACTTGGCGTAGGCAGTCTCCTCGGTGGTTGTCGGATTCCGCCCAACTGCCTTTGTGTCTGGAGCAGTTGGCTTGGGGAACGACATCTTTGCCCAAATGAAGATGAGCCCTGCGAGGTTGAGAGGTACGTGGTACAGAAGAGCCCATCGCCAGTTTGTGCTATCAGAGATGATGCCGCCAAGGGAAGGACCCAAAGCTCTGCCGATCTGGTTGATGGCATAAACGTAGCCTCGCCAAACCGCAACCTCGCGCATGGGCACCAGGTCAACGATGAGGGTTGAGATGAGCACTGTGATGCCGGCATTGCCAATTCCGCAAAGAGACCTTCCCAGCAATAGACCCCAAAACGAGAAGCCAGCGCCTCTGATGTACCGGTTAGCCTTCACGTTCTAGTAGAGAAAGCAGAGGGACATACTTACGCTATCGTTGCACCTACGCAGTAGCAGATGTATGCAAACAGGAGAAGTGGTTTCCGTCCATAGATATCACTCAGCTTTCCGTACAAAGGCTGCGCAGCAATGATGCCAATGATGTATGCGTTGATGATCCAACTCGCCGAACTTAGTTGTTCGAATTCGGATGCAATGTCTCGAAACATGGCCATCAAGATGGCACTATCGGAATTGACGAGAAAGACGCCTGTCGCAAGAGGCGTTGCGTTAGAATAGATTGGTGGTCTATCTCACGCAGTAACATACCAAGCAGAAGCACCAAATTCTTCTTCCATTGCCCGTTGTCCCAGCTCTGCTGTGATCCTACTGTGGAAGTCGGAGAGAGGTCCCCATCTGAAGCAGCCAAACCATCCTGTTCCTCGTTTGCAGCGGCATTCAGCGTTTCTGGAGAAACGTTCAGGGTAGGCTGGCGCAGCAGAAAGGTCCTCTCTCCGACATCATCTCGAATTTCTTCGTCCTCTATCCTATCGACCATCTTGTCGAAGTGGAGATGCGAGGGGGGGGTGGTCAGTCGTCAACAAGGACGCAGGAGGTGAGGGAGGACAAATGCCGAAATAGAGCCCGCTTGAAGATGGCTTTCCAGCGAATTTGGGCGGGCGTTGCTTTAAGAGAATGCGGTGTCGGACCAAAATCAAGACACTGGGAGTGGAACAGAAACTTCGTGATTGAGATTGAGATTGTGTCTGGTGCAACTGAGACCGGAAGGAATCAGAAAGATGGAAGGGTGAACACACCCAGCAAACGGTCCCCCAGGAGAGCCCCAAGCCAGCAAAGAACACAATGGCAATCGACACTCTCGGCGATATCCCTACAGGGTTGCCACCCGTTTGTGATGGGCCCGATTGCAAATCAAATCGCCCTGATCTCACTCACCCCACCGATGACAAAATAGGCTATCTATCTCTTTCCCTCTGGAATCTAACAACATGTGGACGCGGGACTTTCTGCCGGGGCCGTTCCTTCCGTCTCATTCCTCTTCAGCAGGCAGGCAGGCAGAGAGCGCCACCTCACCGCCAACCCCTCCTCGTCGTGCCTTCCATTGTCCATTGTCCTGATAAATGTGACCCACCTTATCCCGGCTTCTTTCGGAGCAACCATGTTTTGGGACATGGAATTGCGTGCCAGTCGGTCCCTTTCCTCTTTCATTGCAAATGACGAAAAATAACAGGGCTCGACTGAGGTGTCTCGGCTGGATCCAGAAATCCGTCAGTCGATGACGGTGAAGAAGCAACTGTCTACCAAACACATGTCTCGCCAACCTCCCTTTCTGGAACCACGGCCACCACCATTGGCTACCTGCGGCCCAATGGCCCCCCATCCAGCACAGACCACAGCTCCATGTTCGGCAACCGGGGACCCAACAAATCGGATCGACCTCAGCGATCCCTGTGCAGATCTGATCATCAAAGAATGACCGAAGTCGCCGACCTCATCTGTGCGATACATACGTTGGCAACCCCACCGTCTACTCCAAGCTGCCAAACTTGATGGCTCACGTCCAGTCACCGCCCGCAAATCAGCCTATCACGCCCAAACGCCTCGTGTCGATCCTCCATCTGCCGCTGTCAATATGGCGCTTGTGGGGTTGACTCAGCCCATGCAGGTTGATGCCGTCCTCCATTCTCGTCACTGTATCTTACCTCAACGAAACACGACTTGTGTGGCCACAGGAGACCTGCATATCCAAGTCACGAGTAGATCCCCAAGATCGTTGCGTTTGATGCCTGAACTGGCTGGTGACCGCCTCGCACCACGGAAAACACAGGAAAAGCTCAATAGTGGCTCTTTTAGCACTTTCCCACCCCTGTGACTCAGCTGGCGTATATTATAGCCGTTTTTCAAAGAGGTACAACACCAACCACACCACTGCGACCCAAATCCTCCCTACAAAAGACCATTCTAGATCGATAGCTAGGTCGCCGGTTTACCCTCCCTACGCAGCTTCTCACATCAGCAGAAACGCACTTTGCAAGCTCGAATCAGTCCGGTGACCATCATGGGTGCCACTCCAGTTTCCGTGGAACACACCACGTACAACCCTGACGCCGTCTACCTCTCATGGGAAGTGGACGGGAAATTCGTGAGTAGGCCCCATGCCCCTCCACCAACAGACAGGCAGGTGATCCAATGCCATGTCGCCTGTCAGTGGTCCGCCAAGGTCAGGTACTGATACGATGCACATAGTTCGGCGATGGGCGTGAAGTTGCCCTCCTCGAGTACATCTACGCTCGGCCGGATCTTGAGAAGCTGAGAGGCAACCCCCAGAAGGTTCTGCAAGCCATCGACGATTACGGTCGGTCCGTCAGAGGTCTGATCAACATCGGGTCCATGAAAGGATCCATCGTTTGCGACATTATCGCTAGACACAGACCTGCAGTGGTACTCGAACTGGGCGGTTACATTGGATACTCGGCCATTATGTTTGGACATGCCATGAGACAGGCTGGTGGAAAGCAGTACTACAGTGTCGAGAAGAGTCCTCTCTTTGCTGCTGTAGCCACAAGCTTGATTGACCTCGCCGGCCTCAGAGACCATGTCAGGGTTGTGGTTGGGACGGGGGCGGAAGGAACTCGGCGCTTGTACGAGGAAGGGAAGATTTCTCGTGTCGATATGGCCTTCTTCGACCACTTCAAGCCAGCCTACACTGATGACCTCAAGCTATGTGAGCGGCTCGGTGTCGTAGGGCCGGGGACCCTGATTGTGGCGGACAACATGGTGCTACCGGGGAACCCGCGTTATCTCGAGTGGGTGCATGCAAGCGTGGAAAGGAAGCGCGAGATGGACAAGGGGGCGGCCGAAAAGGGAAACCCAAACCTGCAGTATCGCAACCAATCTATCTCCAGTTGGGAACCATCTGGGCAGGAGGACGCGATGGAGATTACGGAATGCTATGGTATCGAGGATTAGTGTAGTGTAGGAACCGACACAACCGAGACAGCCGCCATGTTTGTTTGAGATTACCCCACCTGCTCATCATGGCCATTGACCTATCATGATCCGGGGGCGTTGCTGCAATGTGGTGGGCAGCGTGCGCATCATGCCATTCTTGTGCTTTTTGACAACCTGGTTACATCGGTTTCTCTCAGTCAGCCACAAAATGTCCACATTCGGGGATACCATGCTGTCCACCGCGTCCAGCCCCGCTGATCGGTTCAGAGCTCTGGCTCGTGAGGGTTGCACGGGAGGGTTCAGGCCACACCGGGCCAGCCCGTGGCCCCTATTATTCACCGAGGGGACTGCGCCGCAGCCAATCGGAGCCAATCATCACTCAATTTCAACGACATATCCTACCTAGACATGGCTGGCTGCATCGGTGGATCAATACAACTTCAATCATGCTCTTTGAGAGTAAATCAGCTGTGTGTGCGGTGACCAAGGCCGGCTTCGTTATGTACATCATTACTTGCTATTGGAAGGGACTTGCCGGCCGAGTCGATAGCTCAAGACAACGCCGTCATTTGATGCGCTGTTGTAGCAGGGGATAGCATTATGGGCGATGATGAGCGCTCACTCCTGAGCTGAATTGAATGATTCGGGTAAGGGCAGTGCTCAAGCAAGCCGCCATAGCATACAGCGGAAGGATACCACGCCGAAGCGGACAATTATTGGTCGTGCCCAAGTATATAACGCTATCTGGGGATAGGTACCTGACAACCTCCAGTCCAATAACGCAGTTTCTGGACTGCAATTTCGTCCTACCTACCGCATGCGTTCACCATGAAGGCAGCTTCGGTATGGACGAGCATCGTCCAAGTCTTCAACTTCTTCACCTTCCCTTCCCCCGGCGGCGACAGCGATGTTTCTTCCCAGAAGCCTCTCATCCCGCACACGGACCCTGAGCAGCCGCAATTCGTGACAGCCAAGATTATTCCCATCACCAAGAATGAGTTTGGTGAGTATTACCATGGAGACAGGCTCATGGTTCAGGAGTACTCCAGTGGCATGGTCTACCATCCTGATGACTACAAGGATGTGCCGCTCCGCACGGGCGGCGTGGAGAGGTCGTTTATGTACAAGGAGCATCCTATTGTAGGGACGCCAAAAAATGGTCAGGAGGGTGAGGAGGGGGGGTTGAATTGTCATTATCCGTACATGAAGAATTGGCAGCCGTGTTATGGGCCGGAGAACAGGACTTGTTGGTTGGAGGCTACGGATGGGAGTGGGAAGAGGATTGATATTGATACGGATTATGAGAATGCTTCTCTTGTGCCGTTTGGGAAGACGAGATATGTGAGTGCTAAGTTTTCAACATGTATCGGGAAGGTGCTGACTGATGGTGATCATAGTACCACTTTGACATATCTGAGGAGCCGATATCTCCTGATGGCATGACGATGGAGCATGGGAAGGTCTTTCAGAGGAGGTATCCCGGACCGTGGATTGGTAAGTTGTGTTCCAGAGATTGGAAGACGAATGTACTAACACATGGAACAGAGGCATGCTGGGGCGATACTATCGGTGAAAAGACACCATCACTCATTCAGAATCGACTCTAGCTAACCAGTACAGAGGTGACAATCAAGAATAACCTCCGATGGAACGGCACCTCGGTAAGCTCTTCTCCGTTTTAAGCCCAGGGCGGCCATTAACTCCTCACTCAGGTTCACTGGCATGGCATCCGCCAGTGGGAGACATTCCAGTTTGACGGTGTCAATGGCATCACTGAATGCCCCATCGCACCAGGGGAGACCTTCACTTATCGGTTCCGGGCACTTCAGTACGGATCAGCCTGGTATCACAGGTAAGTCTCCCACCACCTGTCCTATCCTTTGAGCAACCACTAACCATCACCAGCCATTACTCCCTCCAGTACGGAGACGGTCTTCTCGGCCCCATCACAATCTACGGCCCATCAACCGCCCAGTTTGGAGCTAACGAGGCATTCCGTCCCCTGCTTCTCTCCGACTGGAATCACCGCAGCGTCTTTGAGGACTGGCCTCTGATGATGTCAACCGGTGTCGCTCCTGAAATGACAAATATCCTGATCAATGGCACTGGCCAGTTTGGTTGGGGCCCCAAGCCAGAAAAGTACACCATCTGGCTTGACGAAGGACAGGCGCACATGTTGATCTTGGTCAATACCGCTGTTGATACCACCTTTGTTTTTTCTATTGACAACCACACCTTGGAGGTCATTGAGGCGGACTTTGTTCCCATCAAGCCGTACAACACGACACACATCAAGATTGGGATCGGCAAGTTCTTTTTGAGACTCACTAATGGCTGAAGGAGACTTACTAACACAACGGTAAAGGCCAGCGCTACCATGTTCTTGTCCATGGACACGAAAATGGGTACAAGACCGAGAGATACGGCAACTACTGGATGAGAGCCACCCCTGCTCGAAAGTGCTCCAAGTTTGCGTTCGGTCCGGACGAGCAAATGGGCATTGTTCGGTACAACAGGACTATGCCGCCCAGGGGCTGGCAAGACCCTCTCTCGGAGCCGTCTCTGTACGATACCATGTGTGCGGATGAGCCCTATGACAAGTTGGTGCCCTGGAGGCCGTGGACAGTGGGCGATCCTGTCAATATCGGTACGTATACTTCTCTTCCATACAGTTCAACCTTCGCCTGGCTGACGTGGAACTAGATCCCAAGGTTGAAGACCCGTACACGCTCCCGAACAACTCACAGTACATCTTCAACGTCGGTATGATCAGCTCTGGCGGACCTAACAGCTCCATGCCGTACATCCCAAACGACAAAGCATACGTCAGTCTCTTTCTTTCGCTTTCAATCCTCCAATCTCTAACCACCCCCCATAGACCCGCTGGATGATGCACGAAGCCCCCTTTCGCATCAATTTTTCCGACCCGACCCTCCTCGCCCTGGATCGCATCAATGAGCTCATCGACAAGCCCTACCTTGACGTGGTCACACTCCCCAATGCCACCGATGACCAATGGGTCTGGATGGTAATCACGGCCCCAGACAAGATCCCGCAGGAAGGTGGTAGAATCTTCTTCCCTGCTGCTCACCCCATGCACTTGCACGGTCACGACTTTGCCCTGCTGAGGCAGAGCAACAAGAACTGGTATGATGACTTGGAGATTGGCCATGAAGGGGAGGGGAGGTGGTTCACGCCGGATAAGCTGAATTGCAGGAATGACAAGTTGAAGTGTGATAACCCGCCTAGGAGGGATGTGGTGCTGTTGCCGGCGACGGGGTATGTGATTATTGCTTTCAAGGCGGACAATCCGGGGTGAGTCTTTCCCTGCCATAACAACCCAGGGTCTGCTGTGTTTAACTGACTTGATGTGAACAGAATCTGGATTTTACATTGTCATATCGCCTTCCATGCCTCGTCCGGGTTGGCGATTCAGATTATTGAGAACAAGGAGAGGATCCCCGAGATTTTGGGGAGGCACGGGGGCAGGGAGGCGATTGAGGAGAGCTGTGAGAGCTGGAGGGCGTGGCAGAGCAATCCGATTAATCATTGGGATTGGCATCATCCGGACCATTTTCAGGATGATAGTGGTGTTTGAGTGGAGACTCATGAAGAGCTTATGTCCGGGTGGGATGTCAGGCACTAGGTAGGTAATGTGGATGATGAGGGCAAGTAACACGCATGGCTCAGCAGGTCTTAATGGGTTGTCTTTGTTTGACACACGACAAAACAAGCCGCACAAGTATGTAGCCTTTAGCACAAACCAACCACTCGTTTTTCGTCAAGTTGAACATCATTATGCCGCCGGCGGTATCTCTGCGTCATCCCACAAGCTAGCCAACAGCTTCCTATCTCCCGTCCATGGCTCCCTCGCATGCTGCACGGCGTAATTCTATTCTCATGTCAGCCCACTTTCCACCAAAACCATCTTCCAAGAAAGATACCCACATCAATCAACACCACATCCCCCCTCTCCCAGCTAACCATCGCCCGACTCTTCTGTATAAACTCCACCGCCAAATCGAGATATTCCCTAGGAATCTCACTCCCATCGCCATACTATTATCCATTAGCTGCACCCCCTTTTTCATTTGCTGCCAAAACTTACAAAACAAGGCGGAATATACTCCCCCCTCCCATTCCTATACGGATGTTCCAACGTCCCCTCCCTTATCGCGTTCAAAAACCTCGAAACGCAATTATTAAAAAACATCTCCTCCCCTGTGTGCGGATGGGTCCTTATCCCGGGTAGCACCGGCCACACTCTCAGGTCTCCGAGTTGGTTGCCAGGGGAAATATTCTCCCATTCCCATTTTGCTGTCGGTAGGCGGCGGATCTCGGCTTCGACTTTTGAGCGGATGATGTCAATGGGGTCGGTGTCGAGGACAGTTCGGCCGAAGGCTTGGAGGGGGGTTGTGCCCGGGGAGTTTGTGGGTTGGTGGGAGGGGTGGAAGAGTTGGTATTTCAGGCCGAGACGGCGGAGGGAAGAGATGAATTCGGGGCGGTGGGTTGTGAGGTGGGCGAGGAGGGGGGAGGAGGGGTTGAGGGGGGTTTCGCCTCCTGGTAGATACAGGTCAGCTGGGGGACAACGGGAGGAGGGATGGATAGGGGTTAAAAAGGGGGAGGGGTGTTGGTGGGGAGAGGTTGGGTAGAAACAAACCAGTCTCTGGGGCCTCAGCACAGTAGAAGAATACATAAGAGGGAAAGTGTGGGCTTAGTCCAAACTCGTTGTGAGGAAAAATTGGCATGGTTTTTGGGCCTTCGTTTGCTGTTGCTACGTTCGGAGCGAGAACTGTTCGGCGGACTGGGTTGCCAATGTCTTCGTGCGGTGCGAAGCCAAAGGCGTGGGCGAATTGGGAGAACTCATCTGCGGATTTGAGGTTGAGGTTTTGGAAGTACACTGCGCCGTGTTTGTTCAGCAACGACCTGATTTCACCAGAGGCTGTGAGCTTCTTGATTTCGGAAACAACATCGTCTATTGAAGAGGTTTGGTCTGTTCTGCTGAGCGAATAGGGGAACTGTGAAGATGGTGGGTAGGGAGCAGGGAGATCAGCTGATGGCTCGTAGTGAGCTGGTCGAAGGATATCAACGGTTGCCATCTTGAGTTATGTCTCAAACTGAAGTCAAAACAAGCTGTGGCGTTCTTGGGGCTGCATTGGCAAACGTTGTGACGAGGTGGTGGTGGCAGTCACATCGTAACCCATGCGCCCACAACTTCCCCGGATCCTTTTAACATGGAAGTTTTTCATAATTTCATGAATGCCAACCCCCATATCCTTTTGCGTGATCGCGTCCAAAAAAGTGTCAACAGCACCGGTGTTTGTAGTGTGGTGATCAAGACGCAAGTCGATGGCGCAACGGCATCCCTGTAAGCACGACTCTCCTCCAGCGACTCCACTTCACTGCATCTTGTTCGTCCACCACGTCTCTCGCCGGAGGAGGGTAGCTATTCCCGGACTGACTACCGGGTGGGTTGCAGTGATAAAACCAGTCCCATTGAGACCTACCGGCCTGTTGGTACCAAGTTCATCATCAACACACCTCATCACGACATCCTGTCAAGAGGGCGACTATGCCAGTTCTGCTCGATAAACCCCCAAACCCCCCATTAACCCCCACATGGCCAAGTAAAATTTTGATAGGGAAACCAGGTAGCGGGAGACGGTGATCACTTGCCGCTGCAGTCGAGCTGCCAGATCCAGACGGTTGGATTGCAGATTCTGCGCGTGGCAAGATGCATAAAGACGGGGTGTCGCTCGCTGGTCGGGGTTGAATCTGTATCCTCTCACTCATCGTCAAGAGCTGTTTCTTCTGGGTTCAAACACTCAGACAGAATCTCAGTCAAGATGTCCACCGCCGAGCAGGACCAAAAAGTTATCAACGATGGGGCCGTGATCGAGTCCCAAGGCGAGCAGACGAAGCCTGTTTCGTGGTTCACGAGATGGTATCGCAGTCCTCTGTTCAACGTCATCATTGTCGGTCTCATCTCTTTTACCCAACCCGGTATTTGGAGTGCCTTGAACAACACAGGTGCTGGCGGTCAGCAAGAACCCTACCTTGTCAACGCCTCCAACTCTCTGACTTTCGGGTATGTCCCCTGTTCCACCTCCCCTCACCCCTTGACCAACTTGCTAACCTCCCCACAGTATCATGGTCTTCGGCTGCCCCCTCTTCGGAATCCTCGCCAACAAAATCGGCGTCAAAAAGGTCCTCATCATCGGTACCCTCGGTTACGCCCCCTACTCGGCCTCGCTCTACGTCAACAACCGCTACGGCACGGAATGGTTCGTCCTCTTCGGCGGCGTAACCTGCGGCATCGCCGCCTCTGCCCTCTGGGCTTCGGAAGGCGCCATCGCCCTCGGCTACGGCGACATCAAAGACCGGGGCAAGTTCACCGGCATCTGGCTCGGCCTCCGCGAACTCGGCCAGCTCATCGGCTCCTCCATCCAAATGTCTCTCAACGCGGGCAAAGACTCGTCCACAAGAGGCAAAGTAGGATACACCACCTACCTCGTCCTCATCGCCCTCCAATGCCTCGGTCTCCCATTATCTTTCCTGTTATCCCCACCCCAAAAGGTCATCCGAAGCGACGGAACATCCCCAAGAGACCCAACCATAGGCAAGACCTTCCGGGAAGAAGCCCGCAAGATCTGGGCGTTGATGAAGCGCAAGCAAATGTACCTTCTCATCCCCATCCTCGTCGGCTTCCAATGGAACACGACCTACCTCGGGATCTACATGACGAAATACTTCTCCGTCCGCGCCCGCGCCCTCGGCTCTCTCACCGCCGGCATCGCCGCCACATTCGCCAACATCTTTTGGGGGTGGTTCTACGACCTGAAATGCTTCTCCCGTCCAACCCTCGCCAAGATCTGCTGGGCTTCCTTTGTTGTTCTCATGCTTGGGTCATTCGGCTGGCAGGTCTCCAACGAGAAGTTATACGGCGACTCCAACCCCCGCATCACCCTCGACTGGGACCTCCCCGGGTTCGGGAGGGGTTTCGCCAGCATGGTCATGCTCCGGTTCTTGAACGAGAGCCACTACATGTTTGTGTACTGGATCGTGGGGGCCTTCTTTGACGACATCGAGACTCTGACGCTGGCGGTGAGCATTGTCCGGACGTTTGAGAGTGTGGGGTCTTGCATTTCGTTTGGTATCGGTGCTGCTAAGGTGCCGCCTATGGTCAACCTCGTCATCTCGTTTGCCATGTTTGGGTTCACCATTCCGGCGACGTCGGCGGTGGTGTTTATGGTGCCGGAGAGGCCGATTGACTTGCGCAAGGTTGAGGCTGGTGGGATTTCGGAGGGTGAGACTGGCAGTGTGGGTGCGAGTGAGGATTCTGATGAGAAGAGGGCTGTCAAGGCTTGAGCAAAATGAGTAGATGATGTGTATGATGATGTTGGGGCGGATCTCCAAATATGAGAGATGATAATGATGAGCAACTGTTGCGCATAGATAGTCATAGATACCCAGGCTTTTGAGGCCTCGTTAGCAAAAGTAATAACGCCAATAGCAACTGATGAAGGATGCAAAAATTTCCATGTTCCATAGGAGGGAAAGGCCAAAAGATGCACCCGACGTGGGACTCGAACCCACAGCCTTAAGATGTCAATCACCTCTGAAGATCCAGAGGAATTGTTAGAAGTCTTACGCGCTACCATTGCGCTAGCCGGGCTTGGTTAGTTGTTAGAAATTGGCCACGAAACAGGGTCCAAGTAGGAGTCGAGATAAAAGAAAATGTGGTTGTCAACGAATGCTGACAACACATCAGATGATTACTGAAAGAATAACAGGCTGACTTGGACTGGAAAGGTACCACCACATGGAACTGATCTGCGTTGTGGTGCCCCCTTCAGAGAATGCGCTGCGGCCCGATGACCTGTCAGCCGCAGCAAAGCGCGGGTGACCATGCCCGCACGCCGAGTTCGGGACCGGCATTGGAGAAATGGGTGCTAAAAATTAGCGGACATCCCGCTGTCTGGGCGGCCAGCGCAGCGCCGGGACAACGGCTCGGGAGCGCACGGGAGCACATCATTTGTCCAAACCGCCAGTTGACTCAAATATCGCGTTCTGACCACCTCAGTCAAACTCCGCCACGAAGTCTGTGAAACAACCGCATCTCCACGTCCGAGTCATATCTATTTGCTCTTTTAAAAGGCCATGCCACTGCCATAGCCCGGCGCATCAACCGTCGTCTCTCCCGTCGCTTCTCAACATCCCCGAGCCTACCTTCCTACCAGCGACATGGCAGTGTGCGCCGCCGTCAGAACAGCCTTCTGCAGGCAGATCCAGAACCTCGAAAAGTTCCGACAACGCCGACCACACTCCTCGAAAGTCAATGGAGCGAAACCAATTCAGAGCGCGCAGCAACAAGCTCCGATCACACCGCCCGCGAAGATCCAACCTCCGCCTCTCTTGCTCAGGCTCGGGCCGTTGACGAGAGCAGCTCAGGCGTACGGACGAACGCACCAGAAGCGCCCATATACGACACAGATATTGACCTCGCTGTTTATCTTCCTGTGTGGCGACATCTCGGCGCAAAGCATTGGTGGAGACGAACATGACTTCGGGCGGACGGCGCGAGCGCTATTCATCGGTGGAACATCGTCGGTGCCATCATATCTTTGGTAGGCAATGTTTCGGGGGTTTGCGCTCGATCGTGGGTTGGCTAACGTTGTCGCGCATAGGGTGGTTTACCTGTCGAACAGCTTCAACTTTGCGTCGCGAGCTCTCTCGATAGCAGCGAGAGTTGTCGTTAACCAAATCGTGTTTGCGCCACTGTTCAATACGTACTTCTTTGGCACACAGGCTGTGTTGTCTGGGGCGTCGCCTTCCGAGATCTGGGAGCGCCTTGTGAAGACTGTCCCACCGAGCATCGCGAATTCCGTCAAGCTATGGCCGGCTGTTATGGCCATCAACTTCGCCTTCGTACCTCTGCCATTCCGCTCCATGTTCAGCGGGACTGTGGCGGTGGGCTGGCAAACGTATCTGAGCTGGCTGAACAAGAAGGCCGAGGAGAGCATCGCGGCGGAAGCAGAAGCAGCAGCAGTAGCAACAGTGGGGAAAGTAGAAGAGGTTGCTGCGTCGGCTATGGCCAAAGCCGCGGCGTGAAAAGGAAACAAGACGGAATATTCATGATAGATTATAGAGTTAGATAATATCCAATAGCACAAGCAAGGCGTTAGGTGGTTTGTTCAAGAGCAGAAGCTCAAGCTTTGATGGATCGGACGATTTGCTCGAGGGGACAGTGCGGGGTGCCTTGCATCGAGCATGTGGCAGCGGCTGCGCACGGTCCAGACGATCATCTCACACTGTGCCACCCTTGGCTGGCCCCTGCAAGCGCCAGGAACCAAGCCGACACCACGGTAAAGCTCCAAAAATACTGAGCCCAAGAAAACATCGTCATCATCCTCACCAAACTCTCCCACACCACGACTTCTCTCAGAAGCCATTGAGCGCTGGCCCGGCTCAGCTCTGCGTTCAACCATGGCTAGCCCCTTTCTCCGAACGAGGCATACCCTCTCCTCTACCCTCCGACCCCTTGCACGGAATCCCACCCCGAGAATCAACCATGCCGTCCCTCGTCGCCCCGCCTCGACTGCTTCCTCCTCCTCCGGTGGCTCCAGCGCAAAGACAGTAGCTATCAGCACCGCCCTCGGTACTGCCGCCGTTCTCGGATACTACTACGCAACCGACACTCGTGCCTCCTTCCACAAATACCTCGTTCCCCGCGTCATCCGCGTTCTCTTCCCCGACGCCGAAGACGCCCACCACGCCGGCACCGCTGCCCTCAAAGCCCTCTACTCCGTTGGTCTCCACCCCCGCGAGCGCGTTCAAGATGGCGACGCCACCGGTGCCAAACCCTTGGCTGTCAACGTCTTTGGCGTCGAGCTGTCCAACCCAATCGGCATCTCCGCTGGTCTTGACAAGGACGCTGAAATTCCCGACCCTCTGTTTGCTCTCGGCGCCGGTGTTGTCGAGGTAGGCGGCATCACGCCCCTTCCGCAAGAAGGAAACCCCAAGCCAAGAGTTTTCAGAGTTGTGTCTACCGATGGGTTGATCAACAGATATGGTCTAAACTCCAAGGGTGCTGACGCCGTGGCTGCGCACCTGAGGGAAAGACTACGGACATTTGCCCGGAGCATTGGTTTCACGGAAAAGGAGATGCTTGACGGGGAGGCGGGAGTTCCGGTGGGCAGCTTGAAGGATGGGCGCTTGCTGTGCGTGCAGATTGCCAAGAACAAGAAGACAGATGAGAAGGATGTGGAGGCTGTGAAGAAGGATTATGTCACTTGTGTCAACAGGCTGGCACCATACGCCGATGTGCTGGTTGTCAATGTCAGCAGTCCCAACACTCCTGGCCTGAGAGATTTGCAGGCTACCGGCCCATTGACTGCGCTGCTGAGCGCCGTCGTGGAGGAGGCGCAAAAGACCAAGAGAAAGGTCAAGCCCAGAGTCATGGTCAAGGTCAGCCCGGATGAGGATGACGACAGCCAGATGGAGGGTGTGGTGCAGGCTGTGTGGATGAGCGGAGTGGACGGTGTTATTGTGGGCAACACAACCAAGAAGAGGACGGGGCTCGTGCCAAAGGGCGTGAGATTGACCAGCCAGGAGCAGAAGAACATCATGGAGGATGGTGGCTACTCGGGTCCAGCGCTGTTCAATCAGACGCTCAACTTGGTTGGAAGATACAGAAAGATGCTGGACAGCTATTCGCTCAAGACCGAGGGCCTCGGGGATGCGTTCAACAAGAACCAAAAGGTCATCTTCGCGACGGGTGGTATCACAAATGGCGACGAAGCTCTCAAGGTTCTCAATGCTGGAGCCAGCGTTGCCATGGTTTACACCGGGATGGTCTATGGTGGGTCCGGCACTATCACGCGGATAAAGAATGAGATGCGGGAGAAGTTGGCTATCGAGGACAAGAAGCAGTGAGGAAGAGACGTGAAGGCTGAGTGTAGGTGTAGGATTGTATATATGCATATTGAACGGCCCTTTTGACCGAGCATTTAGCAAAAAGCGAGATAGAAGCGAATGTTTATACCCCAAACCACTTCGTCCGCCTCCGACCGAACATCACAAGTGTCATCAAGTGGGTTACAAGCTGAATGTATGCTTGGGGCGGACTCACCGAGGAGGGTTGCATGGAGTCTTTACAGTTTGTTTTTGGGTCAACCAACCCGATCGCTTCCAAGTTATCCGATCCAGCGGGCTTGGCACGCATAAAAATGTCACCCCCTGACCATGGAAGCGCCAGACTTTGTTCCTCCAAGCTTCGATTCCAAAACTAACGAATCGAATTTTCTACGCCATGCCTCACAACCGTCGGTCCAGGCCGGTTTTTCCTTCTGGAAATCATCATCCGGCCTGTGGTTTGCCTGTAGCTTGGTGGAACAGTTACCTTGGGGGTTCGATTCTAGGGAGAATGGGGGTTAGGGGGGCCGCTGCCATACTTGTCGGCGACGCCAGGGGCGCCAATCACAGCGCTCCCCCAACGGCACGGGTTGGTGCAGAATGTGCAGGGGGGTTTGTTCATCAATCGGAAGTTGAGGAATGTCTGTGTGCTCTTTGTGTCACAGTGTGTCAGATGAAGTGCGTGCCTGAACATCAGCGCCGTTGGACCAAATAGTTTGGGTGTTGTGGAATGTTGCGGCACGGCTTTTTTTTTATTTTTATTTTTTTACTTCAACTGCCGTTCTCCCGGTTTTTTTTGTCGCTGTTGATGTTGTTTTGTTCAATCCTCTTGGATTATTGTCTGGGCGGTGATTTTTGGATGACCTAATAATACCCCAAGCCTTCCAATCATACGATACCCGTCCGTCCAGCTTTGGTAGGCTGTACCAGCCCAGAAAAATGAAATCCATCCTCCCTCGTCCTACAACAACAACCACGAAGACCGACGACGAACTGATCTCTGACAACTGGGGACTCTCGGATGAGGAGGATCATCTCAAAATGAGCGCTACACCAACAGCAAAGGTTTTTTGGCAACTTACACATTCCAATTCACCAACTTCTGGTCTCGCCAACAAGAGAGCCAAGCGCAGGAGAGCTCGCTCGACGGGTTGCTTCGGCATACCGTTTGATCTGCTCGCCTTCCTCCGCAGCATGTCCGTCTTTCAACTGGACCCAAACCAAAACAACAACACCACCAAAAGGATTCAGTCATCATCATCACCACCACATTTTGAGTCTGAGAAGGTCGGGGAGGTAAGGAAATCGGCGACATGGCCACTTATCCACTCGGCAAAATCACAGGCTGCCCGGGAGGCACGCATGGCAGCGAAGCGCTCAGCGGCCATCGACCGGCAACTTGAACAAGACCGGGAAGCCTTGTGTCGGACGGCTCAAGTCATGGTTACCGGTTGCGGCCCGACAAGATGCGAGGGAAAGACGTTGCTTTTTGACCAAATGAGAAAATGCAGCTCACCAGGATCCTCCGACCAGCAACCAACAGGGGATCCAGCCACCCAAGTGAGAACCGCGGCCATAAAAGAGATGAAACGAATCCTCTATGAAATCCACGCCCAGGGAACACACTACCATCAACAACCCAACCAACAAATCCCACCACCCCTATCAAACCTCCTCCAAACAGCCATCACCCTCCACGATTTACCCCTCGACGAACCCCCCCAAGTCAACCCAGAGACCCTCGCCTTTATCAACCAAACCACCACCTTGTGGTCTGACCCCCTCTGGACAAACCTCTGCCACACCACTCTCGGCCGCTCCCGCCCATTCATCACCCTCCTCCTCTCGCTATTATCCCGCTCTTTTACCCCATCATACACCCCCACACCAACGGACCTCTCCCACATCAAGCACTTCTCCTCCTCTGCCCTCCGATCCCTCCACCGCGAATCCCTCACCCCCTTCCCATCCACCTCCTCCCTCGAATTCGATCTCATCGACCGCGACAATACATCCTGCTGCTCCTTCCTCCGCCGCAAAATCTTTAATTTCCTCTCCGCCAACCTCTCCATCCTCATGCTAGTCGACTTGGCGTCTTACTCTCAAACCCTAGAGGAAGATAACAACGTCAATTACCTCAGCGAGACGCTCCGGTCCTTTGAGGGGTTGGTTAACAACAAAATGTTTGCGCAAAACGCCCGCGGGGCGATGATGTTGCTTTTGTGGAATAGTGAAGGTTTGGAAAGACAGTTGGATGAAAGGCCGTTGGGGGGGTATTTTCCTGACTTTAGGGGGAGAAGGGGGGAGGAGAGGGGTTGGATTAGGAAGGAGTTTGAAAAGGTTGTTAAGAGGGGTAAGTATGGGAGGGATGTGAGGATTCGGGTTGGGGAGCCGGGGGAGGAGGGGACGGTGAGGTGGGTTGTTGGGGCGGTGAAGACGGGGTTGTTGGATCAGGGGTTGTGTGAGATGGGGTTGGGGAGGGAGGGGGAGGGGAGTGGGTGGTGTCGGAGGGTGTAGATGGAAATCAAGGGGGGAGGGAGGATGTAATGATGATATGACGTGACGATATGGGTAATGGTTCGGGTATTTTGGTTATATAAAAAGAGAATTCTGTTTTGGTTGCCCCCCTATCTCTTCGTATCCAAAACAAATTTGAGGTCCTGGCAGGTGTCAGAGTACCGGACATGGTATTTGCGGAGCAGAACTCACATCAATAGACTCCCCTCCCGGAGCTTGGTCATCAAGTGATAGCTGAGCAAGGCGTTTCTTGCGCTCTTGTATCTTCAAGATTTGCTTGAATCCGACATGTATTAGCTTTTATTCTTCAGTCAGCGACGAGGAAGCGTACCGGCTCAATCGTTTCTTCCGTCACATATCTAAGAATCTTGACCGGCCGAGTCTGGCCCATCCTGAGCACTCGGGCAACAGCTTGTGCTTCGATGGCTGGGTTGTAGATTGGTTCGACGAGGTGGACGACATTTGCTGCTGTGATGGTCAAACCAACGGCGCCGGAATTGATGGTCAGAAGTAAGACTGGGATGTCTGGATTTGTGCTGAAGTTGTCGATGATTGCTGTGCGATCTGTTGCGTTGACCATCCCGTCGATCCTCAGAAATGGGAGGGAGCATTCAGTGAGCAGGATTTGGAGTAAATTGAGGGTCGTCCGCCAGGAGGTAAAGACAACACTATGGTTTATTAGACTATTGAGCTGGCGGCTGGATGGTACTTGTGCGTACCTTTTGCTGCCGTCAGCATTGAAATGTTTCTCTATGTTTTGCGCAACAGTGAGGAGCTTGGAGGAGTACCCTGCTGTGGAACTGGTTGGAGATCGCGCTGGAGAAGGGACTACCGGAAACCGGTGTAGATGCACTACTTGACGTCACAGATACGCTCAGAAGGCTGTTTTTGGTCGCCAAAAATGGTTGAGGCTTTGAAGTGACCAACAACTGCCCGCACAGAGGGCACTGTTTGGCCCCACTGAGAGATGAACTGGAGTCCTCATCCATACAGCAGAAGACGCATGAGTCGCCCCCGGTCATCTCTAGTTCTCTCGATTTCGACCGATTACGAGGCCGCTGGTGCTGATTTGAGGTGACAAAAGTCCCATGATTGCAAAGCATCCGAAGCTTTTGCGCAGTCTGGAAGAGGATGTTGAAGCTCTTCAACTCAGACTTCCCGCAAGCCTGCCGTTCATACTCGGCTCGACAATCATACAGAATGGCTTCGTACGCTGCAGTCTCTTCGGGAGAATGGCTTATCAAAACCGTCTCAGTGGTGGATGGTGGCAAGTCGAGCAAGGTCTCCGTTCTCCGCAGACACATTGTGTTGAAGAGGAGCTTGAGATTTCGAAAAGACTCGCTCATAGTTGGATCGTTGCGGATAGGATCAACGATCAGTCTATCGAACCTTTTGGCATCTGACAGGGGCCCATTTCGCAGGAGGTGGAGCAGTGATCGCAGGTCTGATAGGCTGTTCTGGATGGGAGTCCCCGTAAGACACCACCTCCGTTCAGCCTGAAGCGAGTGAGCTGCTGTGAAGATGACACTGTCGAAATTCCGAATACAGTGGGCTGCGTTTCATATATCAGTTAATCCATATGATCTTCCCGGTCAAAAGAAATGTATTGCCGCTTTTGGACTTGGGTGGGGTGTGTAGTTAGGAGCAGCACTGCCTCTTCCACCCTACCCTCCTGCCCATTTCAGCCTGGAAAAAATGTGTTTGATTTCGAAATGTCCAAATTAACCAGCTTAAGCTCGAATAACGAATTTGCAAGTCAAGGTAAAGGCAAAGTTGAATCGTCATATAAACCAACATACTGCTTGTCTTAACTACAGTTCCATTTCATATTTACATACCTACCTAAGCTTCTTTATCACTTCCTATCAACAAATTAGCACTTATGGCGTCATACCTCCCTAGTTCCCTTGGCATCAGCTGCCGCTTTCACAGGCTTAGTTACTGCAGTCAAATCATCTTAGGAGCCTCGCGGCTGCTAAAGGAAACCAGATCAAATAAAGTTTGTTGTGGCGCTTGGAACTACGTCAAGCCAACTAGCCCGATCCCGAGTTATTCGAGTGGGCCAAATGACGTCTCTACCAAGTGTTCTACAGCCACCTATCTTCATGACAAAACAGGGTACTCGAAGTGATGAAAGAGGCGGGATCCAGAACGATCTAGAGTAGTGTGACGGGCTATAAATTAATAGAGACCCCCAGACCCCTCCTGTGACACGCTATGATAGAAAAATAGAGAGAGAGATTGAATGAGAGATTAGCTTAGCTGTGTGCGGCTAGCTTGCAAGCCCAGTCATCTGATCTCCGACACCTTCTCCCTTAGCTGCAGCGCCTGCCGATGCATTTGCTCTGCCTCCTCATACCTCCCCTGGCTACCAAGCACAAGCGCAAGGTTGTTCATGCTGGTGAGCGTGTTAGGATGCTCCTTGCCCGACACCTTCTCTCTTAGCTGCAGCGCCTGCCGATGCATCTGCTCTGCCTCCTCATACCTCCCCTGGCTATCGAGCACACCCGCAAGGTTGTTCATGCTGGTGAGCGTGTCAGGATGCTCCTTGCCCGACACCTTCTCCCTTAGCTGTAGCGCCTGCCGATGCATCTGCTCTGCCTCCTTATACTTCCCTAAATTGCGAAAGCTCTCACCCACTTTGGAAAGAAGACCTGTTGTCGCTTCCTCGTCATCTGTTCTCTTCCGTAGTTGAAGAGCATGTTGCGTATGAGGAAGATACCTTATCCACTCTTCTTGGTTTTCGTGTTTGGGCCAAGGAAATATATCGTTAAGCCGTTCTAACACTTTGGCTGTCCATTCCTGTCGCTCTCCCTTTCCATCTAACCAGCTCAGCATCGATATCTGAACTAGCCGATGGATATCGTAGCTATCCGACTCATTCTGTTGGGAGATAAATGCATACGCCTTCAGGGTCCCGATTGCTTCAACAGTCTCTAGCGTCCCCGCCGGCGGCAACAGGGAGTGCGGAATATCCTTCCCGGCTAGAAGGCACAGAAATCTGAGGTAGTCAGCCGCCAGCGCGTCGTGATCTGAGATTTGCTGGAACGAAATCAGCCAAGTTGTGGCGACAGCATTTTGAATGTTTTTATATCGGTGTCGGTCGTCAAAGTGACTACTCAACAACTTAACTATATCCTCATCACTGGAGTTGCATAGCTTGAGGTACCGCGCAGTCGAGATCTGCTCCTTGGCCATATAAGCAGACGCTTGCCGTATTGCCAGAGGGAGGTTAGTAAGAAACTCTAGCAACGCATTGTTGCTTCTTGTGTCGCTCATCTGAGAACCTTTTAGGTTTTTCCCTAATAGCTTAAGGGCCTCGTCTCTGCTCATTTCTTCAACTGCGATAATATGATTTTCAGACTCGACCAGCCTTAATCCAAGTTTGTGGTTTCGGGTTGTGAAAAGAATAGATCCTTTCCGGCTGAATGGAAGATAGTCGGCAAGGGCGGTATCCCCAAAGAGTAGCTTTTCATCGTCGGCGTTGTCGATGATCAAAAGCCAATTACCCATACTCTCGCGGCCCAATACGGACTTGATAAGTGCCTTGACATCTGCTTTTTCTTCGTTGATTCCCGGTACCTTGAGCTGCTGGCCGATAGCGCGGTATGCATTCTCGAAAGCGGTGGTATCTATAGCGGGAACCCAAAAGACCGAGCATTCCGGCTGTACGTCGCGAATGCGATAAGCGGTCTCTAGCGCGATCTGCGTCTTTCCAACCCCCCCCAGACCTTCGATGGCGGTCCGCTGGCAGTCATCTTCGTCTCCACTAGGAAGAACCCTCTTAAAAAGATCTTCGACAATTGATTCACGCCCGACGAATTCCTTATTACGTCCGAACCGGACGATCCAGTGTCCCTTCACGGTAGCTTCGCCATATTAGTACTATTCTGGCCGTATCAGCCTACCCAGGAGATGATCAGCTTACAGTTCTTCCGCAGTTTCAAAATAACCGATGCGTCTCCAGCGAGTTTCCTGACCGCATCTTTAACTAATTTAAAGTTGGGACATTCTGGACCTTGGAATTTGTTCATCCCTGAATGGGTCGCATCCAAGCCTTGGCGAGGGAAACCATGCAGGCAGGCCGAAGACTCCGTCACAAGCTATTAAGGTCAGTTAAATATTACGAACGGGGGCAAATAACGTACAATCTTGCGGGTAACACTCCTTGACAGGCGCTTCGCCCACCCCGGCGATAGAATGCCTTTTAACATCTCCGTCTCCCTAATCTCAAAAAAGCAACTCAGGGGCAGTTTCACTGCCTTAGCATTAGCGATCTCGGCGAACTTCTGAACGCGCTGGCGGACGGAGTCGTGTTTCTGCTCAAGGTCTTTTATGAGTTGGTCAGAGGCCTGCTTTCCCATAATGCCGGCAACCAGCACCTGCCACTGAGCCTGCTTCGCAGCATCACTACCGTGGAATGGAGTGGCGAGAAACACGATGCCGACAGTGGAAATCAGGATATGTTTATAGGCGCTGCCTTCCTGGGCAGCTCGGTTAATCGCCTGGGGAGGTTAACCGCTGCCCGCCGTATATGATCTATGGACATACCTCGGCCAGAATAAGCCCTCCAAAACAAGAGGCGACGAAGATAATCGGTCGCGTTTGCGAACCACGGCCTTCGGCGATAAGACCGAGTAGCGTATCGGCATGGCCGAGCAGCGTCTGCACGGGTGCATTTTCGAAGTAGTTTGCATTCCAGTCGTACGTATATATGCGGGCCTTTGGTAGGGCTGCCGGCAGCATGTCGGCGTCCGACAGCCAGTTCACAACCCCATCCCCATTTCTTTTCTTAAACTCCCATGTCCGCGGCGACTCGGTGCCCAATCCGTGGATTGCGATAATACTGTCCGGTTAGACGTGCCTCTATGCGTTCGACCGGGTGGAACTTACTCGATCGTCGCGTCGTCGGGAGCGTTGTCGACTGGGACGATCCGGCGGAGTCCCCTGCAAGCCTAAGGATGGAGTGCCGGTAGTTAGCATCGGTCGCCGCTTCTTATATAGAGAGCGATCTCACCTCTGTCGTGGTCATCCTGGGAATATTCTGAAAAGCGGGGCTCGTATTGCGCACCAGGCTGGTAAGGGTCAGCTTCAATCGCGGCGGTTACTATGTTAAGGTCGCCGTAAGAACGAAAGTGATGGAGAGAGGAGTATTAGACTTAGCGAGACCTATAATGAGGCGCTGTTTGGCCTTTGTATGCGTGTCACACGTCAAACGACCAACCAGCCACATCACGGCCCAACCGCTATCGAGAACCAATGGTTGGAAGTAAGGCAGGCAATCAAATGCCTCGCGGTTATCAAAGGAATAGTATTGGACACGGAGTATATCGAAGGACTTGGCAGCGGCCTGAGATCGCCTAATGCTTACCGCCCAAAGCGCCAAGAAACGCCATATCCAACTACTTTAAGCCATGGTCCTGACATCAACTCTGATGCGACGCACCTGGGTAAGTATTCACAGCGCCCTTCAAAACCGCGGACGATCAAACCGTCGAGTCGTGTTTACGATTGCGGAACCCTTGTCTCTCGACGCTTCAAGCGGGTCAAGACGAACGGCGGAGAAATCGAAACTAAGGAATAAGGTATGGCAATAGGATTAAGCATCCCGCAGTCACGGCCGGCTAGTTTAGTTAACAGAGTGCGCATAGTGGCTCCTGTATGTCCTCCGGCTCCGGAAAGCAGGCGACGTGCCGACTCGTCCAGTCCCGACAATTACCCTCCGTCGCCCCCGTCCGCGTTCCACGTGGCTCCGCCACGTCCCCCGCTCTGGCCGGTACGCTAGCAGCACCACCGCCGTGCAAGTGTGCGTACTCTCTGACAATTGTATTTATAGCTCGAAACCGACGTATTTGGGAAACGATAAGAGGAAATCACCGCGGATGGCTTGCCGGCTGCTTATCGCTACCACGAGGCCCCTAGAAAGCGCGTCGTCGGTAACCCAGCTAACGATATACTGGCTTTCTTAAGGACGGAACTGTCTCTCGGCGGTCTGGCCGACATGCTCAAGCATCTCTGGTTTGCTGGCGCAGAACGTCCCGCCACCCCGCTGCACTTTCATGTCTCCATGGGCCGGGAGGTCGCCATCGCCGACCGGATGGACCTCCACCTGCTCTGGTCTAATAAAGGGAGGCTCTTCATCAAACCCGTCCCGCGCTTTCTTCTTAATCCAGCCTTTTGTCGCAGCAACCTGCAGTGCCCTGATGGCTGTGCGTGCTATAATCCCCCGGCAGATACGTGCCGGGGAATAGCAAGGAAAGTCGCCTTGGGTTTCCTCTACACATACGTCTGTCTCATATCATGCGAGACCGACTTCCACATCGCCAACGAAACGCGCCTCCTGCCTTGAAATGAAGACGACTCGCCAATCAAATGGGCAGACTGGAAGGCCTTGGCCAGGGAAGTCCTCCAAGTGCACGAACGCGACCCAGATGTGGTCCACCCACGCTTTCTGCGCGCCGAGCTTCGCCTCTCCCGCATCAACACCATCCATCGCTTCACCCGCCTCCCTCCCTTCCACCCCTACGTCCGCGACTGGCACAACTATAGCAGCCTCTTTCACGATAATCTTGCGTGGATGGCCACTGCCGCTGTCTTTCTGGCCCTGGTGCTGACCGCGATGCAGGTCGGCCTTGCCACGGAGCGACTCCAACAAGACACCACCTTCCAGCAGGCGTCGTACGGCTTCACCGTATTCGCTATTCTAGGGCCTATATGCGCGTTCGGCCTAGTGGCGCTGGGTACGCTGTTCAACCTCGTCAATGACCTACCGCTGCTCATCGGAAGACGGCGCAACTGCGCAGTGCATGAAACCTCGGGTGAAGTTAGTCACGCGGCGCCCTGATTACCAAAAGTATTGATATTGAGCAGTGTCCGACGGCGTGACGAGTGTCATATGTGAGGGAACGGTCTTATGACTTATTTTTTTATTATCATGCCTACTCCGTTCTACCCTAAAAAGAGTGTGTCGGTCCTGCTGATGCTGTTTATATAGGAAAAACCGTGCTTGGAGCCGGCTGAAAAACCTATATCGGTAACAAATAGGAAACAGTTCTTAAAAAAGCCAGATGGTAGCAAAATAAGGAAAGGCCCCAATACGGCCTTGAGCACTAGTTGTCCTCGACTTCCGCTCCGGCCGCCGCTTCCACCTCTTCCTCTCCTATTAATATATCCTCCTGTTTTAATTCCAGTTTTCTTGCTAAGCTGTATTCCATTAAGCGACCGGAATCCATTAGCCAGCCCAGAACCTTTCCTGATAGCCTTTGGTTCCGGGAACCTATACCTTGTAATACGAGGCTAGGATCTCGGTGCGTGCGGATGCTGTTTGTTGGCCAGGGTTTAGGCTTCGGTGGTACTGGGTACTATATAACGAGGTGCTTAACTATTTCACGGCCTTTTCCGCAAGCACAGTGGGGAGTGACTAGGCCTGGGACTTGCTACTTGAATAGGAAGTCTCGTAGACCTATTACTTTTGTGCGAGCCTGGACTAGTAAAAAGCTCTGAACTTTAGTTAAATCCTTGTGTTTCTTCAGGGTCTTGTCTGTGAAGAGTATCTCTGGTAGTCCTTCGTCTACTATCCTGGCAGGTCGCCCTTCGACCTGCTTTCTCCAGCGGTTTTCCCATGATTGGCACAGTGCTACTTTTGTCGTGGGTTACGGGGTCTCTCTCTGGCTCTCGCTTTGGTTCTGGTGCTGGCTGGTCCACTGGTTGATGGTGATAACAGATCTCTCAATGACTGTGGGTTCCTATAGGTGGACGGGTCTTCGGCCTGGCCTCCGTCTTTGGAAGCGTCGGTACATCCTATTGCACGCTTCTTGGACGAGCTGCCCTGGTGGGTGCTTTGATACATCTGGTCCCTGCCCACTGTGCAAGCATGGGTCCTGTAGCCGGGCTTCAAAGTCTGCCAGTCTCTTGTTGAGGTATAAGTCCAGTGGTGGCACCCAGGTTTCGGTTTCTATGTTGCTGGTTGGTGTAGTCTTGTATGCTCCAGTCACTATCCTGAGGTTCCTTGACTAGGCCTTCGCCAGCCTCCTCGCCGCACCTTGCGGTTGACCTCCAGCTGGAGTGGGTGTGTGGTAGTTGGCAGCTCCATAAGCTATGGCGCTTCCGATGCACTCAGTGTATACCTCTCGCGCCCTTATAAGGCCTGGGCCCCAAGTTTTGGCTGCAATCGGGACAGTGCGTAGTCTTGAGTTTTTAGCTTTCAAGCACCTTCGCTTTGTGTGCTCTCCAGTTTAGTCTCTAGTCTAACCATATACCTAAGAATATAGCATAAGGCTATAGTTTAATTTCCGCACCGTCTCGGCTCGCTAGCTGAGCCAAGTATAGTGGCTCAGTCCACTGAGCTCGGCCCTTATTAAAGTATATCAGTTCGCTCTTCGCTAGGTTAAATTCCATGCCGTAAGCTATAGCCCGCTGTAGGCAGGTCAACTAAGCTTCCTCGAATTGCCGGCAGTTAGTGCTGGAGTGTTTTCCGAAGGCTAGCATATTCGTATCGTCGGCGAATCCTATAAGGCTTTATCTGAGTGTTTGTCTTTGAGCTCCTTGTATAAGGAGGCGATGTACAAGATGAAGAGGGCTGGTGAGAGGGGGGAGCCCTGTGGAACTCCAGCTCGGATGCTGATTTTCTGTGTCTTTTGGCCGTTCAAGGAAAGTGTGGCTTTTTGGTCTGTCAGCTAGTTTCTCACCCAGTATACAAGCCACTGTGGAAAGCCCTGGTCTCGGAGAGTTGCGAGTAGTCGGGTGTAGTTTACTCTGTCGAAAGCACCTATGAGATCGAGTGTAGTAGTGTGGCCGTGGCTCGCTGTTTCCAGGCCTTTCTCACTTGAGCTGTTACTAGTCTTATTGCCAGTTCTATGGACCTATGCTCCTGTTAGCTATTTGCTCCTTTGGAAGTAGTCCGTGTGACTCGGCTGTTTCCGTTATCCGTTTTGTAATTACTGCCTCGATGATCTTCCTAATGGTAGGTAGTAGCGATATTGGCCTGTATCCTCCCGGGGTCTGGTAGTCTGCTAGCTTCTTCCTAGATTTGGGTGGCTATGGTTATAGCCTCCTTTAACCTCTTAGGTTACCACTCTAGTTCGAAACATCTCTGCACTAATACTAACGGTCTCAAAGTAGTATATTGCAACTAGCTAGGCCACTCTACGAGTACACTGAACTTGAAGAAGAAAGGAAAAGAGAAAGAGAAAGTTTGATAACATAAGCTTCTAATGTGGCTGGGCGTGTTAGCCAGTGCGCGGAGATAAGAAGGTCCTGGAGTGGTGGTGTGCGTTCTGGGAATAGCTTTATTAGGGCCGAGGGTTGCCGAGGTCCATGCCAGGGCTCAGCCCATTACAAGTACTGCCAGGATCTTGTACAGTGGGTTGCCACAGGTCTTTAAGAAGCCGATAGGTAGGTGGTCGTTTCCGGGTGCTTTCTATGACGAGGCTCAAGATAAGGCTAGTTTAATATCGTCAGGCCATACCCTCTTGTGTATCTGGAAAAGTGACTGCCAAGGCGTGGACAGAGTAGGGTCTTGGACATTTGACGAGTTAGCTGGTGGGCCTGGGAAGAATCGATTAGCGAGGGTCGTGGGTAGTTAATAGTGTACCGGCTTAGTCTTTAAAGGTAAGTAGCCGGGGAGGGCCGGTTGGTTTGAAGCTTTTGCAGCGAGCCCACCGTTCCAGCTTCCACAGTAGTGTGGTATCACGTGTGGCTTTTTGTAGTGCAGTTCTCCAAGTCTTAGTCTTCGCTTCCTTGACTACTTTGATAGACTCTTGTATTTGCGGTTAAGTTAGGCTTAGTTATACTCCGTGGGTGTATTCTTTAGGATCCTCTCAGCCTGCCTCGCCTCTGCAGTTCTCTTTTGGATCCCAGAGTTCCACCATGGTGCTTGAAATCCGTTGCTGGTCTTCTTTCTAGGTGTGCTGATATCTGCTATTCTTATGAGCTCGGCTATTGGCCAGTTGAAAGCCCTGTTCAAGCCTTGGGTGGTTTGAATATTATTGTGCAGGTGTGAGTAGCTAGTTTGATCAAGGCCAATAGCGATAGGTAGGAGCTTAGCTTCAGCTTTTACTCTTCCCTCGTCCATCTTTTTCCAATCCTACCCTGTGAGCCGTGGCGGCGGCTGTGGTCGGGTGACGTAAGTCTCGATGACTTGGGGGCAGTGGTCAGATCTTCCCCTCTCTTCTATGCCGTAGTAGGTATTCTGATTCCCATTATAATGTGGGAGTGGGCTGCGAGCTAGGTAGTCGGTTAGGTTGTGGATCAGGCTGGGAGCTAGGCTGAGAGCTAGGCTAAGAGCTGGGTTGAGATGTGGTTGGGAAGCGGATCTGGGGACTGAGCTGAGAGAAGGGATTTGGGAGAGTGGTGAGCCGACTCTGCCTCGGATCCTGTGAGGTGTCACGGCGGTTGCACCGTGACCGTTGTTGATCTAGTGATGGAGCTTGGCACGTGCAGAGCACGGGCCAATGCGATTTGAATGACTTCGCATCTCGCTGCCGCGAGACCTGTTTGTAGCTCTTTAAGCTACGTCTTGACAATAGAGCCTGCCCGTACCCGACCGAATAGAGCCCAGACTGTAGCTTAGCTGAATATCATTGTCACTAATCTGTCAATCTGTTCTGCCCGTGACATGAGGCTTGTTGTATATACGTAGGCCTTCCTCTCTTCCTGACCTGTTCTTCAGCCTGGTAGTGGCTGTCGTCCTGGCTGTTGGTGAAGGTAAGGGATGAGGCTAGCGTTGTGGGTGTAGGTGTAGCAGCTTCGAAGGTACGGGGCCGGTGCTGATATGCTTCTCTAGCCGTGCCTTCTTGCGTTCCGGGCATTCCTTGTCCCAGGCTGGATGTCTCCCTCTGCAGGTTGGGCACTTGCAAGGCAGGTGGCGGGTGAGGGTGTGGCACTGTGCCTCGCCTTCCTTTCCACCTCTACCGTGAGCCCCCGTGCCGCACCTGGGATATATGGAGTCATTCTTGCAGTAGCGACTGGTGTGGCCCCATTTCCAGCATTGTTAGCACTGGGTAGGTCGTAATGGTGCCCAGTATGGCTCGCAGTTAAGTATCTGGGCCTTGAAAACCACACCTGTATTGTAAATCGTTTTAGTTTCTACTTGATTTGTGAGAGTGATTAAGATAGATACCTATTTGAGGTTCTGGTATTTTAGGTACTGGAATTTGACTTTCTTAAGTAATTTTAAACCTAATCCTTTACCGAATTCTATGTCCGAGGTTCCCTAAATATCGGATTTATAGACCCCTTTTACTAATATTATAAAAGCTTTTTAAGCTTCCTTCGCTTAGTTACCGAAATTTTATTGGATTTAGTTATTATTTAAAGAATATTAGTCCCTAGTAGTCGGGTCGGTAAAAGTAATTATTATATCTTTACTAGGGAGTTTCCGAATAGCTATATATAACGAACCCCTATCCGAAAACTCTGAAAGGGATACTGGTTGAAGGCACTTCTGAACAATCCTGGTTCGGTACAGCTAAACAGTTTACAACAATTGGGTTGTTTTAATCAAAAGAGTCTTGATACCAATAACTGTGACTTGAATTGCATACTGCAGAACTGTCTATTTACACCAGCCAGTTCCTCCGTATATATAGACCTTAAGTTCCCAAATACCTCCGTATCTGGCTCACTCCGGCTCACTGGTGATCGGTAGTGATCCCTCATGGCTCACCTTCGCCAAGCAGGTCAACAGTTTAATACCTAGCCTTCCAATGTAAGCACTGGTTGCCTTAAAAGAGCAAGGAGAGGCATTATCCTGTTAAAAAACCACAGAAGTACTCTATACTCTTTTCTCTATAATAAACCCCAGATAATAGGGATAATATAGCTCTAACACTTCTCGCTATCAATCCTACTATATTCTTTTTCCCACACAAAAGAACCTGCCTTTTCACACCCATATATTATACCCCAAAACATCCAACCGTGAGACTTTTGCCGTATAGTAGCCCAGGCCTCGATATCTTTAATTTGTGTAAAGTAAGCTACCTTTTCCATGTCGGGTTGTTAGTAGCCCAGGTCTCGTCACCGAAGGCCACGTATTCCCAGTCTTCCGGGCGAAGCTGAAGTCCTAATTGCTCACGGGCAAAGGCCAGTCGTTCGGCTCGGTGTTAGGCGGTAAGCTTGATCCTCCGCGGTAGGACCTAACGACTGAAGTCAGCTATTCTTATAGCTATGGTGAAGGCCGTATCCTTCCAGTGGTTAAATCCTTCCAAATACAGCTTTAAATCTAGCTAACTGAGCTTGCGAGCGATAGGGTCGTCATTGAGAGAGCGAGTAATACGGTCCTTCTCTTCGTCGGCAAACCGCGAGGGCTTCCGGCTACGACGGTTAGTTCGCGGGGTCAACGGTGTAGTGAGGGCATATTGAATCTGTTTATCCGACGCGCCAGTGGCCTCGCGCATAGCCGCGTAGGACATATAGGCGTCTTCGCGCAAGGCACGTATTTGAATCTGTGGCCAACTAATTAGTCAGTAAGAATTGAAGAGGGTTAGGAATATATATGGCTACCTTTTGCTCACGCGGGAGCTCTGGAGCCCTGTGAGCCTTCAGGTGCCAGTGTGGCCGTTGTTGCCTTGCCAATTGGAGCCGGTAGAAGCGCTCGGCTGTGGGTGACGTGTCAATATCGTTGTGGTTGATAAGAGCGTTGATTTCCATCGTGGTGGTGGTGGGTGTGGTCGATGGCCGTGGTGTTGCGCGAGAGGGTTCGCATTGCCTTAAGAATTGACAGGTACCCCTGCCATGGAAATTAGTAGCAAAGTGACTTCGGATTCGATGGATTTCGATATTGCGTATGTGGCTGCTGATAGCTGACATATTGGCCTGTTGTTTTATGGGGCAAGTCCAACGTTACCATATATTCTCTTGGTATAAGTGTAGTTAACGAGAGAAAATCTGCGGGGTTACCTGGAGTGCTCGGGCTAATTCGCCCACATGTGCATACCATCATGGCTCTTGGTCGGCCAAGTCACGAGCTCAGACACCCAGTTCCCACCACTGAAGCCATCATCATGCGTAAATCGAATCAAGGTAAGGCCGTAGGCCGTGGCCTTCGCCACTCTCACCAGGCAGAGGACGGAAGGCTGAGTGGGGTGGGGTCGCACATTCTTCCACACATTGTAGACATCACATTTGACAAATGTCTGTAAGGCAAATTTTCATTTCATTTCATGAGCTCAGATGTCGAGTTTTGCTCCAAAATCCACCTTGTGGCCTTATATCATACACAAGCTTGCAGTTTCAAACAAGACCTCCTTCTACCATCCATAGCTATCCGTCCGCAATCACTACGTCATGACCGGGAAGTAATCACACTGGATTCTGAAATAGGCGTTATAATTTGGACTGTCGGTGTCCTCTATGCAGTGTACCCAGTTGTCGTGACTGAAGACGGCGCAGGGGTAATGGCCCTGATCACAAACAACCTGGTTGACGTCTGGATGGTAGGAACAATTTGTATTCACGCCGAAAGGGTTGAATCCGATGTCAAATTGAGGGATAGGCATCTGGTATCCAGGGTCGCATTCCGAGCCGGTACCAAGATGCAATGTTGCGTTGTACGGATGGCAAGGGTTGAAATACTTCACGCTCACATGGGACTCGAAGATGTCGTAGTAGCACAGGTATGTCCAGCCGGGATCTCCCGACATGAAGGTTCTGCGGTACAAAACCCAAAGTCTGCCGGGGTCAACCTCCCCCGGAGTGGTCTGGGTGGAGGTCGGATGGGTGGGGACGTACTGACTGGCAGTCGGATTGGCGGAAGCAGAGAGACGGACAGTTGTGCCGGTGGGAACAGCTTGAGATGAAGTCAAGTCGGTCGAGTTTGACTGGGAAATGGAAGAGGAAGTCAAGTCGGTCGAAGTTGACTGGGAGATGGTAGAGGACTCCCAAGTGAATGAGACAGCTATGAACCGCACAATATCAGTCAAACGAAACGAAGCACAGATGCAAGTTCAACCAAATTTGGATCTCTTACCAGTAGAGGTGATGTCGACTGCCTTCAGTCTCCCCGCATCTGGGAAACCAACGGCGGCAGTGGCGCCGATCAGGAGGAGCAAAAACTTGAGCATCGCAATGGTTGAAGACAATGGTTGAAAGCAATGGTTGAAGTTGGGTTGATTGAGGAGCTTGATTGACGGATGGAAGAGATTGGATGGCAGAACATGAACAAGCTGGCAGATGGGCAATCGGGGCAAAATTTGTACCCAGAGAACTGAGGAGCTGCCGGGCTGTCTGTCACCTGTGATCACGGCTGTCACTACTTTACATCATCACTCTGGCATTTCGGCCGTGTTCAAGATTTCGCGCCTGCCTCTCCTGAAATAAGCATTTGGCGGAGTCTTCCACGGGCGTAAAAACGCGGGACCTGTTTTAGACGGCAGGTTCGTACCGGAACTTCCAAGCACCATTCACCGAGGTGGTCATGCATTGAATCCAGAAGCCCGTTCCTCCGACAGGCCCGCCTTCAATCGGCGAATTGACCACCTCATTTCTTCATCAGATAGGTACCTTGCCTATCGATATCGACCTGACTCCGAGGTGAGAATCGATGTATCAACGTCTGACAATTGATAAGCAGAGTACATTATGGGAGGCAGCTTCCACTGCTTCGGGCGCTTTTCTTTTCAGACCTGTTGTGATACATATGATGGTTTCGAATGTAGAGCCAACTAGGTACATTCGACGGTATAAAAGTCTACATATCCGCCATCCGCTCCTTGCATTCATCACACTACCATTTCGCTGTTTGTTATGGTTAGCCCTTCTCTTACCCAGATAGCCAGTATGGAGATTAAAACTTGAATCAACTTACCGGAGCCCTTAGGCTCGTGTTTTAAACCCACGCATTCCAAGTGAAACCACTCCCTTTGATACTCTGCCCCATCACAGGCCACCATTGTCCCGTAGCTAATACTTTAGTTTGTCTTCATCTGGCTCATCATCTGGCTCATCGTCTATCGTCATATCACCGATATCAGCGCGACCAGATTCAACCAGAAATGAAACCGCGGTGAGGTTGCTCATCTCTTTCGCCACTTCCAGAGGCGTCTTGTCATCGTTATTTCTCTCGTCCAATCTGAGTGTGTGATCCATCAAGACTTTCAAGGCGCTGCGGTCGGGGTTTGATGACTTGATAATGACATTGTGGAGTGGAAGATTTCCGTTGTCATCCAGGACATTTGCAGCAGCCCTATTCGTTATATCCAAGATGCGAGAGAGAGGCTAACGAGGCGGCCGGGCAAAGCCTCGTCAATGGGTTCTAATTCGAAAGCTAAAGTCTCCAAAGGGGTAAGGCCGAAGGAATCACGCTCCAGCAAACGTTGGGAGTGGAGGAGGTCGAGAAGGAATTCAGCCACGAAGTATCGCTTCTTATGGCAACTTTCATGAATATTGGGCCGAGATCCGCGGGATCCGTAGCTCAACACCACCGCGCTTCGCAGGCTCTCGAGGACGTGGAAATGTGATCGTTCCAGAATGTGGAGGGGTAAGAGTTGGGGTGATTGATGTACCGGGTCGTATAACTGCGGAAATAATTCTTTGACAATCCTATGTAGACAGGATACCTGGGTGGTGATGCGGCAGAGTGTATTCCGCAACAAGGCTTTATCCCTGGCGGTAGTCCTGAGTCTTAAAATGTTTATCACACTGGTTATGTCAGTTAAGTTGAGGTTTTGCCTAAAGTACCCCAGCAACGTTTCAAACAGTTCGAGATTCCCAATCATGATGGCAATACGCAATGCCGAGCATCGGTTTGCGAGATGGCTAATGTTAGCTGCCAACTCGGCATGCCAATCAAGAAAGAGTCGGACTATCTCAAGGTCTTCGTTCCTGATCGCCTTCTCGAGGGCTGATATGGCGAGACGTGTCTTGTATGCATTCGCGCCCCGTCGTAACAAATATTGACAGACACTTGCGTGTCGACCTAGCGCCGCAATCACTAGCGCAGTTATGGCTCCGCCTGTTATGTCTGGCTCATCAACGGGATGCCCAGCTTCCACAAAGAAGTTGACTTGCTTAAGATTACCTTCAGCAGCAGCAGTCCATATAGTGGTGTCCTTGGCGGATCAAGATGATGGAAATAACGATTCATCATCCGAGACGGCCGAATAAAAATCGCTTATAATGATTGTCAAGATCCCTTTGTGAGGTATACTCAACTCGTGAGGCGAAGCAATCTGGTACAGAGCACTTATAAGGCCTTTCATGGTTCGAGATGTGGCGCTCTCGCTCATCTCGCTCGGGAAACCCCTCAGAAAACTTGGAGCATTGCAATCTGTTGCATTTGAATCTTCCAGAGTCGTTGAGCTCCAAGAGTGCTTTGCGCTCGCGTTCGGTGAGGATCGTCTGGTCAATGTTTTCTATTGTGTGTCTGATGGTGGTGACAGCATTGTGTAGAGTCATGTCGTCCGATGGGCTGGTGTTGGCTGTACCGGAGTCGCCGTTCTGACTTGTGACAGGTGTTGGTCTTGCGTTATCGTTATCATGAAGCTGTTCTGGGTTTGGAGAGCTATCCTGCCCCTGTGTGAAAAGGTGTTGTGCAGAATCAAGCACTCTTTTCTTGATATTGGCATCGACTTCATCTTTGGACACTGTCATCTATCGTAGATGCTCTTTCCAATAGGATTGCGCGTAATCAAAAAGTCCGTAATAGCCTGTTACCGCTGAAGCCGCGATCTCTTCAGTTGAGTAAACGCGGGTGTTGAAAGCCGGCGAGGACAGAATATTAGGTACAAAACAGGGCCATCTTTACATGAGCCATTGACAAAGATACCCTCCCAGATTGTATCAGATAGCTGCTTCATTTCAAGACTCACAGGAATTGACTGCTGAAATACAGGACAGAAAAATGTAATCCTACCTGCGGGCAGTGTTGTGTACCAGACCGACGATGGCCTCGTGTTCCGATGCGGCCTGTTTGAGATACTCGCAGCGGTTGAGTTCAACCAGTGATCTGCACAACTCCTTGCAGCTATCTACCCGACGACGATCAATATCGCAGTTTTGTTTTTCGAGGTTGATGCAAAAGCTTGACTGAATCTCGCGCCACCGCAAGGGCCTGGGGGAGCACACCAACCACTCCAGTATGGCTCGAGCTGTCTTGCTTTTCGAGCCTGATCGGTCAAGTACTCGAGCTGCAACCCGATCATATGCCGCATTCAGTTGCCTCAGAAAGTTGTCTTTGGACAGCTCATCATTGAGATCGGCCACCGATGCCTGGTCATAAAGATTGTCCAGTACCACTTTCGCGTAAAGAAACATTCCTGCGACCGGCCATCAACTTGCTTGTTCCAGGTTGCTTGTGGTTCTGTTGTTTAATGAGGATTTCAAACGTACCATTTGCAGTTAAGGTGACCTTCTCAGTGATCTCATTTGCCCTAGAGTCAGGAATCTCAAACCGATCCCTAATTTTGGTAGCCATGGCAGTAACGTAAGTCTTAAGATCGCAGAGATGAACCTTGCGCTGTCCGGGTTAATAGTTGGTTGACCGATCAATTGTTTATCAATATAGCCATCCCTTTGTCCCGCTACCAGTAGCCTGACTGAGGGGAGGTTACCAGCCTTGTAAGTTCTCAAGATCTCGTCCAGGAACCAACTGAGTACGAGTGATGATTCACATTCGTCAATGTGGCGGCCACTGTCACACTCGTCCAAACCATCCACAACAATCCAGCAACGATGCTGTAGTACGACACAGTCTTGGACAAGGGACTTGAAAAGTGGCTCCCGAAAGTCGTCGGGCCTGTGGACGGAATCACAGGACTTTTGAATGTGCCTTAGAAGCCCATCATCTTGTTCGAGAAGTTGGTCGAGGAAGGCACGAACCATGTGTTCCATTGCTGATTTATTGACAACGCCGGCCCTGCTGTGTTTGAAGTAGAAATAGGCAAGACTACCTCCAAGAATATCCTCTTCGGACCTAACGCGTTCAATGACTCGCGATACCAGAGTGGTCTTGCCTAACACAGGGAACACAGGGGGGGAGTGTCAGCAAGTCAATGTACAAAGAAAAGTTCATAGAGAAGCTATACAAGCACTTTGCCGTAGTATTCTTTGGAGGAAAAGAAAGATATGTGCTTACCAGAACCTGGCATTCCACTGAGGTAAAGAATTTCCCCCTGTTGGATTTTCCATACATCCACTCCTTAAACTCGGGTTGGTCGAGAACCCAACTGTGACTTGAATTGCATACTACAGAACTGTCTATCTATACTAGCCAGTTCCTCCGTATATAAACCTCTATCCTTTCAGTACCTCTGTACCTAACTTACTACGGTTTACTAATAAGCGATAGTAATCTACCCTAGCTTATTACGCTTATTAAGTAAGCCTAGTAATTCGGTTTACCTTTATTAAAATGTAATCCGGATTACTTTTACCAAAAAGTAATCCGGTTCATTACTTTATAACCGTACCGTTGTATTTTTTTTTAAATTAACACTACAGTTTACTATAATTCTTGGTCGGTCTTAGTACATAATTAATCTATAATATAATATCTCCCTGTGACAAACGCCTATCCAGAACCTCTGAAAACGATACTAGTCAAAGGCACTTCTAAACAATCCTAATTCGGTATAGCTAAGTAGTATATAATAAATGGCTCCTCTTAATCATAATAGCTAAAATACTAACGATTATAATTTATATTATATACTGGTTTGGAGTGCGGCCACAGGCCTGAGGGTATAAGGGAGGAAGTGGAGCTCTCGGAGGATTTGAGGGTTCAGGGTCATGTATATAAGCTGTCTGTTTCTGACGTTCTATTTTAGACAGGACATCGACTTTTATTTCTTTATATTTTGTGCCTTGCGCGCGTGCAGGCAATTCTGACCCTCTGATCAGGCCAATCCTGTGATTATTTATGTGACCTGCGAGCCCATAGTGTCTTTTCTTTGTCCTGCGTGAAGTGCGGCCTGCGAGCGAGTCACTGTCACCCAGGTGTGTTCATTCAGGGACCTGTTGAGGGTACATTTGTGGTGTTGTGGTTGTTTTTGTGTGTTTTCTCACCATTTCAGTATATAGCGGGTATTTTAGTGAGGGTAATTTTATCGAACCGACCCTACTTAATTTAGGAGCTAAGTCTATCGTTCTGGCGTCCACTAATAGCAAACTTATGACGCTTACCTCTTAAATCGACTTAGAATCCCAAGAACTAAAGCCAATATTTTGCAGTGGGTGTGCTATTAAAATAACCCCGTTCTTTTATTATGTTTGGGATGTCCAGATAGGGGATGGAAAATTGAAGGCCATCTTGCTAATGCCAGTGTTAGCGGCCTCTATCTATTAAGACACGGATTACTCGCAAATCGTTCTATATTAAGCTTATTGGTACTATTATTACTGAAATATCTAGGATACCTTCCTTCCCTTTCACTTGTCCCATAATCATTTGAGGAAGCAAAGCTAGTCCAGTCTCAACCCTCTGGAATATACCCCGCCTTAACCTCGCTATCCTCCCAGCCATCAACATCGAGGAGAGGAACTACGCCGCATTGTCCTGGGTTAGTATACACCCAGGGTATATGTGGTCCAGCCACGAAAGACTTCTTCGCAAAAATCGGTAGAAATCAACGTCCAAAGAGGAGAGAGCTCATGTTAACTTTAAGGACTCGCTCTTCACTATCATAATGCAGTTCGCCGGAGTCAAAGACGTTAAGGGCGGGGGATTGTGCGGTAGTGTATTTGCGTTGAACTGCAAGGAGGCGGAGGAGGTTAACATAGCTATTTTCGTGCCGGCCATGCGGCTTAATCTGTCTAATCGGACGATTGTTCTGGATGCGGCTATTATGTCGGCTCGGAATAACCTTGCGCAGCAGCATGCGAGGGTTATTCGGGACATGATGAAGACGAACAAGCTAGTTTAGGTGTATGTGACGCTAGATGAGCTGAGGTTGTGGAAGGAGGTTTTGGGTTCGATGGTTGAGAGATGTAGGGAGTAAGAGCACAAGGAGGAGTGCGAGCACTCTACGGGTGGGAAGGCAATGGCCCCGCCGCTTGGTATTGGGACAGGGGAGGAAATTATTTGTGACTGTGGATTGGGCGTTTTTCCAGAAAGCTATCATTTGGACTATATGGGGAACACGTGGAAGCATGCCAGGAAGTTTTGTGTGCGAGCGGCAATTTCACCGGTGTTTGCCAGCTCGTTGGTGAATGAGCTACCTTTGCCGCCTGTGTTGAGTTCGCTGCCCACTCCGTCACCGACGCCGGTGGTGGCTCCCGCCAGTACCTTGAGGCAGGCGATACCGAGTATTCCTGTGGGGGGAAGGGGAAAGGAGCAGTGCGCAGACAGATGATGGAGGGGAGCTGATGAAGTGCGCAAAGTGCAAGAAGGCGAGATATTGCAGTCAGGAGTGTCAGAAGATTGACTGAAAGGATCACAAGAAGGCGTGTCGGTGAGAAGGCATGGTTGAATGATGTATGGCATGTTTGAGATTTGTATGTGTATTGTGGACCTGAGGTGGGTATGGTAGATGGAACAAAGCTCTGAAAGATAGCTGTAATTTGTAGAAAAAAACATGTTGTCTACCGACCTTTATTAAAAACATATTGCTTGTAGGGGTGATTGTTATGCATGCTAGGGGTTAGGGTTGTCAGGTCATCTCGTCTTAGCTCCAGTCAGTCGTTAGACGTTTGCAACCCCGCATTCACGCTTAGGAGGCCATCAAAGCCGCAACACTCCCAACTGAAGCCATCAAAAAACCCCATTATTGAAGACCTCTTATCTCAGTGGCCACAAGGCCTTTCTAATCCACCCAATAGTCCAGAGAAAAAATGGCGGACATCTCCATCCGCAAATGGATCCGCTGGGAGTCTCACTCCCCCACACCACCAACGTCCACCATCGTGCTCACCTCCCCCCAACGTCGTTTTGTCGATATCAGAGTCCTCCTCCCGCTTCCTACCCCTCCAGACTCTGAATTGCCGCTAGAGCAGCTAGAGTGGGCTATCGCAGGCACGTCGACTTCTTCCCCGGTTTTGAACCCCAAGACGAAAGAAGTGGAGTATTCGCATTGTGTTTGGAGTCACTGGATTGATTCACGGGTCAATAACAGGGATGCTGGGGCTGACGAGGGAGATAATTACCCTGTGGAGGGACACCCCGAGTTGACGCTGGAAAGGGGGAGGATGGTGAACCCCGCTAGTGGGAGGGTGGAGGGGTACGAGGAGATGTGGGTGGCTGGGGAAGTGAGGGCGGT